TTATGCGAGTAATAGGTTTAAAAATTACTTATATTACAATGACAAGGGAAGTTTATATGTCGATCTTTTGTTTGATTGGTCAGTAAGATAAATGCAAATTAACCACACTGTTGGCGAATATTAATACTCTATGGCGTGTCATGATAACAACATAATTGTAGTTACGCCCTTCCAAGGCTATATTCCTCCGATTCAAAGTTCTTCCTTCAATAGTTTGTGTAGCAAAGGATATAAAGTAAGTTTTCGTGTGATCTTTCAACCGCCCGATCGTCAAGAAGTTGAACAACGTTTGACTTTAGTTTTCTACCATGGTGAAAGGTTCCCATTTTTGTACTGATATTGGTCTCTTCGAATTCGGATAGAAGCTCCTGCTACAATTTATGCCAAAATCTGTAAGAATTAAAGCTTTTCCGCGCAATTCAAAATGAAAAACGGGGGTACAATACTTGATTAATATAGTCATGATTAATTTAAGTAGACATGACCAAAGAAATCCACCTCTGACCCTTTGTGACATCAAGGGATCAGAGTTTTTCGAGGGTCTGACGTTTCGATACATCCAGGCATCGGGAGTCTGAGTTTTCGAGGTCTGAGTTTTCGTCACACCCTTGTAAATTTGGTGTTTGAGGTCTGATTGTGTGTGGAGTATAAAAATAAATTTATTCACATTGACGTTTCTCTTAAGTTTGTCATAAAAGTTTGACTGTTTAAAGATATTGAACCAAGAGATGACGATGGTTATCAATCGGTGTTTGTTCAATTATTATGCAAGTTTCTTGTAATATGATGACGATTCCTTTCCCAACACTTCATTGGAGGCTTGTGAACCTCACTGAAATGCGCATCTTTTTAAATGTACTGTCATTTGAAATGAGACTGACTGCATGTTTCTGGTCTAGATACACCATTTGTTGCAACCTCCGAAACAATGATGTACTTCATCTCGTTGTTGGGATGTGTGAGTTTTACAATATGAACTTTAATTTTATTTCAGATTTTAGAGTAATACTTGAGGCTTTTTGATCCACTGATTAAACTTGACTCTTATTTCTAATTATTTCGGTGGCTTGGATTTCCATGAATGAAATTCGCTGAGCTTTATTGAAAGTTTGACATCAGCCATTTGACTCTTACACATAGTCTATATTCTTAAAAACAAGAAATTATAAACAGTTTATAGTCTCTTGGGTCTGTCCTGTAAAGTGGTGGGCCTACTTCTAGGATATTTTGTCAAAGAAATAATCGGAGGAGTTGGTGGAGTTTGCATGATGTATTTGATCTCCTGTTGCTCTATGTACATATTGAATCAGTGGGGTTTCCGGTCACGCAAATATTACCCTTGTTCACTGTAAATTCTCATTGCATTTGCATCTGATTGGTTCAAAATGGTTTAGGACTTGATGTGCTAAAAGTCATCATCTTGTAGGCCGGAGTGCCACTGTAATTCACACCCGAGCTTGACTTAAAAGGTTTGTTTACGAACTATAGTGTTGGGGGAAAATATCATTTGATCAGTTTGACTCCAGTGATTCCTCTATTGTTAGCCTTTACTTTTATTTTATCCCAATTGTGATAGCCGCAGTATTTTAGAAAAATAACCTTAATCAGAATGAGAGAAATTAAGACATTTGATTTTGCGAGCTATCGAACAAATACCACTTTGCCTTTTAATCCAAAGAAGGCTGAAATTATTTGCTATCTTTTGGTGTTTAAATCATTCCTCCAGATTATAATCAGGATCCAAGCTCGAACGCAACTTTCCAGCTAAGATTAACAGCTTGCGAAATAGAAGGGCATGTAGTTTGTGTGAATAATGACACATTCAGACAAATCCAAGGGGAAGATGGTCGTTTTGCTGTAGGAAAAATGAAACCTAGATTTTCACTTTCCATTTATTCATTTGCAATCTTTGTCAATTTTTTTACTTCACTTTACATAAACGAGTTCTGAATTGTAAACTGCTAAGGCGATAACTTACAGGTCAAAATTCCTACTTCGAGGAAGGGATCGAAAGTGTAGCGGGTAGACCCTCTGCTGAACAGTGAGTAGCTCAAGGCAACTGATATTTGAAGCTAAGTAGTGGGTTCCGTTATCAGATGTTAAAATCGTCCTCAGCTCTACTGATAAATCTGAGGACCGAATGCAAAATCTATCACGACTGTTCAGGAACTATTCGGCGAAGAATCCTAACAATAGTGGAGGGGTTGTGTTGTCACAATTTAATTGAGTAGCCTTTCAAAGAGTGAGGAAAAAAGTGGAGTGTATGAGAAACGTTAAAGAATATTTCAGAATATAGCTGTCCGATTTATAGGCAGAAATTCTTTTCCGAATTAAAGGTTATATTAATGCCATGTAAATCGTACACGATTTCCATCAACCAGTGTCAGTCTCATTCAGCAGTTGCCAATAATGGTAGTTAGCAGTTAATTTCAGAGTTCTGACCAAAGGTTTTCTGTTCTTTCCTAGATGAAGGCCACTTTGATCTTGTCACTGTTTGTTCTTCCTGGCGTTTTTAAGACTACACCTGCAGTCAACAAAAGGCTGAGGCATACCATGGGCTTGCCTTGGTCACGTTTCATGAAAGGCCTCACCCGTCATCAGGATCATAGAGATGTTTCGCTCCCCCGGCATGTGTCGAATCCTTTGTGGTCGCGTATGATAATGAATTCTTTCCATGACCCAAGAGCGTTACCCCATTGCAACGACAAACCACCATACCACTGTTGGTGTTGCCAAACTGGGTGCAATCTTCAGTAAAAGGCTGTTAAGGATGAAAAGTCGTCGCAACAATACGACGATTACCATCTTCCATCATTACATGAAAGCTGAGATAAACTCACCAAAGCTTTATCTCTCAAGGTGTAACATCATTTTGATATTAAAAGGAAAAATATGGTTTCCTCCGTTGCCTTTCTGAAATAATTGTCTGAATGCTGTCTTGTTATTGAAATATTCACAAATTTTGATATAGCACAACGTACTCGTTTTTTTTTTTTTTGTTCTCTTTGAAGTTTCCTACTTTCTATGTCAACTGATCAAGAGAAAATGATGGCGTCATTATTTTCTCTTGACCTGATCGAAAATGTTTGCTTGGTCCCAAACTACTCTACCGTCGTCGAAACATGCTCGTCCCTAAATATCTTACATATCTTTCCAGCCATCCAAGGGAAAATACAAGAAAAAAAGGGGATTTGAATTCTAGGAATTATGTTTCTTCATTCAACATTTTACATAAGAAAGGACTGAAATCAAATCAAAAGAAAGTTTCCACCCATCGGTTCGCGAGGCGCCAGATATGTAGGATTACAAATGTTTATCATTGTAAGCGCCTTTTGTAGATCTGAAATCTTTTTTTGTTTTTTTTATATTTTAGGCTAAAACGTATTTCGTGCACTCAAAACCAAACTCGTCTACCCAGCTACTTTCAGCCCAAAACTTATAAAATCGAGCTCGGTCACAACATCTAAAATGAATAATCTTGATAAAATGAATGATAGAAAGTTAAATTGCAATTTTCTTACGCAATGAGTATTTTAAACTTCACGTCGAAACCACATCTTCAAATATAAAAGGTCAGGCCCCTGCGGCAAAATCAATTCTAATAATTATTCAAGTAAAAGGTTTAAACACTTACCCATTTTATGATGTCAAAGGAAGTTTAGAAGCTGATCTTTTGCTTCATTGGTCAGTAAGGTATGTGCAAATAAACTACACTCTTGGCCAATATCAATCCCGTATGGGGTGTTATGATAACAAAACAACTGTAGTTACGCCCTTTCAAAGCGACATTCCTCTAATTCAAAGCTAAGTTTCCTCCTTCAATAGTTTATATAGCAAAGGATCTAAAGTAAGTTTAGTGTGATCTTTCAACCGTTCGATCGGCAAGAAGTCTAACAACGTTTGACTTGAGTTTTCTACCATAATAAAAGGCTACCATTTTTGTACTGATATCGGTCTCTTCGAATTTGGATAAAAGCTACTGCTATCATTTATCCCAAAATCTGTTAAAAGCAAAGCTTTTTGATCGCAATTCGGAATGAACGTCAGGGGTAAATTTTTTTCTGAATACAGTCATGATTAATTCAAGTAGACATGACCAAAGAAACGCCTGACCTTTCGTGACATAAAGGGATCAGAGTTTTTCCAAGGTCTGACATTTCGAGACATCCAGGCATCGGGAGTCTGAATTTTCGAGGTCTGACATTTGCTGCAGCGTCCGAAACAATCACGTATTTCATCTAGTGGTTGGGATGTGCAAGTTTTACAAAATAAACCTTAATCTCCGATTTAAGAGCAATGCTTGAGACTTTTTGATCCACTAATAAAACTTGACTCCTAATTCTAATTATTTCGGCGGCTTGGATTTCCTTGAGTGAAATTCGCTGAGCTATATTGGAAGATTGACATTAGATATTTCTAAAGACAATTTCACAACGATTGTGAGTTCTAGATCTCGGTGAAGAATTCTGTTATGGGATTATTATTGATTAGAATTAATAAAAAAAAGGTTGAAGGTAGAGAATCCGACTGTCATAGTGTGTTTCTATGGCCGACACCAGATATCTGACTTAAAGTGCTTGATACACAAACTTCCATTAGCGAATCACAAATGATGATTGTTTTCACGATCAAAACTTGAATTCGTTATCGTAATTTTCGCAAAGCATGCGTGATAATAACTCGGGCGGAAGATGCAAAGGGCGTTCGCATGAAGCTGAATGTTTTGTATTTCCAAGGTTAAGAGGGAGGAAAATTATGGTTGTTTTTTGGCTCATTTAAAAGAGGAAAGCTTTGAAAATGAAGCAACAGGTGTTAATTCATTTTGTTTTGTTTGTTTGTTTGTTTGTTTGCTGGGGAGGAGGGTGAGGAATAGAGCGCGTGTTCTGTTTCCGATGTAGCAGCCCAAGATTAAAAGTTCTCCATTAAAACTGCATCAAGACTCCTAGGCCGTTTTTCTTATTTAGAGCGTCAATGTAAGTTTAACCATTTCGTTAATTTCCTCAAGGATGAAGAACTCCTTTATCCAATCTGCCCAAAAACTCGAGGAGTAGTTTATGAAAGGTTGGAGGATGATCTACATAACACGCATGCGTCGCATTCCTGATCATATAAACCTTGCGATTGGGAACATGCCACAAGCTGTCTAGAGAAGAAGTGCTAAGCATTGTTGGATCTTTCTCCCCAAACAAAATCAGCATTGGGACCAAGAGTTTCTCATAGTCCTTGAGAAAGTATTGCGAGGTGCTGGAGGGAGCTATGGCAACGAGTCCCCGGAGGATGTTAGGGTACGCCATCAGTAAAGGCATGGCGTACTCTCCGCTTTTCGAAGGCGCAACGAAGACAGGTTGATGGAGATCGAACGCAGTGAATAAATTTGTCATATAGCCCAAAATATCATCCCGTGAATATGGAATATTTTCATTGTCAGAATTCCCGTGTCCCGGTAAATCCACAGCTAAAACTCTGTATCCTAATTCTGCTAGGATTTGAAATGTTCCAATATTGATCCAAACTGTCGAGGTCAGCCCCATACCGTGCAGGAAGAATACAGTGAATTTTTCATTATCCTGGTTTTTCGGCCGCACTTCCCTGTAAAATGTTTTCCTCGCATTTGGTAAGATGCCCTCCCGGTAATCGACGATATCACTCGCAACTAACGCATTCTTTCTTCGAGGATCTGGTTTACTGTTGAATAATTGGATGTGTCCAAGTTCGTGGTCTGAGGGTTTTCCCTTCATTGCGTCATTTCCCTCGCTAGATGAGAGACGATTTTCATCGCCTGAGACATCCATCCCGTCCACTAAATCTGTCTTAAAAGACTGTTTTGCAGCCGATAACGGATTCGGCGTGGAGTGAGTCTTTGTCATTCGTGTCAAATATTCATGGCTTCCATCCTCTCGCTCGTTGTTGGAATATTTTGCCAGGAGCGAGCCAACTCGGCCCTTTATTTCCACCATCGGATTACGTCCTGTGTTGATGTAATACAAAACAAACACAAAAACGAGAGCAGACACCAAAACTGCCACGGCGATTTTTAGTTTCATCCTGGCCGTACGTCGAAATAAAATCATATTTGAATCCCCTTCTTCAGACTGCATATTAGTGATAATTATACGCAGGATGAGGCCTGTACTTAACTCGAGTAAGGGCTTGTGTTGCCAAGATGCGCTGAATATACGAATAGCATTCGTCTGCTTTAGGCGAACTTGAATATTCATCTTACAGAGCTGTAGATAATATCTTGACAATAGAAGGAAACTAAGCTTACTTCTCTTTTCCAAACGTAAAAACTATAATGGGAAAGAAAATGTGCAAAGTACAGAACGATAGAGATACTCCTCTCGTAAGGTTGTTTTTCAAAACCACATTGTCTTTGACAATTATGCGTTAGAGAAGAAATTATGCAATACGAAAGATCTAACTCTTCATTTAAATTATTATTTATGTTGCAATTTCAGATTAAAAAAAATAATATCACTACATACAATAGCTGATGTTCAATCAAATCAAAACACTCTATGAGTCCGTCGAATTTCAAAAATAAAGTAAATTTTGGATTGAACCTTTTTCAAGAATTGGCGCTAGATTTTACGCTACTTGGCAACGGAAAACATCTGCCAAACACGATATTAATTTTGTATCGTCGATATCTCGTTCCCAGACTTCCGGACTTTATTCCCGGCTTTTCCTTGTGGTTTGTAGCTTGCCCAAAGCGAAAGAAAGTACACACTTTACAATACAAGGCAAGCTCTTACATTTGCTGGTTCGGAAGAAAAATCGCAATAACCAATATAAGACAACAATTTTATTTCAACTTTAATTTATTTACGAAAACTGGATTAAGCTGCAAAAATCACTTTAGAGTTTGGCAAACGTCTAAAAGACCTAGGAAATGTTATTCGAGTTATCTATACGAAGTACTTTCTCCTCATAATTCATCTTTAGGTCTTGTCATGGTTTTGACTTTGTCTACAGCTTTTTCCATGGATCTAACGACTGAAAATTAAATATGAACAGAGAAAATTAGTTTTGTCCATTTTCTTGAAACTTATCTTGAAGTTTGATTTGTTGGCGTTTCAAACAACAATTCTTAAAATTAACACATCTTTGAATGAAATCGTTCGAGTTTTAATTTTGTATTCTTCATAAACTTCCTGACAACTGCTTCGCGTTTTTAACGTAAAAAAGGTTTTATATACATGCAATTCACAGCCAAAATCGTATAAAAAAGGGTTTGTGCGCGCCAGTTTTCGAAGACATGACATACAATACGCAGCCTCTAGAAATTATCAAATTTTTCGGTATCGACTCAACTTATTTTTAAGTTACAATGTTCCCACCAAAGTTGCAGCTCCATTTTCTGCATATAAAACACACACAACCCACAATTTTTCTATTCGCTCAGACAAAGGGCTAACGCCCTAAACGTGAGCTTAAAACTCTTCACGGTGGCCAATTTACGTCATCAAATCAGTTGATAAAACCAAATTATCTTGCTACCCCTCCCCTCCCCTCCCTCCCCCTCCCCCCTTCCCCTCCCCCACCGACGACATAGCACCACAGTTATTCTTTGGTTATTCCCCTTCATTTTTAAGTAATAACATCTTTACCTGAATGTGGTTCCCAGTAATAATATTTGCTTTCTTTGTATATAGTACCAGCGTTGACTATTTTCTCCATAACATTACCCAAAGGATCTAATCAAATTTAAATACAGTGTTAATTAACCTTTCGTTCAGTAATACCCCCTCAGAGATCCATAAGATTGTGAATTAGACTAAAGAATTTGCTTTTTCGCCAGGCCAACGGCCTTTGGCTGATCAGCTTGGCTGTTTTAGAGGCCAGTTTGCAAAATAATGTATCAGAGACATTACAGCGTATTTCGACCGAGTGTTGCTAAACCAAACCAAAAGTCGATCATAGCAAAAAAAATGTCATAAACCTAAAAACGAGCAAAATGTTGGAAGCGCGGGAAAGCGCGAGTGACTAGCTAGGTATTCCTTTAGTTTTCGAAGTTCATGTCATTGCTTTCTGAGAGTGAAAGTGATTCAATGTATTTTTAGATAAAATAAATACTTACCTAACAATGATCTTTAACCGAGAAAGTGAATTACACTAAATACAGTTTAGAATTCATGTTTTTAGAATTTCTCTGAGATTAACATTTAAATGCGGCATCACCGAGGTTCTCTCATAATCTGGTTATGGTAAGAAAAGGTTTAGGGAGAAGACTGCAGGGCAAAAATTTAAAAAAAAATCAAAGAAACTGTTTCTTATATTCTTTGAAGCGGGATAAAACTAGTACAAACCCATGAATAAGATCCTTGGAAAGTATGCTCCGTCAATATCAAACTTCTTTTGGTTGTTATCAAATTCGTCCTGAAAAAATAGATAAAAATAACATTGAATTCCTCAGTGGACCTTGGACCTTGGTGAGTTTTTCTGGACCAATTACAGAACGAAATAAAGGGAAGCCAAAGAAAACTCGGGTTACCGCGACACTCAACTTGAGATTGTTCCAAACTACAGGAATTACAGTTAAATGTCAATACAGAAATGATTTTATGTCCTCAGTGTTCAATTTTCATGGCAATTTCCGATGACGCCGGGAATTACTCAAAGCTAGGGGTAGAAGCTCTTTGAAATAGGAAATTAATGTTGATTTACCTCTACGTTGACCATGACAAGTTCTGAGCTCAGGTCTTTTATCTTCTGAGATGCAGCAAATTTTGGTTTAAAAGCTGAAAAACGATCGATATGAGAATTCAAAGAGTAAGTAAAATTCAACCAGTTTTGGCATTCAATAAACAGTGAATTTATGCTTCCAACAGAATTTTAATGTGAGGCAGCTCGCATAAAATATGTTTATCGCTCGCAATAATTTATTTTATTTATCAGTTCTGATAGGCAAGTACAAATTTCTGCTATTCAATCGTCATAATGTTGTTACAAACCTGAAACATGGCCAAGATTGGCAAACTGAATGAGTTGATTTTTTTAAATGAATTAAGTACATATAAGTCTCCATCACATACCCTGACAGGCACTGCACCAGCTTTTATGAAGAAACATCAGAATTGGCTTCCAGCTTTTAAAAAAAAAAAACATATTTTGATCATCATTAACAGTGAAAAAGAGATGATAGTTAGAGATTGTATTACTCACTAAGCCCTTATTTCTTACGAATTTCCTCTTCAGCTAAATTTAAATCACCCCTGATTTGTCGATTTCGAACCTAGAGATCATTCTGAAAAAGTAACGATTGCACTTTTAAACGCAGCGGGAAAATTATAAATCGAACACGCTTTATAATGTATTATTTCTATTTTTTCCTTTGAAGAATCGGTGTGAAGATTGAATGATTTCGTAGTAAAACTAACAAAACTGTTACAAAGTTATTCACCTCTTTTTTGCTTTAACATAGGCATCTTCTAACTTCATCCAATTAATTTCTTTTCCTAAACCTAAGAATAAAATCACCAATTAATCATATTGCATTAAGAATTTTGCAGCCATAGTCAACATTCTCTGAAGAGCGAGAGTCAACCTACATCGTGGCAGAATATCATTACTTAGAGACAAATAACAATTTAGCACCGGTGGGGGTGGGATGGGGGGAGGATCGGAGGATTTTAAGGGGATCAAACAACTTTCAGCAAGGAACGGACGGAGAATCAGTCCTCACCAACAGAGTAAAAGGGGGAAGGAGACTATAGAAAATTTACTAATGCCAGTAAACTGCCAAAGGAGGGAAAGTAACAATATTAAATACAGAGCTTAACGAGGGGATCAGATTATATCCTGACACGCCTAAAACCTTATGACTCCCTCCCCCCCCCGCGACAAATAACAACCGAACCCTTATGATCAAGAATAGTTTTGATCCCATCATGGTGCTTTTTTGATAGATTTCATGAAGATATTTTGAATTTATTCCGGTTTCTCCTGGACAATCATTGCAAACAGAAATAACTTTGAAAAGATAGAGGGGCCGCAGCCAGGATAAAACATCTTGTGAAATTTTAAAAAAAAGCCGATCTCTGGCTAAAACTTTTAAAAATACGAGCTTTCGGCTGTTTGCGCTACAGCCTTCTGTAGCGCAAACAGCCGAAAGCTCGTATTTTTAAAAGTTTTAGCCAGAGATCGTTTTTTTTAAATTTCACAAGAAATGACTTTGCTAAAAACTTGATATAAATAAAGGCACTTACGGAGAAGATATTGGAAAGGATGAAAGAAAGATTTCTAATGGAGAACAGAAAGAGCATTATCTTACCTCTATCCAACGAAGGCGGCGGCTTGATAAGTTTCTTTAAAGCGGTTTTCATTGTATTTACCACTTCAGAAGAAAATTGAATAGTCGGTCAAAATGTTTGTTAATATTAAACGTATGCTTTTTATCTATATTAGAAACAAAAAAATACTATGCTTTGGATCTGAACGCAAATTGTCTCAATGGATCTTCGTAGAAATGTATGTATTATAAAAAATTTTCCTTTAATTCAATCCAAGTTCGTGATCAGCAATCCAAATGAATAATGATCTTCTATATCCTTAGCCAATCCCTTTTTTTGTGTGTGTTTTTGTTTTTGTTATTGTTTTTTTTTTTTGTCATCTTGCCGAATAAATTTTTGCTGTTATCTACAAGCTGAAGAAAATTTTGCACGTATATGCTTTAAACTGCAACGACTGACATCAGAATTCATTTGAAAAATGACGCCCTAAATCGTATAGCACACGATGATTATATTGTGACCGATACTTACATTCCTCGTCATCGTTGTAAAAATACTTGAACTTTATGAACTCGAGGTCCATATTGTGAAGATCTCTTTGGACTTTACCCTCGTTATCTGTGTAAACAAACATAAACAACGACTTTAGAATATGAAGCCTTCTCTTATGAATCTCATATTTTCATCATTGCACTAAGGGCAATTTTCAATTGAGCGCCAAAAGTAATCCGGGACTGCTTTCGTTTTGCTTTACTTTACTATGTGACTGGTTCAGAAAACTCGTGCCACATTTTCAGCCAATCAGATGCAAAACTGAAAATAAACACGACTTGGGCGCCCGCGTTTTTCCGCGCTTGAGGTGGTTTTGAGTTCTCATTGGTTCCTAAAGGTATTTCCTTTCTTTTCATTGGCCGTTGCGATAACTTTGGTTTTGGTTTAACGACACTCACTTAAAAGCGTTTTATATACCTTGTCATGTAAACAAAGTAATTAACACTCTCTCGGAAGGACTTACCCAGGAAAAAGATTCGAGGGAAGTATTTGCCATCCACATCAAACTGGTCATCCTTGGGTTCTTCGTCGTCCTACAAAAAGTGCAACAGAAAAAGATGGTCGTATTCAAAGCAGTGGACAGTGGGGGATAAAATCTAACATTTTAATTTCCTTAAGTTCCTATGTTCGTTGGTTCTCAAAAGGAACTCGACATACCAACAAAATTTGTGTTTATGTTCATAGCTAACAAATGAATGCCCTACCTCCACGTTGATCATGACGAATTTCTTGCTGAGTTCAGCAATTAGTTTAGATTCCGCTATGAATGGTTTCAAAGCTGAAATAAAAGCATTAAAATTATTATTCCTAAGGAGGGTAAGAGATAAGAGAACAAGTAAGGCTTTGACTGGCTCATAACCAGTTCGGATACAGTACACCTATTACACAATGGCGCATTAGGCGAAAGCGCTTTAATGACATGTAATCGCCCCTGTTTGTATAGAAAAGCAATAATCAATGATGTGTCAGGTGTCTAAACACTATAACGCAGACTCTAGCTTTTAAGCTTAAAATCTATTTTTAGCTCGATCTTTTCAGGTAGACTCCGCTATGTAACATAATTCCTATCGAAACGTTGGCTCCCTCCTCGGGCATCGCTACGTATTAGTAAGAAGGTAATTAAGAAGAGAAATGTAAAAGATAGTGCTTGTTCTACCTTTACACGCGCCGCACCACGACTTGTGTATGATAAGCATCACTGGTTTCTCACTGGTAAAAGAATCAAATCATGAATTGCAAGGTTTATCGACGATGTATGTACAAAAGACTCATAAAAGGATTCAGAGGTTTTAAGAAAATTGAAAGTAAATATACATTAAGTATATAATGTTAATATATGTTAATATACATACATTATACATTATTACATTCCATATACATGGAAGTAAATATACATTAAGCTCGGCGAAGCTAAAATCAATGTGAATCCATCCAAACGAAAGCTTCAGCCCTTCTTCATTTTGCCTATTACCTTTTCTTTGCTTCTTCAAGACCTTTCTCCATTGGCATCCATTTAATCTGTTTACCAAAGCCTGTCAATAAATGCAAATAAAACTGTTACAAGTGAGACAAGTAAAAGGAGGAATATGCTGTTAAGTTCATCCACTCGAAAAAAAATTGGATTTTGTTATCATATTTGTATCCATACCTCTGTCCAAACCTTCTGTTTCTGGTATCAGCTTTTTCATAGATTTGATGACTGCAGACAAATTAAAACAAGAAAAATGGTCACAGTGAATACAGATGGATAGAAAAAAATTGAGATCAACTCGCACAGAAAATTTTACTTGAAGCCAACCGTGACGACTTCGTAATTTTTAGCTTACCTGTATGTTTAATTTAAAATAGAATGCGTTAACAGACCAAGTTTTTAAAAAGACTGCCTCAAGCCTGACGTGAACTGAAGTGAAAAGGGAAGTGATTTACTTACTTTCCTCAGCTGTCTTGTAAAAGTATTTTGTTTTGTCAAGAGAAGTGTCTTCATTATCAATTTCTTTCTTCAATTTTCCATCGGAATCTGTGAAAATGTAGGGTCGACCAAACAAATGATAGTTTAAAAATATATACGTATAAATACTATCATGAAGTGCATCACTCAAGTTTTCAACATTTAGTTGCATGACTGTTATTGAGAAAAAGGAGGATTTTTGGCAAAATGAAGTGTAGTACTCAATGCCCGTATTGCTTTTCGGACTAGTTGAGGTTTTTGTAAGTTTTGTGATGGTGGGTTCAACTAAATACGCAAAAGGATGAAGGAGAAATGAACAAACACTTTCTGGCAATACCCAAAAAAAAACATAAATAACAACACCAACAAGCACTTTGCAACACAAGGGTGCGTATATAAAGGTCAAAAACTGTTTCCTCCCCAATGGCCTTAGGAATGTAGATTGATAAAACACCATAAACAACAACAATAATAATCACAACACCATTACAATACGCATCTAAGAGAAATACATATAAGGAAACTAAAACGAAAGCCACTTTTTCTTCTAAAGGGGTTTCTGCGTGATGAAGGTTTAAGGGTTTCTAATTTTCGCACCCTGTGTAAATACGAAATTAAAACCCCGTGAACTGTGAATTTTTTTTTTTTTTTGGCTTTTCGCGATACGTGAACGTTTAAGTTTCTTATTCGATTTTTCGCGGTGCGTTATTTCTACTTTTTGTGATGCGTGAAACGTGCGCAGGCGCAGGACTCCCATCCCTCCTCCTTTTAACCCCACTCTAAGCGACAGTGCGCTTCCGTGTTATTTTTTTATGGTTATCATAACAACCCAGTCGACAGTGTTTGTGCGTCTCATATTTTTTATCTACCATCCTGTGACTACAAAATCACCGATGGCTCTCTATGGTGAAACTTCCAAGGAAACTTTAGCTTAATCAGCTTAATCATAGTAAATATAGTGAATAGATCAGAAAAAACTTGAAATTTTTGTTACCCAAGAATACAATTCTCGGAACGTAAGATCCATCAGCGTCATATTTTCCATCCTTGGGGATTTCGTCGTCCTGAAAATAATGTTCAATGATTCAGTATCGTAAATAGGATATATCACACAAGTGAATTGAGCTTTCGCGCCCGCTGATTGGGTAGTTCGGAAGTGAATAACAAGCACTATTCACCTCCGAACAGGAGTTGAGACAAAATCATCAGAGTTTAATTTGCGACCATCTTCCGGTATAATGAAAGAAATAAACTCCTTTTTTTGGAATTTATGTGGCATATGCTAAAAGTGGCTGAAAATGGCTCTTTACATAGCACCACTCTCGCATCATGTTGGCCCTTGAAAATAAAATAATGCATACAGTGAAACCTTTAAAAATAGACATCAATCTTTTTGATTCCATAATATTCAATTACAACTTTTACCTCAAGGTTAACCAACAAAAAGTTTTTGCTTAGCTCAGCGATTTCCTTGGATTCAGCAATTTTTGGTTTGAGATCTGAAAATGGATAAATGTCATAGAAGAGGTAAGCCGTGAGATAAATGATTTGCATGGCATCTAAGAATGAACTTAAAAGAATTCCACAAAATTTAACACCTAATGTTTCTCTCGCAAACAGAACTGACCTTGACTAATCTGACACCAGCTTTTATGTAAAACCATCATGATTGGCTTTTTGCTGAAAATGGAAGCAGGCAAAGAAAACGAAAACAGAAAAGACGCAGTAAATAAATAAAGATTGTTAGGTACCAGTCATTATTTAGTGCCTGAGGGGGGAGGTGTTGGAGTGTGTTGGAGTGTGGTTTTATCACGATAAAATCTACTTGATCCCCTACGAGGCTCCGGAGTAATTTGATCCCCCTACCCTCCCCCCCCCCTTTCATTGGCAGTTAATTAGCAGTCAATTTTCCACTTTATACTCTGTTAGTGACGACTGGTCCCTCCATTCCCCCTGAAAACCATGTGATCAAAATCCTCCACTCCACGATAATCCGCTATATTATGTATCTGTCGAAGGTTTTGATAGAATATAAGGTTTAAAAAATGGATTCGCTAGAGCAATTTTCTTTCGATAACAGAAGCTTAGCCATTCAAGCGGAGATATTTTTTTCGTAGGATAAAAATGTAAAAATTTCCATCTACGATGACATAAGATGCCTATCTTGTTCTTTGTTCGACCAAGAGTCCCTCGGTTTCAAACTAAGTTAAAAACATTGGGTTTAAGATGAAAATCTAATTTGTAAGATTACTGAACTTACGATACTTTAGCTTCTTTTAGAACATGATCAAGCTTCATCCACTTTAAATGAGCACCAAATCCTAGAAAAAGACAATACTTAATGGAATATTGGTTGAACAACGTCATTGCAGAAAATATCGAATGCGTTTCGCATAGGGTGTGGAAATCTCAGAGACCATGCTGCATAATAATGGCTTGAGTAACTTCATGATAAACAAATTGATGTTTTCGTAGATGTGTTGTCTGCTAGGCAGTTTAGGTATATTATTGTATTAGCTGTATAAAATACTAAACAAAATTTCCCTCGTAACAAAGAAATGTTTGGCGAACAGAAACTTGGTCGTAGGGAAAGTTAAGGATATCGATTTCCTGATCATGCTGCGAAGGACGAGAAATAAAGCCCTGATTTGTGTCATTGCTCATTAAAATTAAAATTGGCGTTAAATAATTTCGTGTATTACCTCTGTCTGGGCCAATTCCTGCACTCATTTCTCTCCCGAGAACTTTCTTCATCATGTCAGCGACTAAATATCAGCAACGACAGAACATAAATTGCATGAAAATGTCAGTGTCGCATACAATTCGAAACAAAAATCCCTTAACAAAGATCAGAAGATTAGAAATTTCCCTGTACTCCTCATACAAGATGGAAGCAAGAAGATGGAAAATATACGCTTGTGTATAATCTCTTGATTCTAACTGCGGACATCGCTCCTGAAACATGCATCTTGCCCAACACACGCGGTAACGTTCGAGTTAGAGATTATCAGCAGTTATGACATGACTTTGAGTCGTGTAAGTGTGTACAGAAATAAGTCAGTTGTTTTGGCTTGCAAAGAATTGATTGGTGTTTTTAATTGAAAATTATCAGATGAAAGCCGTGTCTAGCTTGAAAAGTGATCATTCGTGGAATAAGAAGTTGTTTCACGAAATGAGGGTTTTAAAATAAGTCAGTTTCGGAAGAGAGGGGAGCATGTAAAGATATCATTTTAAAGGGATTTTATCAATTAAATAACGGAAGAATGTCTTACTTTCCTTGGGTTCTGCATAAGCATATTTGTAGTCCTTGAAAGACTTATCGGTGTTGTGAAATTCTTTCATAATCTCACGCGTGAAAGGATCTGAAAAACATCAAAAGTCAAACATGAGCGCGTGCGTCAGTTGTTTTACCAAGGTTTTACTGCCATTTCTGAAGCCCTTAGGAGAGCCTTCATACAGGCCAAAAAATAAGACGAGAATTTTTTTTCACCTACCCAGGAAGTACATTCTCGGGGCATAAGCGCCATCCACGTCAAAGGTGTCGGCCGTTTTTCCACTATCATCCTAGTGTCAAATAAACGAATTAGGTAAATATTTTTGTCAAAGTAAAAAATGATCGCATGCGTTTCCATGGCAGAAACGTTTTTCCAATCCTTCTCGTTTAAATAATATTTCTTCTTGTTATTATTGTTGTTGTTTTTGTTGTTATCGTCGTTGTTGTTTGTAGAAAATATTAACCAACCTATGCACAGTGGATTTAATTCAAATCACTTACTTCAATGTTAACCATAACAAACTGTTTGCTTAACTCCGCAACCTCATTGGACTTAGCAAACTTCTTCTTCAAAGCTTTGAAATAAAAATAAAAATCGTCTTTAAAAAGGAATGCGAAAGAAACTGATCATATAGCTTAATGTGATGAAAAAGAATAACAATACTTGGATTTAACGAGAATTACAAGACGTTCTGCTGTTTTGTCGCAAATGCTTCGTACCTTTGCATGCTCCACACCATGATTTGTGAATTATCAACATCAATGGCTTCTTTCTGTAGATTTCACGAAATGATTTGTATTTAGGGATCAGTCTTCATTAAAAGGCTGAAGAGGGTGGGCGTTAGAGGTTTTGGGGGGGTATCACATACTTTTGAGAGGTAAACGGAGGGGGATAAAATATAAATCATTTTCACTTACTCTTCTTTTGCTTTTTCGAAACCCTCTTCAATCGACGTCCATGTGATGTCTTCGCCCCATCCTGCAAAAGATTACAAAACGAGTCAGCATTGAACGGGAGCTGATGATTTCATGGTGACGTATCGAGGAGTGTAGTGGACTCAGCTATTTGCGCCAACACGACTTGCTTTATTGTGAATTCTGTCGCCTTCTCTTTCTTTCTAACGATCTTGCGCACTAGCCAACAGTTTCTCTTGGAACAGGAGTCTCGTTCCACTAACGAGTCATGAGTTTATGCTGTTCCGAAGAAGGTCGATTCTTGGCCTTTACAAGCTAGTTTGTCTCGGTTTTTATAGACTCGTTATATGTTTGTTGACCTTATCACACTATTTTCGTTATTCCTAAGTTTACGAAAGGTTAAACGGAGGACATTGTGGCGAGGTTAAAGCACTGTTCTAACCGTTCAGTTTAGCTGAGTGTCAGGATCTTAAGGAACACTTAGCCACGGTGACAGGTGTTGTTATTCAGCAAAGAAATAGAGGAAGTGATCAGGCTGCATAGATATTCAAATGTAACTTGCTTAAATTTTTTCATCAATAGCGAAAGTTTTTAAGATTCTCAACCGAAAGCCGCAAGCAGCGACTCTTCCATCTTTCAATTAGCAATATGGTTCCTGTTCATAAAGAAGTAACAGCGACAATTTTTCAGCCTTACTTACCGTGATCAGATACTGCCTTTGGTTGATCCTCAATTTTCAAAGCTTTTTTCATCGCTATCAATACTGAAAGACGGTACGAACGAAAATGATCATTCTTTATATATCATTGAGAATATAAAGAAACAGTTTGGCTCAAATAGATTTTCCTACAAAGAATCTCAACTAAATCTTGTACTTACATTCTTCTCCATCCTGGTAGTAGTATTTCACGTGTTTATGTTTGGTTCCCTCGTTCCATATGTCTTTTTGCACTTTACCATTAGGATCTGATGAAACGCAAATTTCAAAGGCCGAATCTCAGGGATTTAGATGTGAGAAAGTAAAAGAATTGTTTCCTGTTAAGGTAAAAATCTCAGATCCCCGCATTTATTAGTATTCGAAGTGTTTTTTCACCTTCGACGCAATCATAATTATCTTCTCCATTATTGCTGTTGTTGATTGCACGGAGATAACATCGACAACGTTTCAATTTCTCAAACACCAGTTCTGTGACTTCCACCGACAACTACGACCCGACCCGAAGTCTCCTCTTCCCTGATCGCCTTCTTATCAAACGCACGCTTGGCTCTTTTACGAATATTTTAAACTTAATAAAGTGAAGTTTGTACTCGAGCCAAGCGTTCATCCACCTGGAGATTATCCTGGTTTAATAGCATGAAGAGACTAGGAATATTGCTATTCTCAAGTTTGCCTTATTCGCTGATACCAATTTATACTCCTGGGTGGAGAAAGCCACTGTGAAAGTAAATGTTCCACCTCCAAGAATACACTGACTGACAAGTCATTAAGTCAAGCTGACCCGGCCCGCTCTCGACTCAGAGTCCAGCGCTTTAACCACTGAGCCACCGCCTCTCCCACTTCCGTAATTGAATGTTTTAAGCTAAATTAAGTAAATTGATATTACCTAAGAAGAAAATCCTCGGCACATATTTCCCGTCAACATCAAATTGCTCTCCTTGCGGTTCCTCGTTATCATCGGTGTTGACCATCACGAATTTTTTGCTGAGCTCACCAAACTCTCTGTGCTTTGCCAGCTTCGGTTTCAAGGCTGAAATAACAATATTTTCAAATAATTTTCCAAACGCGTTCGAATTTACGTGGTTATAACCATTTCATATTCATCGCTCGTGATTGGAATAATTATATTTTTTCAAAACAAAAGCCTAACGCAAGATTTTAAAATTCATCGTTAAAAATGCGGGAAAAACTTTCTGTATATTTTACGTTTTGTAATTTATGGTTTATAAGCTGAGATACTGCATAAAACCTGTAAACTAATCAACGTCAAACAGGACTCGGAGAGTTACAAGGAAAAATATAAACAGGCCAAAAAACATGTAGCTTTTATTGAATAATAGTATGAATGATTTTTTAGCTATTTGCGGAGATAAAAACAGAAAGGAACCATTAAAATACCTTTGCATGAGCTGCACCAGGATTTGTGAATAATCAGAAGCATATACTTATTACTGCAGAGATAAGACAAGGTTGATTCAGTTAAATCCTATACAAATACAAGTATATCATTGTGAAGCAAAAAGATGAATAACTGTCAATCATCTTAGAACCCGCGGTGAAGTAGCCCCCTTCGGCCCCATCTTTTGTGGCGTCATGCGACGTCCCTAAGCGACGACACAAGGGAGACAAGCTGGAAAGTTTCTGGAAACTGAAGATATATTTGTTGGGAAGATAGATACATGACTCTACATCCTGGCCTCAACAAGAAATTTGACATATTCAACAGCATTCCATGGCAATTGTGGTAAATTTTGAGTTTTTTTTCGTCGTTCTTTGTTTATTTTCTCTCTTTTTATTTCTGTTCGTTTTGTACCATAGAACTCTTAAGTTTCGCCATTGTTCTTTCGTTTTCCCCTTTTCCTTTCCTATCAAAAGCTGATTGTCATTCTGCTCTACTAAACTTTCGGGCATTAAGCGATTCAGTGACGTGAACAACGGTGGAAAAAGCCACAAACCTTTCCTTTGCTTCCTTTAAACCCTTCTCGTACGACACCCATTTAATATGATCACCAAAACCTGATAACATGAAAAACAATTAGGCCATAACTTTAATTAAAGAACTGTTTGAAGCCATACCACAAAAATAGAAGTGGGAAAGCGTGAGATGAGTACCTCTGGACAACTTTTCTTTAGGTTTCCACCATGGGTCTTTCTCTTCTACGTCCTCTCCTTTTTTGTCTTCTGTTTTTTCTAGAGTATACAAGAAGAAAATACCAAGTTAAAGTTGAAAATGATAAATTGTTTATAAGCTCGTTTATAAGCTTGCCATGCGTACAATAATATTGTCATACTAAATTTCTTGGATATGATAATATGATATAGCAATATTTCCATATATTAAAGTACTCTGAAGCCAGGGGAACTCACTAATTATTACCTGAACATCAAATGGCATGAGATAGTCATTGCTTGTGCAAGTTCAAACCTTATCACAGCTATGAACTTCATGCATTGGATATAATCCTATGGACAAATCATTTTGATGATAAGAATTAATTTGTTTCTTACCTAAACCTCCAGTTTCCTTCATTTTAAGAGCCCTCTTCATCCCACTTATTACTGCAACGAAGAGAAAAAAGGTGTCTCTGCTTTTGTCTCCTTGTTCTTAGTTATGATTTGCCGATCAAGTGCGTTAACCCGCGTCATCTTTAGAATTCTCGAATCTAAAACATAACTGCCCATAAAGCGTGAAACGCTTCCAAAAGGCTAAAACCTTTGCTTGAAGTAGCTCTATGTTAAGAGTGTAGACAGCAGAAAGATTAGCAACTACAACCATAACGAGGAAGAGACTCAGGCTAAAAAAACAAACATACGTTCTTGAGGACCACTGTAGTAATATTTGACGTGAGGATGTTTAGTGCCTTCATTCCAAATATCATCAACTACTTTTCCTTCGGGATCTGCAAGGTAAATTATAGAGAAAAGGAAAAAAGTTTAAAGCATGATCTAGCCTTCCCAGAATCCAACTATTAGTTGTGGAATGATTTGTTTGCTCAGAATCTGCTTTTATTTAGGTTTCTACTGGCTGTTAAGTGTTCGCTATAGAATAACGAAGGAGTTAAATCGGTTTTCCGTAATTTTTTGATATTTCGAATGGTTGGTTAAACTAGCTAACGCGTTTTACGTGAATGGACATGCAATAAACTTCACGTTAATTAAGAAATGAGACACATTCTGAAGAACAGAAACAATTGGGCTGTTAAGGGGCTAAATTGGAAATACAACCAAGCAGTGTCAAGCTATTCCCGCACACTAAAGGCGTGATTGACTGATTATATGTATATCAAATTGTTACTTCCTTTCCTTTTTCATGAAAAGCTAAAAACTGCTGAAAAACAGGTGGACTTTTTAACACCAGTGAAATCACTTACTCAGAAAAAGAACTCTTGGGATGTACTCGCCATCAACCACAAACTGGCTTCCCTTCGGCTCTTCTTCGTCTTCTGTATTTACCATCACAAAATGCCTGCTCATTTCTGCAAACTCCTTTGAGTCAGCAAGTTTTGGTTTCAGGGCTGCGAAGATTTAAATAAGAGGTTTCATTAATCCTCCCTCTCCAAGGATATGATAAAATGAGATCAGATTGTGGATGCGCTTAGCTCGAAATGAATTACCTTTACACGAACCACACCAAGTCTTGTGAATAAGAAGCAACATCCACTTGCCACTGCAAAAAAAAAGGAACTTCAGTTCTCCCAAAGTAAACATTGATGAAAGGAAAATGGACGTAGTTCAAGAATACGTATTTACCTCTGTTTAATTTGCTTTAATCCATCTTCGAACGTCACCCAGTCTATACGGTCTCCAAAACCTGTGCGACCGAAGGGAGAAATTTTATTGTAAACTCAGCTATTGTTGTATTCCTTATCAATTGCATTAGGCCAATTCTCACTCTGGCATTGAAAAAAATATTACCCCTAGTTGCATTGTCCATGTACTGTACTTAACCCTGTGACTGGTTGAGAAAACTCGCGCCGCATTCCCTCTCAACCAGTCACCACTAATAGCAACTTTTTCATTTACGGTTTCGCGCGCTTACAGAAATTTGTTTGTTTTAATTCGATTTCCCTTCGGCCTCTTATGATTTTGGCCTTTGTTTTCACTGATCTCATAGCCAGCTTTACCAATTTTGATCAAATAAACTTAATAGGAGTGTGCTAAAGTATTTGTCAGCAGCTGATGTCGACGTTCTTCTTACCTCTTGCAAGAGGATTGCTTTTTACGGCTGGTTCTTCAATTTCCTTCAGTACATCGCTCCCTTTGGTCTTTTTCAGGACTGACTTCATACTGTCAATAACTGTGAAAGACAAACCAAACAAACAAACAAACAGTCAAGTTCCCATATTGACAATGATCAGATCCCCACACTTTTTTCTTCACTTACTCTCAGAGGTTTTCCCATAGTAGTACTTAGTTTCTTTGTGTTTCCCGTTTTCATTGTAAAATTCTTTCATGACCTCTCCTTCTGCAGCTAAAAAACAAAGACAGAGTTTTAAATTACTGCACTCAGCTGCACCAATTTCAAGTTGTGATTTCAAATGGTAGAATCGGAAAAATAACTAGACAAACTTCAATTCAAAATCCACCCAATGAAATTTCACTCCTATTAAGTCATTTTCGATTGGATGTCGAAAGTAATCAGGGTTGCTCTGGTTCTTCTTTATTTTGCCATGTGATTGGTCCAGAAAACTTGCGCCCTCCTCCCAACCAATCAGATGCAAAACTAAAAACAATTGCAACTTTTTCATTCGCGTTTTCCCGCGCTTCAAGTAGTTTGCTTATTTTGATTGTGATCTCTCATTGGCGTATGACGGTGTAAACCTCTTTCTGATTGGTCGCTGAGAAAACTACTCTATGTTTCCAGAAACTAACTCGAAGCTTACACAAAAACAAGATCCTAGGAATATATCTTCCATCTGGGCGGTATTTTTCCTCCTTTGGCTCCTCTTCATCCTACGGCAAAAATCAATTATTCATTAGTGAAAGACCATGTGAATTATAGACATACAGTATACATCAACGTATGATTTATATATATATATATATATATGGGCCTGAAAGTGCCCCTAATTGTTCACATTTAGGGTAGATTCACAATGACATTTGAAATCATCACCAACTTGTTATTCTATAGATCAATGTTTCTTCTAACTTGATGATTTCAAATTTTGAAAAACGGGAATGAGTGGCTTTCACTAAGCCAAAATGAGATGTGTTCCTCAGAGGTTTGGTGTAACTATGGTTACCGTAGTTTTTTCCTTTAACAAAATCACCTTAAGTTGTTTATTTAATGTCAGCCACATTTGGATTTTGGAGTCTGTCATTATCAATCCATCAAACAGTGGGTTTCAAGAAACAGGGAGATCGATTCAAGTCCCCTTCAAATTCTTTCTAATTTTTTTCAAGTCTCTCGAACTTACCTCTACATTAACCATCACAAAATGTTTACTCAGATCTGCAATTTCTTGCGAATTCGCGAAGTCGGGTTTCAACGCTGAGAATAAGAAGCAAATGTTGGACTGTTAAAGTTAACCAGCTTGATCAATTCCCGCATAATTGCAAGACACAAGGGGCCGGTTATTCAAACAAAGTTTAGCCGTCGTTTAACAAAACCCCGTTCTAAGCCATCTTCAGTTTAGCCGAATCTTTTACCTAAGGATCAATTTTTTGTGAACAGCGTCAACAAGCCGAAACCGAATGGTAGACGGACATCTATTTAAACGAAATCAACCCTCTTATGGAGAATCACCGAGGCCCACTGCTTTCGTAAAACCGCGGTTTGGGTTAGATCTCGTTTAAATAAGCGACCCAAGGAGTCTGATCAGGAACTTTTATTCACTCTTTGAGTCTCTGTCTCTGTCTCTTTAATTCAGCCCTTAGTGATCTCTCAGTGGGCATGTTTGGACTTAAGGTACGACTGACCTCGCAAGAGTAAACATATTTTGAGAACGCTAACCCAAACAATGTTACGAGACATACAAAATGAACAACAAAGTACTTGAAAACAATCAGTCTTCGAGAGAAAAAAAAACTTAAGAAAAACTTTAAGCAAAGGCAAGGGCAAACCCAAACACGACTAGGGATGAGGACTATCGTACGAGAATCAATTCCCATTACAACGGTCAAGGACACATCACAGAAAAGATAAGAAATAATTGTGTGGTCTTGCCGCGCATAACTTGCAAACCAACGCTAGCAAGACTCACACAAGGATTGCAAGATAATCTAACAGGCCTAAACAACTACTAAACACTTAGCCAGAACATTGCTAATTTTAGTAGTTCATAACACATAACAAAAGCAAATCAGAAATATTTGGAAAAATTGGCACGGTGTTTTTACTATTTCCATGATTTTCTATTCGAAAAGAAGTATATTTCCATTCGATGAAGAGTTTAAATCATATTTTCGCTTTACCTTATTTTTATAATTCAGCAACAAAGTAGAGAAAATATTTTACCTTTACAGGCTCCACACCAGGTCTTGTAAATCAACAGCATTAGTGGCTTATCACTGTGAAAGGAGGAATTGTATTTGTCAAGTTTTAGTGATTTAGTGTAAGCAAAGCGTGGTAATCTAAGAAAATTGGAGAGTTACAATTACACATGAACGACGTAAGCCGCATCGATAGAAGGTAGATGTGAGCAAGTAGTCTATCAGAGCATCCTTATACGTTTATCATAAAAATGTATCAGCCTTTTAGATCTGAGTTTGAAATGGAGCCTCTCTTCGCCATAACAAGTTTTGGGAAATTTTTCGATTTGAAGAAATGACTATGGCACAATCTAAGAGAAACGACTTGCAAAAGACTTTTATTTCCTGATTATAGCCATTGTTATTCTATGATCTACCGTATAGATAATGGAACAACCTGTCGTCGCAAAATGTCGCAAGTCAAAAGTTGACATCTACAGCTCTTGCTTAACTAAACAAAGAATTCGTTGTGTTTATAAATCATAAAACAACTATCAAACAGAGAGTTTCTCTTTTACTCCATGTCAGCTACTAACAGTGAATCAATCAAATAGAAGCGTACTTGCACATGAAAACTTGTCGTAACCGTAACTGAAGTTGTTGAGTTCTTCTGCCAGACTCTATATAATGTAGCTTTATTACGATTTAATACCACGTGACTGAGGACATCTCCTATGCTCTGAGTTCCACTGACTTCAATTTTAATTCCTTCTAACTTCAAAACAGACTTTGTGATGAGAATAAACAGAGACTAGGGACTGATTTCCATAAAGCTCGAATAAAGATGTTAGCCAATTCATTTAGACCAAATGCAAATTTTCCTTAATTAAAATCTCACCACGGATTTGATAGAATGCTCCTTTGTATGTTTCGAATTTCGATATACACATCAACTATCCGATATACTTTTCGAAAGTAGATGTAAAACATAAGAATCTGAGTGCTTCGTTTTCATTCATACGGTAATTGTTTCATGATCGATTTGCAACATTTCTACTGATCAGAAAGAGCGCCCCTCAAAACACTGTTTTGTTTTATTCTTCACTCCAATCTTTTCGTTTCATTCATCATTAAAATAACTCAGTTATTTACCTCTTTTTTGCTTCTTTCAAACCATCTTCCAAAGTTTTCCATTCTATCTTTTCTCCCCAGCCTGAAAAATTCAAATTCAAGGCAGAGTCACTCAAAACATTCATTCTAACTGCTTTCAAAGAAGTGAAATCATAACGTGAATCTAAACATTCCATACCTCGATCAAGAGGTGACTCGGCTTCGAATTCACTGCATTTACATATAGCTAAATTGGAAAATAAAACTAGAGCTATAAGTTGCCTCATCTTCAAACTGCGTTCTTTTAAAGTTGAAGACTTCTTTCTTTTACTGTGCGGTGAAGACGATATTGTCTTTTTCCACCTGCTGAATTTCCCGGTTGGCCTATTGGACAATGCGACTTAAAGTGTAGAAGATCGTAGGACTAAAAACTGGTAACACGCTCCTGTTCATTAATAATTGAGTAATTCCTTTTTTTTGAGGGAAATTCAATTGTGGTGGAGTTGAAAGACACACGACTTTTTGAGTGGAATTTTAGAAGCACCGACTTGCAGAAAACTGGAGTCAGTTTTGGTGGTTGCGGCTGGTTTTCCTCCTCCACAAAGAATCGTACAAGGCAAAAAATGAAGAAACTCGTGGAACTTAGAGATTACCGAAGTGCGAGTGCAGGAGAAAATGTTCGACATTTCAGAACAGAAAATTGCTCAACTTGTGTCAGGTTGCGGTTGATTGTCGTTTTTCAATATTTATCATCTTTTTCTACAGGTAAATGATGGAATAATTTTGAAACTAAAAGTGCTTGTCCCTGCCAATTTCCTATGACACCATGGATCGCGTGGAAGACTGGGACGAGAAATTGAAGGTCCGCGTGACACTTGACAATGAAGAGCCTGAGCTCTACTTCTCCTAATATGGCAATCTCGTGAGTTGTCCTACGCACGCGCGTCACTTACGCAAGAAAAGTCTTGTGCACCTTACGACTTGCATCAGCTACTAAAGGCCTGTACTTCGAACGCCTTTTCTCAAAATCACTAGAAATTGAAAATGTGGTCTACTTTAAACACTTCTCGAAGATCTCTCAAGCATCTTGCCAGGGTTGCCCGTCATGTGGCTTCGCTGAGATCGTTTGGGTCTGTCAGCAATCAGGTACGACTCGATCGCTATAAGTGCCGGTTATTTGACATATATGTACCACTTCTAGATTTCCTAATTATCGGTCTCGTTTTCGCCACCAACAGAGAATTATTACCGAAGATATCCTGTCAAAAAATGGATTCTGCAAAAGTCGGCCTTACAGGTAAGATTACGGTAGTTTGTTGGGTAGCTAAGATATTTTAAAGGTAATCCAGTTTTCCACGTGGTCTCCATAAGGGCCAATAATCGCTCCAGTTCTTAAATGTGGCTGATAGAGATGGAAAAAAATTTTCATACCAAATTCTCTTGATTTGTTACTTTCCAACTTGAGAAAAAATTGGAGGAGAATATCTTTCAGTAAACGAGTTCAACTTCAAGTTTGATTGATCTACTGTAAGTACACGTACATATCTTATGTAATCGACCGTTAGGAAACTTCATACAGTTTAGAGACTGTTTCTGGGTTTTTACTGTTCCCGTGTTGTTCACGATCTCATTCACGTAGTCTACGTAGGCTTAATTCTTTGAGGTCTTTTATTTACGCCATATGTCCCCTAGAAATACTATGAAAAACCTTTCGTAGGGTTTCATGCAAGACTTCTACCATATTGTATAAATCCTAAGTTCTGGCAATTCAGCGGGAATGTTTACATGTCTTCCAGCTGATCATCTGAATTCAGATAATACTTGTGCGCAGATACACTTGTCGAAACATGATCCAACATTTTTGTTGGGAATTGTATAATTTTACGTGTACCTTTGAGAAGAAGGTACAATCAGGTGATACAATATCCTTCATATAAGCTACCTTTCGTTTTTCTCGTAGCCTTTCTTCTTGACGATGTACCCGCACTGATATTGTAAGGAGTAGCATGCATCTACATCTGTTGTTCATGAAGTAAATAATAAATTGCAGATATTATACTTAAACTTTGGAGACATCATACCTACTGACAAATACACTTACCACTCACTCCTGGTAGCAAAAGAAGCACTAACATGTAACTTCTTCATATAATGTCCATGAATTATCTAGCAAACAGGTAATTAGAATACTCAAACCTATCAGGTAGAAATTTTTATATTGATCTAACACTAAATTCCCATAACTGATATACAGGGAAGGGTTTTACAGCTAGAGGTGACCTTTAATCTCCTACAGTTGTTTTGTTAGTCAAATTCATCGTAAGAAGATGTACATAAGAAGAACTGTTTGCATACGTGTTATGGTTGTAAATTTATATTGGAAGTCATACAAAATAAGTTTGAATTTATGTCATAGCTCTGAAGCTGTGCGAGGTGCAGTTTGTGGTATTGATCTTGGAACAACAAACTCCTGTGTGGCTGTGATGGAAGGAAAGACACCCAAAGTTCTTGAAAATGCAGAGGGATCCCGAACCACACCCTCAGTCGTAGCCTTTACCAAGGAAGGAGAGAGACTTGTTGGTACCCCAGCTAAGAGACAGGTAAATTATTGTACAATTATTTTGAAAATTTATCCATTTTAAATATGCTCACTTGCATCTAGTTTATTTGCCAGTAGCTTCTAAGACTTGCACTGGTCCAAAGGTTAATGTACACAGAAGTTTCCAAAGTAACTTGTCATCTAAAGATCAACTTTACAGGACAGATTTTTTAAGCATCAAGCTGCATTATTCACTCAACAACCATGGTATGTGCTGTGTTACTAATTAAAGCTTCATCATGTTTGAAACTTTTTCCTCAGGCGGTTACAAACCCAGAAAATACATTGTATGCCACCAAAAGGTACATTGGTCGCAGATTTGATGATCCTGAGATCAAGAAAGATGCGTAAGTATTTGGATAAATTTTATGCCATGGATGCATTTTTATGTAAAGTGCTTTTAGAAAGCAACCGACTTTGAACTCTGGTCAATGAAACAACAGCTAATGAATTTTTCCTATTTTAGACAAAGTGTGTCATTCAAAATAGTCAAAGCCTCAAATGGGGATGCATGGTTTGAAGCCAATGGCCAGATGTATTCACCAAGTCAGGTTGGAGCTTTTGTACTCATGAAAATGAAAGAGACAGCTGACAGTTACTTAGGTACAACAGTCAAGAATGCTGTGGTCACTGTGCCTGCCTACTTCAATGACTCTCAAAGACAGGTTTGTATTGCATTTCATGTATTAAAATGATAGCTCTACATGATACACTTACGGTGTAAATTTGTCAATGTTGCTTTACAATTGAATCAACTTTATTTAACAAGACATAACTTTAAACAGTTATTCAACTGAGAAACTTGTAGCCCTCAATCCATATGGATAATGATAAATACTTGTATGTGCAGAAACACAAATACACTGTATATATATAAGTCTGATATTAAAAAGGAATGGCAAGGTAGATTGGACAGCTAAATAAGATTTATAAAGCATTTTGATTAGGAGTACTACTCAGTGCAAAAATCAGTATAGCAGTTGCAGCATTGCAATCAAGACAATGTAATAGCCTGATCATGATTAATCTTCATTTAGTTAAAGTAATCCACTTTGCAGTACCTACAGTTGGTAAAAAATAAACATGGGCTGCCTTTCTGAAGGTGGTTTTAGAAATCCTGACTTTCCTCAAAGTATTTGGCAGGGAATTCTAGAATCCAGTAACAGAGATATCAAAAGCTCCTCCTTCCTCAGATTTGCAATTAAAGGGAGCACAGACAAGATTTAGGTTTCTGTGGCAACCAGCTCCTTTAAATCTGTACAACATCTTAATAGATCTTGTATAAATGCAGGGAAGCTTCCTTGTAAATTTAAGTCCTCAAGAAATAATTTACATGTGTTGGCCTCAACTCTGTCAGAAAATGGGAGCCATGCCAATGATGCACATATTAATTTTAGTTATTGAATGTGAAAATTCTTTCTGTGCAGGCCACAAAAGATGCTGGCCAGATAGCTGGATTGAATGTTCTGAGGGTGATTAATGAACCCACCGCAGCTGCATTGGCTTATGGCATGGACAAATCTGAAGACAAAATGTAAGTTGTTGCTACCCTTCTGATCAGCTTGTTACTGTTGCCCGTTGTATTTCTGGTATTATTGTTGTTGGGAACAGTGCAGGGTTTTGCTAAGAACTTAGCCTGCCAGTTGAAATTTCATGTGAGGCAGCTTAAAAAAGGTATTTTGGGTGCAACTAGATTCCTGACTCAGTAACAGCATTTTGTTCCCAGTTCTTTACTACACTTTGAAAAATGAAGTGCTCAAAAGAATGTTTTGAATTATTTTACTTGTGATATGTTACTAATACTTAGATTAATCAGACATATACATTTATCTACCCATAAGTCCCCTCAGTAAGATGATATTGGGTTGATATTGAACAATTGTAGGGTTATAACATCAGAGGTGCTGTTGTGCTTTACTAAGGGATCTCCAGCTAAAAATGCAGCCAGCAATACCTGCTTTCTCATCTGAAAAAATTTGCCAGCAGCTGGTACTTAGCTACAACCCTGACCATAAACAGTGAGATTAATCAATCCCATGTACTTTTGAATATGCATTGAAGGAAGAAATGCCATTGAAGGAAGCAAATGGATTGAAGGAAGTTTAAAGTAGAATTTTGAATTTTTTGTTTCAACCTATAGAATTGCAGTGTATGACCTTGGTGGTGGCACCTTTGATATCTCCATCTTAGAAATACAGAAAGGAGTTTTTGAGGTGAGAATCAGCATTAACTACATGTAATTGTACAATCCAAGTGTAGCTCAATGATAAGGGAACCAAAATATGCTCATTAAAAACATGCATTGTACCCATGTGCAGGAAGACCAAAATTAATTCATGCTATAGAGTATGAACGAGCAGTTAAAACTTGTGCTTAAGTTGCAGTAAATGTACATCAATCTCTTTTAGTTTCATTAGGATTTGTTTATTTTTTCACCATGGTGATTCTGAGAACTTAACACAGGTTTCACTTGCTGGCAAATTTGCATTAACCCTCAACACCCTGAGAGTGATAAGCATTTAATTTCTCCATCCTGTATCACCACTGAATCACACATAGGTCACAGGAATAAAGAAAATGGTCACTAACTAAAGAAGCTCTTGATTGTTAAACAAATACTCCCTGTCAGCACCCTAGGAAATGTATAGAGAACAGTATGGAGAATATGCATACTGATGTTAGGGTACAAAGGGTCAAGGTTTACTGGCCAAAAAACACTGTACAGTGTACATACACTTGTACACCCTGTAATTACACTTGCACTTAACTAATTTCCTTGATCCACAGGTTAAAGCCACAAATGGTGACACATATCTTGGCGGAGAAGACTTTGACAACAAACTGCTTCAGCATTTTATTACAGAATTCAAAAGAGAGGTTAATTCTACTTGAAAAATTTTATCAGCACAGTCTTTCTATTTTTACATCAACGTTGAGAAATTGTAAACTCACTTTTTTCTGAGATATCATCAAACCTAAAACTCATAGAGTTTGAATTTAAATTTCAGAGTGGAGTTGACTTGTCCAAGGATAACATGGCTTTGCAGAGACTAAGAGAAGCAGCAGAGAAAGCTAAAATTGAACTGTCATCGTCAGTCCAAGTATGTATTTTTACAGTGAATAATGCATCAATGTAGTTCACGAAAAAAATTAAACCATATTTAGACCAACTTTTTTTATTGTAAAGGAATAGCTGGGAAAGTTTCTACAGAAACTGTGGTACTGCATGGTAGGGGGTATTACAATATACTGTAATTTGGTTTTATCAACTGCGTTTTTACTGTAAACTGGCCTCTGTAAGAAGTTTCCAGATCTGATTTTTAGAGCACAACTGCTTTGTCACCCTCAAAAACTCTTTGGAGTGGCCAATGAATAAGTTGCCAGTTATTGGATCCTTGCATTTGCACAAAGATTTCTGGGATCACCACAGGGAAAACATTGCAAGTTGTCAGAGGAAAATGGATGGCAAGAAGTTGTTTCAACATCCAAAAAAATTTATTTTGAATGGAGATGAATGCTTTTTCATGGCAGTTTTATCACAAATGGATGAAAGTGATGTTGCTACAAGAGAGTTTTACAGGAATTTCCATGTATTAACTGTTCATAAGTTTTTATTTCCTGCTAATATAGAATTTGTTCTTTTGAAAATTCTTTTGTATATCAGTTATTTATCTTGTTTTGTCAATTTTTTACAGACAGACATTAACTTACCTTACATCACAGTGGATTCCAGTGGACCTAAACACTTAGCCATGAAGTTGACACGTGCAAAGTTTGAGTCTCTTGTCAGTGACCTGATCCAGAGGACTGTGGAACCCTGCAAGAAATGCCTGAAAGATGCTGATATTAGTAAAAGTGACATTGGCGACATTTTGTTGGTTGGTGGAATGACAAGAATGCCCAAGGTACTGTTATTTTGCTTGGCTCAAAGAAATTTCACTGGCATTGTGTTTGTATGAACCTGGACTACATTTAGTAATTGTTATACTGTGGCAGAATACAGATACGTCACACTATTGTTTTCATTGTTTCTAATTTCCGGTAGTGATGAAATTCTATTGTGATGTATACTGTGTCTTCTACACCAGGTAAGAGCCCAAACTCCCACATCAGCCCCTTCCTCTCTCTTCCTCCCCCTCAAAAGAAAAGAATAAATCTTGTTTCAGCTCATTTTAGCTGGCTAATATTTCACTCAGCTCAGCAATTTGTTCAGAATATTGTATAAAGTCAAGCAGAAATTAGCACTTGTAGCAGCAAGCAACAAAGACAAATTAAGTTTTGCTGATGTGTTTTGTTACCAGGTTCAATCTACTGTTCAAGAAATTTTTGGTCGTCCCCCTAGCAAAGCTGTGAATCCGGATGAAGCTGTAGCTGTAGGTGCAGCCATCCAAGGAGGTGTGTTGTCCGGTGATGTTAAGGATGTGCTCTTGTTAGATGTAACACCACTGTCATTGGGAATTGAAACTCTTGGTGGAGTCTTCACAAAGCTGATACCCAGAAATACAACAATTCCAACAAAGAAAAGTCAGGTAAGCAACTGAAAGAAAATATCTGCTCTTTGGGGCCGCATGCATTTTATATGCAAGTAATATCATTCAATGTTTGTCTTGGTTTCATTTTTCAATCTATTTTTGTTTTAAGATGTATTAGAGTAAGATTAAACATAAGTCTTAGTTGGTTGATTTGATTTCCATACCATTACAACTGGAATCATAAGGAAGGATTCATGATAATTATTTTCCATGGTCAGTGACCTAATGAGTGTGTATGTTCAATGATGTAACCAAAATAAAGGAACTTTTTTCAAGACTCCACTTTTAACTTCTTTCAATTTCATTTCAAAATCTCTTTTTCCAAAATTTCGCTTGCCAAGGTGCACTCGAGGTGCAGCTTACATTGTATCTGCGAGTGAGCTTATACACCAGTTTTTGCGGTGTTCTAATTTGTGTTGTATTCAATTTAAATATCAAAATATGGGTAAAATGAAAAGACATTCTTATATAAATATTGTGTATCTACCTGGTTTGGTGACTTTTAATAATCAAGAAAACTTGGGAATACACAGTAAAAGCAATGTGCTTGTACATGTACATGTACATGAAAGACTTTCTTAGTGCTAATTTACTTAACTGTACAGTTTTGTTATGGTTTGTTTTCAGGTGTTTTCCACAGCAGCTGATGGCCAAACTCAGGTGGAAATCAAAGTACACCAAGGAGAGCGTGAAATGGCTGCTGATAATAAGCTACTGGGGCAGTTCCAACTGGTAAGGGGGCAAGACTTGACAACTGTCTCATGGAACACTGTTGTTGGCCCTTGGCCAAAATACTATAATGTTAAAAATTAACCGCCAATTTAGGATGTAATGATAGGAAAGACATGATGGCACAAGGATGTGTGACGACATAGTGGTTAAACATAAGTGATACACAAGTAGATCAATTCTGGCCCACTGCATGCCGATTTCCCACACAAAATTTCAAAACAACTGCTGTCACGTAAAATAAGTGAAAGAAATGTGAAACATCTATAGATAGAAAATGTTTTCAAGGGACAGGAACCATGATAAGCTTCTCTAAGGTATCTCTGTCTTTTGTTATACTTATAGTTTGGACAATTGCAACCATAACTTCTGTTGTGATTTTTTTCATGGAATATAGGTTGGAATTCCTCCTGCCCCTCGTGGTGTACCACAGGTGGAAGTGACTTTTGACATTGATGCCAATGGTATTGTGAATGTATCTGCCAGAGACAAAGGAACAGGCAGAGAACAACAAAGTAAGTCACTGCTTTGTCACATTTTGAATTTACAGTTACATGTAGAATACATTTAGTTTTAGTGAGTGTAGTATGGTGATGTTAGAAGGTTGTTCCTCGGTCTCTTGTACTGATGGAGAGGCTTCCTGTTTGCAGTTGTCATCCAGTCATCTGGAGGACTGAGCAAAGATGAAATTGAAAACATGGTGAGAGAGGCAGAGAAACACGCTGATGCTGACAGACAACGGAAGGTAAGTGGAGTGAAGATACATGTAAAAATACAGTACATATGTACAAGTTATGGGGAGAATATATGGTCATTATTTTTTCTGGGAAGGGGAAGCGGTGGGAATTTGGACTTTGGTTGTGTCACAAAGGAATTTTGACTGATCTCTCCATAAGGCTTTCTAGTATTCCAATGACCTAATGACCTCCCTCACTGACTTCCTTTCTTCTCTCCCCCCCCCCCATGAACTTTGTCAGTGACGACTGAGCCCTCTCTCCCCACTGCTCTCCTTGAAAATCAAGTGATTCCCCAAAATCCTCCATCAACCTCGGCCCCCACAGGGGATAAATAAAGAATGATCGATGGTTCCAAGGGCAAAGGTTTTTGCACTGAAAACAGGTACATTATGGAAGATCTTTCATTTTCAAAGATTTTTGTTAATTTAGTGTACATGTTAATTGGAGACTTGTCTTTTTATTTTCCTCAGGATCTAACAGAGGCAGTGAACCAGGCTGAAGGAATCATCCATGATACAGAAACGAAAATGGAAGAATTCAAAGATCAGCTGCCAAGTGATGAGGTAAAATTGGCTTCACAGTGAAGTCTGTGTCTGCCTTGAAGAGCAATTTTCAATTGAGTGTTGAAAGTAATCCAAGATTGGATTGGGTTTGCTTTACTTTACTCTGTCATTGGTCCAGAAACCTGTACCACTCTTTCAACCAATCAAATGCAATGGGTGGAAGAGACCTGGGTTGGGTCACTTGCCGTTTTTCAAGGAGGAATCTTTACCCTTTCCCTCCCAGCGGTGACCCAAGAGGAGTTTCTTGTTAAGACTTATTCCATTTTCCCATTAGAAAGAAATTGTCAAGCAGATGAAATTGGTCGATTTAACACCGAATTTTTAAGGGTCAAATAATTGGATTAATTTCAGCAGTACTTTTGAATCCTAGATAATGGGCCACAAGCCTGAATGTCTTTTCGCTATTTTTTTTTTTTTAATATAACAGACTGATAAGCTGAAAGAAGAGATAAACAAAGTGCGTGAGGTGCTGGCGAGAAAAGACAGTGAAACAGCCGAGTCCATTCGACAAGCCTACAGTGAATTGCAACAGAAGTCACTCAAACTGTTTGAAATGGCATACAAGAAGGTACAGTTGTGATTTTATCGATGAGGTGCGATTTACTTATGAAAAAAGAAGTTTAAGGAGAAAGTACCGGGCGAAACTTTACGTCCAAATGTATTAGAGCTGATTTCGACTCTGAAATGGGGAGCAGGAGATGATGTTTAGCAACAGCAACTAATTACCAGAAAAAAAGATGCTCTAGCATGATGCTCTTGCCCATTTTACTGAATTCCCACAGGCTCAAATCAGCTCTTGGGAAATGAGAATTTGCGCGCAGCTTTTATCCAGTTATAATAGACAACGAGGGTCGTATATTTTGATTTTCCTTTGTGTCGTCTTGTATATTTTCTTTTTGCTCATGAACTCACGCCACGCCCTTCCCAGTCAATCATCTTTCTCGTGTGTTTGTTGTAGATGGCCTCCGAGAGGGAAGGTGGAGCCTCGTCTTCAGGTAGCGAACAAACCGTAGGCACTGGTGAAGAGGAGGAGAAGAAGAAAGAAGAAAACTAAATTATTCGAATTAGTTCAATCCACGATCTCTGCCTTCCAAGAATTGCTACTAAAACATAATTGATAATCCCATTGGATTCTTGAGTGGCTGGAGATCATGGGCCACTTGAAATATGACATCATACCAAGAAGGGACTTGTTTCAAGCGACGATTTTGTGTCAGGAATATTGATAACATGATGACATTTGGCGATCATCTTGCTTTTAATACATTGGCGTGTTCATTTTAAAAATGGGGTGTCGTGGCTGTGTTGCTCGTTGTATTCACACGCACTCTGCTTAGTAGATGGTGAAGTTACTGAACGTAAGAGTACCAGGTTTTGTACGTAAGTGTTTGTTGCATTCATTCAGTGAATCAGTTATAATTTGTAAGAGTCAAGAAAGGGTGATTTAAGATCATCTTCTCTTGTTAGAACTTAAATGCTGTATTGTTGTGTTGGTATTCATGTACCTAAGTAGAAGACCTTCTCTTAGACAACTGGTGCGATGGAAAACTGGAAGTTCCCCCTGTAAAGTTCCACTTGCACGGATCTCGCGCGGACCAAAAAGTGTCACGCAGGCCGATGAATAACGTGAAAGCTTAGCGCGCGCAAGCGAATCTCGATTCTTCGAGGGGCTCCTGCAAGAATGCGCGTCAATTAATTCGAGCATATTCCATCCCATTGTACTTTGCCGGTTTGTTTTGCATCTCTCCTAAAAGCCGATATCAAGGGGCATTTATTGTTCATAGCTCCTCTGCTTTTGTTAAAAATGGTGTGCAAAGAGATAGAAAGCCCATTATCATATCTCGCTCGGTGAATAAAGAAATACTTGAATAAACGCGAAGATGTTTTTCACTTCCTTTATGGCGCTAGTTCTTCTGTGTCTGAAAGGTAGCTTGATATTTTTTTTTGCGCTAGGTACTTGCCCCGCTGTTATTGTATCTGAAGATACTTCGTGGTGTTTTTTCAAGTAGTGCACGTCCTTTTTTTGTTGTTTTTTTTGTTTTGTTTTTTTCAGCTCGCCACCCCTACACGCCAAGGTGCGGTCTAACTCCAAGCTTGGGTCAAGCTTCTGCTGGACCCTCTTCTCCCTCGATAAGAGACCATTTTAGAACAGAAGAATTATGCAATCAAGCAATTTCTTATCGTCTAGGGTTGCCATCAACCCTCTCGAGTTTCTGTTTGTTGACACCCGACAAAATTTTAGCAGCTTGCAATTGCAGTGGATTGATAATCAATACAAGACTAGGCTTCTTCTCTGTCTTCATTCAAAGATCGTCCTGTAGGCGCCTGCAGTTGTCTGCTCCTTCCTAACAACAAAACTTCGTCCTACCCTTCCCCCATCATTGGGCCCTTTCTCCCCCCCCCCTCCCCTCTTTTGAGCGAGGCCGCGCGAAGGGAAGCTACAGAAAGGATACGCGAGTGATGACAAATTAGGTGTCGCTTTCAATCACAAACCCGCGACATTAGAAGATCCGCGTCTTGGCAAATACGAGACGAGAAGGGATCAGAGAGGAAGTATTATTGTTATAAACTTAGATTTTATATTTGTCTTTGTTAGACTTAAAACGTGAGTGAATGCAGTCGCGTCAATAGTCTTCCTCGTCGACTGTTTTGCCTGCCAAACAAGAGCTGGACATTCTATATCAAGACAGTTACCCCTTAGTGGAAGGTTGACGTCACAGACAAAAGCAAATCCATCATCAAGTAGTTGAAATTAAGCGTCACTTATTTTACTTGGCACGTAACTCTTTTGACGAAGACAACTCATCTTGTTTGTTTTCCTCTCCAAAAGATGAAGGTTTCCCTGTACTTGGCTTCACTTTTATGCATTTACTGTGGCCTTTGGACACAGGTGTATGGTAAGTAAATCACTGTGAGATTTTACTTTGGATGGAAGCAGTATGTTTTTTTAGTTTGGACTGCAAGAAAGAGGGGCGACTGCGTTAAATATTCCGCACCCTAATTTTAGAGACTGATTGCATATAACCGAGGTTCGAAATAAATCTACGAGAGTGGTGAAGGTTTTCTTTGAGACACTGTACTGCTGAGCAATTTCCAGCCGAGAAAAGAGTTTAAGCGACAGCAAAATGCTGCAGAGTTTCTGAGAGTTATATAGCAGCTGAACACGGTCGAACTTGTTGAGATCGCGACTCAGGAATTTCCCTCCGCTTGTTATGTTTTCCTTTTTTTCTTTATTTGATCGATATGCTGCTACTGAAGCAAGCGATTACTTGGAGTGGACTTACTTTGGAATCGGCTTCCCTCTGGTTCTAAAAACATGTTTCTCACGATCGCATTCGCGCTCCGGCCGCATGACGCTTTCTTCTAGTTGTTACGAAACACCGGAACCGGAAGCTCTAAAAGGAGAGTCTACCCTTGCTTCTGGCGGAGAGGCGGGAGAGCAGAAGTTTGTACTGAAATAAGTCGAACTTGGACGATATTTACAGTAGATTTCCAGCCTTTAACAAGGGATACGAGCTGACCAAAGTGTCCCCTCTGGTGGGTTCTGTAATAGAGCCACCTTCGGCTTTTCTCGCAGACATCGGGTTTTAAATTCCAGTAAGGGTTAGGGTCAGGGTTTGCTAATCGATTTTCTGTGTTTTTCTTTCTGCTCTGTACAGATGAAATTTCCCAGTTAAATCAAATTTTATTAGAAAGGGGTCAAATAGTAATTAGCCGAGTTCCTCGCTCATACGCCGTTCGAAACCTAAGCCCTGAGCCTATTTGAGATATTTCGAGCGTTCCAGTGTGCCTTGATTATCGATGGAAATTACAACAGCCTTCAGTTCAAAGTTCTCTACTGAATAGAGCATTTTTTGTTCAAATTATTGTAGCGTAACGCTTATGCATACGGTACTGTTTTTTAAGGTCTAAATGCAGGCAAAAACTTCAACGAAAACAACCCTAGGTAATTATTCAATTTTTTTCCGTCTTCAATATTCGTGTCTTTTGATAAACAGAAACTTCAAACAGTGCATAGTTGTTGACATACCTATTGTTTAATCCCGCTGAGAACAAACAATCTGTACACCTAATTGATATTCATTAACTTTCAAAATTGTAAATTTTTAACGGTTTTTGAGACGAACGCGGGGTCTCAAACATTCCCATCCACATCTCTACCGATCATTTGAAGTCTTTCTCTGGAAATGGTCGCCATTACTGCATATCTGATCACGCTATCAATACTTGTGATTTGTACTGCACAAAGTTTAGCTGCTGTCTTACAGACAAGAGGTTTGTAAATACTGAAAAATTTTGAAAAATTACACGGGGGTTATGAATCTATTCAAACGCAAACAACTTTATGATCCCATTCTAGGCAATGTTTGGAATTTAATGAATCACTTCGCTCTGATGGTTTAAATTACAAAAAAGGCGAGAGAGTGGTACATCAAAAGCGAATTTTTTAAAAGTTATTTCAAAATAGCCAGAGATTATTGTGTGAATAATTTTCTCCGGGGTTGTGAGCATTGAGGTCGACTTTTTTCGGCAGGGAAGGGAGGGTGGGGGTGAATTTTATAAGTAGGTTACCTGTGGGACAACACAATTTCTTACCCAGCTCAAGACTCGTATTCACTCACAGACCGACAAGACAGGTTTCCATCTTCTCCGCCATCAACTTACTAAATCATTGTTGACCTTAAATCAGGTTGCAGAGACAACAATCGACTCTGTTCTACTTGGGCAAGAAATGGAGAATGCGGGAAAAATCCACGGTACATGAAGGTCAACTGCAAATTGAGTTGCAGAATATGTACCCCTGTAGCCGTAGCCGGTGAGTCACATTTATCAGAGAAAATTATTCCGTTAGTATCGGAGGAGTGAAAAAAAAAAAAAAAACCAGCGAGGCTTGGGTCGGATCGCATGATAAACGACCCGACCCAAACTTTCCGCGTTTTCGCTCTGCCGCTAATATCACGCTGTTTGCTATTTCGCTCCGTTTTACTAAGTTAGTGCCTGGAGTAGGCTATTCATGTGTTCATGTGAAATTTAATCGAAACTAATAGTAAAATGCACACCGGTATATCACTCATATCAATATCACTTTATTACAGCATGCTATGACAGAAGTGTCTACTGTGCTAGTTGGAGGCGGAATGGTGAATGCCGCCGGAATTATGCTTATATGAATCGTTACTGCAAGAGAAGCTGCGGATGGTGCCGTAAGTTTTTTAAAAAATGGAGCTCTAAGGACTTTTGATGTCTTGATGTTCTTTTTTTCTGTTTTATTTTGAAACTCGCTATTTTCGATTGCAGCTGTGAATGGTAACTGGGGTTCCTGGGGTACCTTGTCTTCCTGCTCCAAGAGCTGTGGAACCACAGGAACCATGAGCAGGAGACGAACATGTTCTAATCCTGCCCCTCGGTATGGGGGCCGTACCTGTGCAGGCGACTCTATCAAATATTTTCGGTGTAACCGCACGCCTTGTAAAGGTAAGAAAAGTGAATACTTTCTGGACCGTTTGAGCAATTCATGAAAAATTTAGATTAGCTGAACTTATCTCTTATCTTTTGACGTTACGCCATAACTTTTAAAAAAGACTTGATTGTTTGCATAATTTATTGTATTATTACTCTCCCTTGAAAAACTGATCATATTTAGGCCATGAAAGGTTCTTGAGCCTCAGGACAATGGCCCTCATGTAGTGAACTAATCGTGCCCCTCAGAGAGAGCGACGTGCATGTGAGGGGCTCTCTGGAAATCACCTCTCTCGGAAAATCTCACCCTGTAAAGGTTTAATGGCTCTAGCAATTTTTTCCTTTTGGGTTTGTCACTCTTGCTATTTCAAGTTCTGTTTTTTCAATTTTTCAAATTCAAATTTACCCTCAAATTTTTCAGTACCAGTCAACGGAAACTGGGGGGCCTGGCGCCCATGGTCTACATGTACAAAAACCTGCGGAGGGGGTGTCAAGAGGAGAACAAGGACATGCTCCAATCCAGCCCCCAAAAATGGGGGACGTACGTGTACAGGATCCTCTGCTGAGTCTCAGGCTTGTAACACATTACCTTGCAAGGGTAAAAGGCTACAGTTATTGTCTTCCTTTTTTTTTTTTTCGTTTTTCTTGTTGTTGATGTTGTTTTAGCTGGCATAGGAGTTGTTTTTATTTTTTCTGCTGTTGCAATGACATTTGGTTGAAAAAGATTCCAACCTTAAAGACTATTCGTATGTTACAAAACATGATTGTTTCTCTGTTTTTTTTTTTTTTTTTTTTTTTTTGGTTTTCTTTTTTCACGCACAGATCGATTAGGTAACTTATAATAATAATACTAATATTAATAATAATAATAATAATAATAACAACTTCATTTACCGAGGGTGACGCATTACAGTTAAGAACTGGTAAACTCGTGGCCCTCCCCTAAGATATAAAACTAATTTACAATTATTAAAAAGATAAGAGCAGTTAAAAATGGTAAAAACGGAAAGGAAAAAAACACTTTGAAGTGATAAGTTAGCCTGCCAGCAGCCTTTCGTCATTTGAGCTGCGGGACGCGCATTTCTCCGCTTACGATAAGATTTGAGGTTTGCTGGGAGTCTGGCACTAACAATGAGCTACACCCGTGCAGATCTCTCACGCACTCGAAATGCTCAACTGGCCTCATTCTTTCCCGCAAGCGAAGAAGCGCTCGTGCCGAGGCGCTGATAATGAGGGATTGCTCGTAAGTGAGTGATTATTCACCACCATTCAGTTGAGAATGGTAGCTTTGGAGTGTAACTCAGGATAGAAAGCAAATTATTATCTCTATCTAAAACGAATACCACTATCCGTTGGTTTGGAATATACCAGGTTACGATTATACATTCGTGTCCCATATAAATGGAAACCTCGCTGTTTCGAAGTGGGGTAAATTTGCGCCTGCATCCAGTTTTACGTCCATGAATAGTTATTAAATCGTAGTCACGTTTGTAGCCGCTGTTTGCTCTCGTAACGTAACAAATTTGGGGAAGAGAGCGACCCTACGCGTAACAAAAGTAAAGAGCAACTGCAAAAGGAGACCAAAAAAATGAGATGTTTTTCTCGTCTCGTTTCATTGCCAGTTGATGGAAAATGGGGAGTCTGGGGCAAATGGACCACTTGTTCAAAGACCTGCGGAGGCGGTTACATGTCAAGGAGCCGCACATGTAACAATCCAGCTCCACAAAATGGGGGTCGTCCATGTCAAGGACCCAGTTCAGAGAGAAACAGTTGTAACGATCAGAAATGTCCAGGTAGGAGGTGCATTGATTTAATAGTCATTGTGTGTGCTGCCGTTTCCCACTCAGCTTGTGAGGTCGGCGTGAAAGGCGGGGAAGCGAGTAACTTTTAGAATCTGGGTGATTTTTATGAGCACACATCGTGCTCGATTAAGGACGGTCATAATTTAGCTGGTGAAGGGGGGGGGAGGAGCGGTGGATTTTGGTTTTGTCACAGGTTGACTTATCCCATATTAGGCTCTGCAGGATTCTACTGCCTCTCCCTCTTCTCTCCCTCTTTAGCTTTCATTCTTTTATAGTCCCCTTTTTACTCTTTTAGGGACAAATGTTCCCCCTCCGTCTCCCATTGAAGACTATGTGATCCCCCCAAAAATCCTCCCACCCCCTCCCCCTAGCGATAAAAAATTACTTTCCCGTCCTCTTTCTAAGTAACTTCGTCCCCAGTCTTCTCTCGATTTTTTTAAAAAATTAGCTGGGAAGGTGCGTGAGAGCTTTGCGCAAGGGACGATGGGAAGGGAAATAGGGGATACTCCTTTCTCTCCTTTTTCCCGCCCTTGATTCCATCGTCATCATAATGCTTGCCTGCTGCGGCCCTATAACCCTTTTAAAACATTAAGAATGGACGACCTTGTACGTGTCAGTGCCCTCAGGACACTAGCTATATACAGGAGCCATATATATATCTAGCTGAAACGCACCCGCTGGTTTTGAATGGGATGTCCAGAAGAGGAAAAAATCGACAATTCGGTGATAACATCAGTATTTGTATCAAAGTTCTTAACCCTGAAAAACCTGCATTCCTTTTTTTTTTCTTTTTGCAAAAGTGTAAGGAAACTTTGACACGTCACAATGGTAGAGTAAAGTGTATCTAAGAAGCAGTTCTTTCCTAAGAATTAATGGAGTGCTTGTGTTCAGTCATAACATAAACATTCTGGCCATGCGCTTGCAAGACACGATCAAATTACTTTTAAGTGGCTGGCTGAGAGGTAAGGTCTAAAATTTGAAGACTGCAACTTTGCCTCTGCCTGTCGATATCAGCTCGTAACGAATTGCTTTAAATAAAGGAAAATGGAAACGCACGGTGGCACACCATCTCTGTTACGTGTTTTCCGTTCTTGCCAAAAAAATCCCACTAATTAAGGAGCAACTTGACAATTAAGTGGTAAATTATATTTGTACCCTAACTTCCTTTTTTCAAACTGTTTTCTCAAGCCTTCATGCCGAATGAAGTGCGCCAAATCGCGTTTGTCAGTATCATGTAATTTTAAGCTTTTTGAGAAGCCTCCTTGAAAGTTGACTTCCTTAATAAATTCTCACTTTCCATTTATCCAGTGTTGATCAGACAAATTATTGTCACAAGGGAGTCGATTTCAAACTAAAGTGATTGTGAATATAATCGAAAATTTTGCAATTCTTTGGCGGCGAGCTGAAACCATGTGATAGTTCACACTGTGTAGACCGCCAGAGACCAAAATCTATTCTCGTCCAAAAGTTGGCACCTTTGCCAACTCCTAGTGTTAACAAGCTCTTGTTTTAACTCTAAGAATTCCAAAACTTTAGCCGTTTCCTAATTATCTTTACGTTAACGACGTCATCGAAAAAAAAATATGTTACTTCGCATCCTAAGTTTATAAAGTAACTACTTCACACAATTCCCCTGTTTCCGTCGGGCTTGAAAAGTTCCAGGATTTTTACAACATTTGAATCTTTGGCGCATAATTTTGGCATGAGATCAAATTCCTCTGTTTATCACGCTGCGATATGATGTGTGTTTTTTTCGGTCAATTTTTCCAACTCTGCGCTTCTAACCGAGTTCCTGAGGTCATGAAATGTTCTACTCACACTGGTAGATTTGACCCACGCATTGATAGCTCTGAGCTTTCGTCATTTCCCTTTGTTTAAAATATTCTCAGCCCAGTGTACCTATTTTAGGTGTTGCTTAGTTCGTCCACGTGCTTTGCTAATTGCTCGGAGCAAGAATAGATTTATTAGTTACGGACCGAAGTTACTTAGAGCTGAGGACGAAAATTTTCTTAAATTCCTTTTTGGCATACCGAGGTTGGCTCCCAACAGATTCTGCGTTTTCTAACCGCGTGTAAAAGCCGGCATCTCAATTACATCTTGTCATCGCCGAGACTTACCACAAAAGATCACACAACAGGACCGATCGGTTCAGAAAGGCAAACGGAGAGACCTGAAAGAAAATCGATCAATTCTCCAGCGTTCTTTTGTCTGTTTTTGTGTTGTTCAGCATCAACTGCACTGAAACAATTCAAAAGATTTTCGCGCAACTGGCAACAAAGTTATCAGGATGGCCTCCGCTTTCAAGATCTTCATGGCTGTTTTCAGCGTTTTTCTTATCACGCACAACGGATGCGCAGGAACAAGGGTAAGTCTGATTTTAGCTGTTTTCTTGATTGATGGTCTGTCTGTAAGAAGGATTAGGGCTTCAGTTCTCTAAAAAACCACGTCGTCCCGTTTGATATTAAACGGTTTCTCCCTGATGTCGCTGAGTCCCATATTTTCTCAAAATATTTTAACTCTCTGAACTAACGAGACTAACCAAACTTTTCCACGAACTAAAAGGGTAACTGAAACAGCCACTGATTTTAACTTAAAATTAGCTGTGTATTGAAGATGAAAAGTGCCAGAAATACAGTGGTGCCAAATTGGAAATTGGCCACTTGAAAAAGAAGAGGAGAAAATCTGGTTTATTTCAGTTTTTATGCTGAGTGCTTTCACAGTTAGATAACGACGAAGACTAAGTGGAGGTGTGGAATATAACTGCAAGCCAGACAAACCAACTTGTGTAAAAAAAAATGTTGATTGGCCTAGAACAACCGCTAAAAAAGTTAATTCCAAATCTTTAATAGATTGCTATTCTTTATACTGAAATCCACATTCGCTGAGGTTACTGTTGTCTCCTAGAGAAAGATTGTTTTCGGAATCACAGACCCCAAAAAAACAAATCTTCTGATCAAAACGTTTTTTCCGCCAATTAACCAAAAAATGTTAAGTGGTCCTTTTTTTAGGAGGCGGTCGATCGTTTATCGACTAATCCAATTTTTTTTTTCAGTTCTAGCTGTTTGACAAAGGGTTATTCAAATAAATCCTTGCTCATGCTCTGTGGAACCTTGAAGAGCTTTGATATTGCGATAAATACAAGGCAGGCTTTAAAACCACCGAAATATTTTCCCCTTGAAGTATCTGTTACGTGATTGTTGAGAAATGCGTCCTCTAAAAGGTTATCAAACAGCATGAACTTCTTGTAAAATGGACAGGTTATGACAGCAATAGCTTTTTGTTTAATGATAAATCATTCGACTAATCTGACTGATAAATGTCGCTCGACATGGAGTCAAAAATACCTCAATCATTCTTGGAGGCCGACGGTTTTGAGAAAAATGGATGGAATTGTTATTTCTCAAATTTAGGTGAACACACCATGCCGTGGAAATAATAGCAAAAAGACAGTCCAAAATGTACCTTTCCTCGGGAAGTCTGCAACCTGCTGATCAAAAACAATCTTAACATGTTTGAAAGTAGTTCAGTCACGTCCTCAAATGGCGAAATTCTCGGCGTGCAGAAAGTGTATTAATTTTCTCTTTTTAACCCTTTCGCTCCTAAGATTTCATTACTAATTCTCCCTACTGTCTGCCATACAATTCTTATAGTATTAGTTTGAAGAATTTGGGATCGGATCAAATAATAATTCCTTCATTTGGTGATATTTTTCTTTATTCTCATCACTTGCCAGCTTAACATTGTATTGATATTGTAAGGAGAAATTCTGTCTTGGACATCCATTTGAGTTAAAAGGTTGAAATGCTGATCCCACGCCTCGTTCTCAGGCTCATTTCAAACTCATCAATCCAACCTCATAGTATTTTTTATAGACTTATTTTTTCTTATCATCAACTTTTAGATTTAAAACTTATCAATTGAAAAAGAGTTTCTTTTGGGCCACTTCACAAGGGAAACTTTAAAGTATTTGTACGTTCCATTTTCAGACAATTTGGACCTTTGAAGACGATCCCAATTTTGACGATGATGGTCAAGACGACGGAGGTGACGACGAAATGTCTGGCGACGATGGTAAGAACTTGTCTCTTGCGCTTAGTTCAAAAGTTCACAAAACGTTCCTGCAGAAACATCCCGCATATAGAAACGTCGCGAAAAGTTTACTTTCCTTACTCAATTGAAAAGCTCCGCACGCGAATCAAGTGCCCATCTGGCCACGGGTGGATAACGCTTAGTATCAGCTGAATAGATCTCTATCCGGCAGACAACGCAGTATATTTTGTTAACACTCATCCGCCGGATTACGATCAATCCTATGAATAGAATCATTTACCCTTTGAACTACGGTTTTTGCTCGAACTCTTTCGATTCATCCATCTTCGCGTCATCTGTCGTTTAGCTTCCCTTTGCACTGTAACATCAGTTGTAAGATTTCCATAGTGTCCTCTGAACATTTCCTGTGATATTTACAAGAACAATTTGTCTAATAATCAAATGGCACTAGTTTTATAGCACGGCTTGGTCGTTGTTTGTACTTCTAATATTTCAATCTTCACTGATTGCAGTTGTTCACGGGAACTGGGGATCCTGGGGAAAGTGGAGCAGCTGCGTAAAAAACTGCGGTGGCATAGAGACACGAACAAGACTACGATACTGCATTAATCCTCCCCCAGAACACGGAGGACGACCGTGCGAGGGGTATGGATACGAGAAGGAACAGTGTCCATGTAAGAATTATCAGCCCTTTCTTTTTTTCTTCAGACCTCACTTTATTTCGATGTGCAAGAAGATTGTTCGCTTGTTTCTTTATACGCTTTGTCATCCCAGGTATTTAGTTAACACATTTTTTCCTTCTCTTTCACACAAGTGAAAGCTCGATCACCTTCAACCTTGACCTCTGGCCGTATTGTGGGTGGTAGAGTGACTCACATCCGAGACTGGCCGTGGCAAGTTGGGCTCAAGCTACCTCATGGTGGGGGCATTTTTTGTGGGGGCTCACTGCTAAACCAAGAATGGGTACTCACCGCTGCTCACTGTGTCAAAGATCTTGCTCTTAGAAGGCGTAAAAATGAAATGTGCGTCGACCCAGTCCCCACTCGGCGACTTCAAGTTGTTCTTGGAGAGTCTGATTTAAAGAAGGTCGAAGGACATGAGATCTCAAGTGGTAATTTTCATGTTTTTGTTTGTGTCTCGCAGCTTTAAGTTAAATCTAAGCCAGATTCAAGCGAGGAAAGGCAAGGTCGGGTGTGGCTGAGCCTAGGGCTGATTAAGTCTCTAATTTCTCCTTTCAAAAGCACCGCTAAATCAAACAATAAGTTCACAAAAATAAAGAAAATGGTCACCAACTTAAGAAGCTCTTGATTGTAAAACAAATTCTCCTTGTCAGCACCATGGGAAATGAATAGAGTATGCATACTGATGTCAAGATAACTTGTAACTTAGCGCAGTCAGTCTTGACACTTAAACTCACGAGATCTAATGTTTAATTCTCCCTTCTAGCTGCTGCACATTTCCTTGTAAATCAGTTACGAGAATTTGATGTTAGACCAAGATAGCAACTTCTACCTGATAAGTTTGAACATTCTCACTACCTGTTTGCTGGATAATGCATGGATATTATAGGGAGAAGATACATGTTGATCGCTTCTGGGAGCACAAGGGTTAACCTTTTCACTCCCAAGATCAGAACATCATATTCCCTGCAATATCTGCCATACTTTTCTATAAATTTGGTGTTGAATTGAGCGCTATTCCTTATTCCACATTTTTATTTTCTCATCACCCTTCTGCTTTAAAATGTATTGATATCGTAGAGAGCAATTCCTCTTTAGTTAAAACCCTTTTTTGGAGCGTAAGGAATTTTTCCCGCTGATCTATCAGTTCCTGGTTTTCACAATGGTCACTTAACCCGCATTGTAATTTCCATTTACTCTAGGCGTATCGAAACTTTGCATCCATCAAAAATACAACGAGAGAACAATGGATTTCGACATCGCTCTGCTTCACCTTAGCAAACCAGTGAACTATTCCGACGCTGTGAGTCCCATATGTATGCCAAGCTCATCATGGACCTCCTCCAACACTTCCCAATGTTATGTGACCGGATGGGGCCAAATACGGGAGGCTGGGCCGACGTCCGATAAACTGCGCGTGGCCCAGGTCCCGATCATTGAGCATAACGAGTGCAAAAAGATGTACCAAGGAAAGAGCCTTACAAGACGCATGCTCTGTGCTGGCTACAAACAGGGTCGAATCGATAGTTGCCAAGGTGACAGTGGAGGCCCGCTGGCTTGTTGGGAAAATGGTGCTTTTGTCCTGGCTGGGGCTGTAAGCTGGGGTTTTGGATGCGCTCAAAGGAATCAACCCGGGGTGTACGCCAACATTCCTTACTTTCAGTCTTGGATCGATTTGGCTATGAGGAACGGCTAGTGGGAACGTGGGAGAGCTTTCTTGTTGGAAAAGGCGTCAGCTATCAACTTTATTATATGTCAAGTTACCGTGTAGTTTAGGAAAAGTTTGGATCCATGTCACTATCTGAGCAACGTACCCCCCCCCCCTCCCACAGCAGTCGCCAGATAAGAAGTTAGGGTTTATGTTGGATCAGGGAGGGACAGGGGCGTAGTTGGTCAGATACTGACTTTGTATTAACGAGCAATTTTGCCTTAAAACAACTACTTCTTGTTAAGTTTCTGGAGCTAAGTGCTGGCACGGTGTTGCTTAGGTAAATACGTCTAAACGCTGTCATCGTTGTCATAGTCATCATAACTTTCGGCTTTTAGCCTTCCGTAGTTGGTCAAGAAAAGAACTTGAATACAAAGAATTTTAAGGTAGACCACTGACCTACCGGAGTTAGATAGCACGTAGATAACACAGTGGTCAAGCGTCGGACGTGCGCGAAAGAATAAATTATGGCCGGCCGCGCGTCAATCTCCTTGGCAAAATTTCAATAAAAACAGCCGCTGTCTTGCTGAATAACCGAAACAAAATTGAAATGGTCATAGAAAACTTTAAAATGAACAGAAGTATGGAGAAGGAAAACTCGATACTTTTCGAAGACTAAGCTTATTGAAGCTCGGGTATCCTGTTGATTTAAGATTCTGTTTTGAGCTTTACCAAAAACGTTACAAGTGTTTGAGACACCGTGACCTACTGCTTTGTGCGTTTGTTTGTAACTTGTGCGAGACAACTTGGTTCTGACAGCTTGATGGCGCACCGCCTAGTCATAGCAACGTGCGCACAGGCGCAGACGTTTGACACTGTGTTAGCGTAGATTGAGCTCGATGATAACCGGTATTGCCAGTCTTAGAGTACAGCGTTGTTCTGTAGAGACTCCTTTGAGTTCTATAGATCCCTCAAACGTTCGTAGTTTCACAGGATTTGGTGAAAAGTCAATATTTATAGAGGATTTGCTACCAAGGAAACATTTGTAGAGTTACAAGCTATTAAGGCACTAGATGTTAAAATGTTCTATCTTGTCAAAATCTCTGTAAGCAACGGAATATTAGTGCGTCTGTAAAAATATTGTTGTAGCCTTAACTTTTAAGAGCTTTCTCATTACACGACTTTTTGTCGAAGGCACTAGTAACCTTACAAATAAGTTGTTTCAAGCGAGCTCTTTTCTTGAGATTTAACTTTTGATCCCATCAAATAAAACGTTTCACTGCACACGATATAAGATGACATTCTACTGAACAGGGAGGGAGGAGAGGGTTGGGAAGGTGGGATGGAAGGAATCCCTCTCCTTAATAGTGTACGTTGCACGTCATAAAAAGGGACAGGAGAGGGGATGGGGCGCTCGGAGATTTTGGTTGTGTCATGATATAGTTTACCTAACCCTCCTTCGTCCATGTGGTTATTAACAATCTCCCCTCACTGGCATTCAATTTTCTACAGCCCCCCTTTTATGCCTTCTTTAGCGGCGGTTGATTCCCCCTCCCCCCCCACTTCCGTTCTCCCTGAAAACCCTAATGTGATCCCCAAAAACCCTTCACGTAGCCTTGATCGGTACATTCTGACCCCTACAATTTTAAACCTTTGACTTTCCGGTAAGAATAAACAATATGTAAATTAAAAATTTCAGAGTATCATAATTTCAAGAAGAGAAATAATGTGGATTATCACTCATGGGATTGGTTTACTGTTTAGATAGAGCTTCAGTTGGTGAACGGTGGCGCGAAAGTGACGCCAGACCGACATTTAAAGGAAAGGGAAAATTGGAAATAAGGCCCTCTCTCAAACTATTTTTCTTTCCTTTTCATCGCTTTCAAATGACTTTCGCACCTTTGACTTCTGTTAGACAAACAGTGCGTAGCGAAACTTGAAAGTCTCATTCATCTGGAGACATTGTGTTGAGTTAACAGTTTATTTACCCTTTACACCTTAAGATCAGTATGCATATTCTCCATACTGTTCTGTATACATTTCTTAGGCTGCTGACAAGGAGAATTTATTTAACAATCAAGAGCTTCTTTAGTTGGTGATCATTTCCTTTATCCTTGTAACCTTGATGTTGGATTCAAGAGTGATATTGGATCGCTGGTCACTCATGGGGGCTTGAGGGTTCGCTGCGAGGTATCGATGATTAATCCCTGTCTAAATTTCCTCATTTCCTCTCTTTGTCTTTTTACAGAAACGTGTGGCAGCCCAAAACAGCTGGGTCGTATTGTTGGAGGTCAGGTAGCCTCCAATCGAGACTGGCCGTGGCAAGTTGGGCTCCAGACTCTCACCGATGACTTTATTTTTTGTGGCGGATCGCTTCTTAATCGGGAGTGGGTACTTACCGCTGCTCATTGTATTTACCGTAACAATCCGAGCAGAAAAGGCTGTGTAGCACCGAATCCAGGATTGAGAATCATCATTGGAGAATTTGATGTCGACAACATTGAAGGGCATGAGGTTACAAAAAGTAAGTCGTTGATAAAATTTCATGATGAAAAAAAAGTAGCTTTAACACAGAATTTCCTGAAAGGGCGACCAAAATAAAAGTGAGGGGCGGGGACAAGGAGGTTGGAATGGGTGAAAGAGATCTAAAATGTTTGTAAATTGTTCCCATTCATACCCATACTCCTCTTAAGCTTTTCCTACGGACGTGCACCAGTTGCGCTGAGATATCTTTGGTGCGTCAATAATCAGAAAAAAAGGGAGAAGAATGATTTTAAACAGAATTTTATTCTAAAAAGTCAATCGTCGGCGAAGTCTGTCAAGTGTCGTGCAAACAGGTCAAAGTTGTTGACGAGCTCAGCGATATTGTCAATCAATTGATCTTAGCTGTCGGTAAACTCATCTGAGCCGTCAGTAAACTCATCTAAGCTGTCGATAAACCTTCCTTCCCAAGTTGTCGGAGAACTCACCCTACTTGCTCAGGTTCTTGTTAGAGTTCACTGCTACCCATTTATACTCTTGGGTGGAAAGAGGCTCCGCGAGAGTCAAGTTTTTTCCCAAGAACACAACAAAAAGATGAATGTGACCCTCTCGACCCAAAGTCTCGCGCGCTAATCGCTATTCCACTGCGTCTTCCGAAAAGTGTTCTCTCAACCCACCCGAAAATGCTACCCAAATATTATCTGTTTAACTAAAGTTTGGGTGTTCTCTTTCTCTCCAGATATAGCCCAAATTTGCATGCATCCCAGTTACGACCACAGCATCTTCGACTATGACATTGCCCTTCTCCGCTTATCCACTCCTCTGCCGGGATATAACGAGACCATGAGCCCCATCTGTTTACCAACTGCTTCCAGCAACTTTCCCCCGGGGACAAACTGCTCAGTGACTGGATGGGGCAGGACCCATCAATCTGGGTGGACGTCGAATAAACTCCGGGTAGCCCGGGTTCCTATTATTGAGCATGCGCGCTGTAAGCAGCAGTACCTGGAGAGTACCGGGGATACTGTCACAGACCGTATGATCTGCGCCGGCTACGAGCAGGGGAAGATAGACAGCTGCAAAGGGGACAGCGGAGGGCCATTTGTGTGTCTGGAGAGAGGCAGGTACGTTCTCGTTGGAGCCACAAGTTGGGGAGTGGGTTGTGCACAAGCTAGGAGGCCTGGTGTCTATACTGATATTAAGGACTTTTTGCCGTGGATTCAAGGAGTTATTTCTCCAGAAGAGCCTTGAAAATTTCACGCACGCACTTTCTCCCGTCAATATCGCATGGCGCTCATAAACTTTAGAAAACATGTACACGTGCTTTTCTTTAGAGTAAATTGCACGATTTTTTTGCATGATAAAGCAATTTCTTTTTGAGTGTCGAAAGTAATCAGGAATTGCATTGGTTTTGCTTTACTTAGCTCTGTGATTGGTCCTGTAAACCCGCGCCTCTCTATCAACCAATCAGATGCACAGAAAAACCAATCACGACTTTTTAGCATGCGTTTTCCCGCGCTTTAGACAGTTTGTTTGTTTTTACTTAAAGTCCTCATCGGCTCTTAAAGGAATTTTCCTTATTTCGGACTGACAATCGTCACTACTCTCAATGTGAGTTCTCGTTGGCCCTTAAATGTACTTTCCTTTCTCCTAAAAGGCCGTTGTGCTTACTTTGGTTTTGTTTTTGTCACTCAATCGAAAAGCGCTCTAATAAGAGTTATCAATCACTAAGCCAGTTAAAGACAAAACGCTTTAAAGATCTGTTTTATTGTTATTTTTTTAGTCTTTGGTTTTGCTACTAACAAGGCTGTGCTACATTTCAATCTAATGTAGGTTTGACTCGTAATGTTAATCGTTAATGTTCGTTCAGAGAATTTAGTATTGGATCAACTAATTATCCCCAAATTGATATTTTTCTCGATTCTCATCACTTATCTGCTTGATATTGTATTGATATTGTAAGGAGGAATTCTGTCTTGGTCACTCCTAGGAGTTGAAGGGTTAAAGCCATGCGAATTCTATTTTACACGTTGCAGATTAACAACGTTTAAAAATAATTTTTAAATCAATGATAAGAGAGAAATTCTTTACATATCGAGAAAACTTAATTAAAAGTTAGATTTACGAGTTTAAACTTACTGTAATATCTATGTTGGACGAAAATTTATATCTTGTTTCAATGCAATTTTTTCTTCATAAATAATCATTACAATATATGAAAGTTACATTTTCAGTGTAATAAGTGTAGACTCGTTATATTACCTTAATAAAGGGTGAAATACATTTCGGACAAATTCTGCTAGTAAGTTACTCCAGATGACAATGCACAGCCATGCTGCCAGATATTCACACACGAGCCCTTGGTGAATGATTTGAAAGCAGAACTGTGCACTGCACTACAATGGTATGCATGATCTCATTAATCAATATGGTTTTCACCGAACAATAAACTTCCGCTAAGATGACGAAAACATCTCCAAAGAGGATTGCTATTTGAATATATATCCCTTTTAGAGGAAATAAGATTTTTTCCTTATCGACTCATGATTTACTGGCCTGTTCCAGGCGTCCAATTGTAAAACGAAGCTCGATAGTTAACAGCACGATTGTGGAAGGGGAGTGAAAAAGCAAAGGGAGGTTTGGGTTGGTTTGTCTGATAAACGCGACCCGACCCACGCCTCTCTCGTTTTTTCCGCTCTTCCGCAACTATCGGAACACCTAGAAGACTACATCGACATGTGATTTACAAGCTTTTCTCACGTGAGTTTATCCCGATAAAAACCTACCACTTTTTTTCACATTTCTTAATGATACTCTTCACCAAATATTAACCTAAGTTTTAGTTTGAATCAGAAATGAAAATAAAAACAATAACCTCTATTTGTCGCGGAAATGTGCGCGGATGTTTGCCCGCGGACTTAATCTGCTCCAATTAAGATGCGAACAGTTTTCTGAGAACGAAGCCCCAAGATAAACCTTGAGCTTCAAGGAACAGATAGTGTCCAAGGACAAATATACAATCATATCTTCGCGCAAAATAGAGACTCTTGTGATAATTGTCCTTCAAATATTTTGCAACGCGCGCCCCTTCTTCTGTAACAGCCAAAAAACGTTCTCTCACCTTGAATTACGACTTATCTCAGTGGATGTATGGTTTGAAAAATGAGGAATATCACTTGGGTGATATCCTCAAATATCCCCCAGTTTTTGTTGGAGAATGTTTGGTCATTGTGATGCGCTTAGATTAGTCGCGCGCGAGCAAAAATATTTTATGAATCATAAATGTACATGTCGACCTTTTTTTCCATCAGAACTCTAATTTCCATCAAAGATCAGCTTTTGTTTTCATGCTACCGCCTCATATCCTCTGCCCACTGTAGGGCTAGGCTGAGGTGACCCCTCAGATTCACTTGATATACTTCTAGCGCCTGATATCAAACTGTTTTCCATGTCATCCTGCTCGCTAGATTTAATTAAATCTCTCTTTGACAGGAAGCTTGCAGGATTCTTCAAGCAGCTGCAAAAATAAGCAGAAGAAGGTTGCGTGCCGATTAGAGTTAAAGCAGCGATAAAAGGACGAGAGTATGTTTGACTGTTTAGCGGTTGGGCAAACTACTCGTTCAGTTGTCACCGTTTGTGAAATTATAAACAAAGCTTCAAAAGCAAACAGCAATTGCACTGTGATTGGTCAAGAAAGTTCGCACGCCCTCTCAACCAATCAAATGCTAAACTTCAAACAATCGTGACTTGATTACTCGCGCTTTCCCGCGCTTGCAGCAGTTAGCTTGAATTCGCTTTTTACTTCTCATTGGCTTTTCGTGCGGATAGCTACCTTTCTTCTGATTGGGGTGTTGTTTCTTTGGTTTCTGGTTTCATGACACAAGCTCGAAAAGCGCTCTATAAGTGTACATGAAGTTCCCAAAACGATTAGTCTGTTGAATTCTTTGATGATCTAAACTGGGATAAGGCGCATTTTGATGCATTGTTGTAAAACCAAAACGAATGACGAAGGTCTAACGCTCGAAACGTCAGCTCCAAAACTCTTTACGGCGACTAATTTACGTTATCACCTCAGTTGGTAATACTAAATTACCCTGTTGTAATTTACCCCCTTTATTAATTTATCTCAATAGTAGCCTGAGATAAAGTTTACCATCCCAAGAGGTAAACAAGAACTCCAAGAAGCTACAAGCACACCGCTTTGTGCGCGTCAAAAAGATCATATCTGGTCGGTCGTATCACTGAGCGAAGAACAGCAAAACCAATCAAATCCCAGACTACTTTTGACACTGAACACTGATCTAAAAGGAGTTTCGACTTGGTCTCGCGACTTTTCACGCACTCCAGGAAAATTAGTTCTTTTTACACTTGTAGTTCTTCTTGGTTCCTTATTGCAGACTAATTTTACAACTGTGTGTCAAAAGTTAGCCAGCATTGCATTGGTTTCGCCTTAAGTCACTTCCATCATTGTGTCATCCTCTCAACCAATCAGATCCAAAACGATAGCAAATGGCACGCTGATCACTCGTGTTTTCGCGCGCTTTGGGCAGTTTTCTTGTTTTACTTTGCTCTGACTTTGAGTTTTCATTTGCTCTTAGTAAGAATCATTTATTTTCTTACCGGCCGTTGTAATTACTTACTTTTGTACCCTATTTTCTAGCGATTTCCCTTTAGGATAACATGCCAAGAACTACATAACAAAAGGAAGGGGTCGGAAGGAACCTAAGCAACAAGTGAATGGTGAAAAATCCATATGAAAGCCGAAAGCACAGGCGATGCTTTCTTTCAAGTTTGCAACAGATTTCTACAGAGCATTCGTGTATTTGTGTTTAAACTTACCAGGTGAATAATAACGGTATGATCAACAGCAAAGCTCCCAGAAAGAACACAAATCCTGGAAAGTCATGTTTTAACGATGCCGGGTACATGGAGTTGAAGATGAAAGCACCAATAAAATTACACAAGGTTTCCAATGACGCTGTAGCTGAAAATAGAGCTCCTAAAAAAGAAGAAATGTTTTGGTTGATTCACTACTTTTGGCAGCCTCTAGTTAATTAATAGTTTCACTTGTATGCCGATGTGCCACAATATAAGCCAATAGCTTGGTACCATTAAAGAGCAATTTTCAATTGACTGTCGAAAGAAATCCGAGGTTGCATCGGTTTTGCTTTACTTCGCTCTGTGATTGGTCAAAAAAATCTCGCGCCATTTTTGGTCGCCCGCGTTTTCCCGCGTTTGAGGCAGTTTGGTTGTTTTTTATTTTTTTTTTTTTTTTGTGGGGGGTTTTTAAGGGTACTTTCCTTTCTCCTCATACGCCGTTGTGATAACTTTTGGGTTTGGTTCTACGATACTCAATCGAGTAGTGCTCTAGTAATATGAAAAATAAGAATGGTTTACGGTGCGCATTCGATTTCTAACCTTGCTCATTCTCGCCCACACTTCTTGACATCATTCCACGGAAAATGGGGGAAACAGCTCCGGAAAATATACCAGCAATCGGAGCTAATGATACAAATACAAATTTGCTATTGAAAATCCACACAAAAAAGGCTCACAGGTGGGAATTTGAAACAGAAACATTAAGATTTATATAAATGTAGCCTGTTCCAGGCCCTCAGCCATTGGAAGCGGCTGAAAGAGTGGGTGAATAACAAACGGCAAATTTTGTTGTCGGGGAAACGCCCTAACTTATTTCTCGCCCTGATTCTCGCGCGAAAACTCGCCAGTTTTCGCGCCCCAGAGAGGAAATCATGAGACACTTCATAACAGTAACCTCTCTTTTTTGGCCTACAACGCGCATGAAATGAAGACGGGGAACTACAAGAAAAAAAGTGCCCTCTTATTAAGTATGCACAATCGCATGCGAAAGCGATGACAGTTTATCCTTTGAAAGATGATGCTATTTAGTGAATCGCACAGGCATACTCGGAGAAAAAGAAATCCGAGTACTCCAAATAGGAATCTAACCTACGACATTCAGATCAGTACTTCGGACGCTCTCCTACTAAGTTATAGAAGACTCGAGGTAGGCTCGGCCGTTTAACCCTTTAACTCCCAAGATCTCATTAGTAATTCTCCTTACTGTCTGCCAAACGATTCTCGTTATGTTGGTTGGAGAATTTGGTATCAGATCAATTAGCAATCCCATAATTGATATTTTTCTTTATTCGCATCACTTGTCTGCTTAATATTGTATTGATATTGTAGGGAGAAATTCTGTCTTGGTCACTCATGGGAGTTAAAGGGTTGACTAAATCCATGGTGACAAGCCTCCTGTATACCGCTAGGATAGGAATGTCGAGTGTGATGCTTTTGCAAGTAATAATTAAATAATTATTTTTAAATGTTTTATAGGATGAGAGGTACTTACACAAAAACACCAACGACTCCTTCCTTGAAAACCCAAACACTAACAACCCTGATGCGAGAGAGATGATCCCAATTCTGGCAATGTTGATCTCACTAAAACACTTTCCTAACAGCTTTATACCAAGGACTGCACCAATTCCGTTTATTAAGTAACGGAAAGCTGAGAAATACCCAACCTTTTCTGCCGAAAAACAAAGCGGACTGTGGAGCAAAAACAGCACAGTCACTCCACTTATACCAAGAATGGTTAGAACTACCACCCCAGTAGACAATGTGAAAATTATCAGATTTCTTCTCGTCCCATTTCTCGGAAACTTGTACACGTACCACACCCGTTTCACGCTTGTCAAACGGAACAGTCTCCGGATCATGCCATCCTTGGAGGTAGAGGGCCTTGATTCTGGAACGAAGAAAATCACATAAAAGACTGAAGCGAGGAGACAGCCAAATATAAACCAGTACGGAGCCACAAAACCGAACTTTTCTATCCAAAGGCCACTGGTGAGTTGACTGATCATTCCACCAATGAACACAAGCAACTCCATAATGGCTGTGGGAGAGAAAAAAATAAGAAAAAGGTTAACCCCCTTGGGGTAGCAGAGCTGAATAACGAAATGCTAAGTCACAGGTATGCGGTCAACAACGCGGGCTCAGGCATGCGAGGTTTAAAATTTAGCGAAATTTACGAGAAGGATTTAAAAAATGGGAACATTTTGTTCAACTTTCTTCATTCACCAGCATAAGAATTTTTGCACACAATTTAGATGCCCAAAAGTGATCAAGTAAGATGGGGTTCGTAATTGGCCACAAAAAAAACTATTATGGGAAAGGGAATATGAGAGGCCTGTGGCAAATACTAAGCAAAAATTTACCAAATATTCCTTCCCCCAAATGGGATCCAAGGCAAAAGAGATAACTCCAAGGTCTTTTAAGACACTTACCTAACCGGAAGCTCCTGTCTGATTCATCAGTAGTGTCAGCTATATAGGACATAACTGCAAGCACCATTGTTGTGAAGAAACCACACATGCCACTGATGGCACTTCCCACAAACAAAACATAAATTGGCCATTCAAAGTACATGGTAAGGATTACAACTAAGGCTTCAAGGGTGCTTCCAATAGCAGGGAGGGCTAATGCAGGTCGACGCCCCACTGTGTCGGTCCAGGCTCCAATGAAGAGGGCGGTGAAAATAGAGGGGATTGATGCAAACATGACTACTCCCAAATGGATGTAGGAGGACAAAGCCTGAACCTAAAGACAAAATCTTTATAGCTTTAATTCCAAGGAGTGATTAATATGTAATTTCCCCCCATAATATTCAAATATTACTCAGCAAACAGGCAATGAGAACATTCAAACTTATCATTGAAAAGTTGTTATCTTGATCTGACACCAAATTCTCATATTAGCTAATTGACAAAGAATTGTGTAGCAGTTAGAGGGGCATCAATTAACAATCAGATCTTGACAGTTAAAGGGTGAAAATATTATTATAGTTATGATAATCTAAAAATTGCAATGTTTACTTTCTCGCACAAAAAAATTTTCCACACCATCTATTACTGATAATGCAACAAGTTCCTAAATTAAATGAACACATATCACTTGAGCAGAGTCAAATGAAGTATTTTTAAAATAAAAATTTGTCTTAATTATTTTGTATCACATTACCTCCTTTTCCAGTTCTTTGAGAGTTGTATTTAGTGTTTGGTTTTGGCATCTCTCCTTTGTTGAGGATGAATAAGGGAAATTCTTGGCAACACTAACACGTTTGTACACATATTGCTGAATGACTGGCATATGCATAAAAAGACCATATGCATAAAGGAAGATCACTGGCTCTATTGTGGGTCGACATAGCTTCAGCCATGCGGGTACAGGCATATTCCAGTTGCTGAAAGATTCTGAGAGAACAAAAAAAAAAAAAAACAAATGATTTGAATGCATTTTTAGTAACAGTGCAATTATAAACAATTATTGGATGACATTTTTGTGATATCAAGAACAATCAAGGTGGAGGTAGGGGTAATCAGCCTCAGCCTTTGGCTTCAGCTCATAACCCTTACCGAGAAAATACTGGATATCACAAAAACTGAATCTAATGATTGTTTTATTACACTTTGAACAAAAAAAAAGTTTGTGACATTGACTTAGAATAAATCATTTTAATTCCATCTTTTTTTTTTAAACTAAAATCAGCTGTTATCCATTCCATTCTTATTTACAGAATTTTTAGTCATCTTAATCCTAATATAGTGACATTTATAGTTGTACATGTTCTGTTTTTTATGAAAAATTTTTATGTTGTTTAATACATATATAATATGTTTTTAATTCTGTTTGTTTTAAGGCTATTCTATATTAGCACATACCTATTTTGAATGAGCTTTCCAGCTCACCAGACACTATGTGGGTAAATAAACAATTGATTTATTGATTGAGTCAGAAAAGAAACAGGAAGTTCAATGTATAATAATCATAACTATTTTTGTAACAATCTAACAATAAAAACATACATGTCATGGTAAAAGTCAGAGTAACTAGCATCTGACTTCTTCTTACAATATCACCCCTGAATCACACATTAAGGTCATGCACAAAAATAAAAGAAATAATCACAAACTAAAGAAGCTCTTGATTGATGGACAAATTCCCCTTGTCAGCACCTTAGAAAATGTATAGAGAACAGTATGGAGAATATGCATACTGATGTAAGGGTGTTAAGGATTAAATAGGCTAGTGCAGTTCACCTTAAAGCTGATTTCCATGATGGCCTGCTGCAGTTTATAATATGATATACATGTATAAGTTATCGTATGATATGATAAAATAATTATTTTTTTTAATTATCGTCACTTTCGAAAGTGTTAATTTTTGTTTGTCAAGTATCTATCAAAACAATCTGAAAGGAAGAAGAATAAATATCATACGGATAAAAACCTCACTGCACGACATTAAAAGGCATAATGAAAATTCAAAAATGTAAGAAGTCGCGAACCACATACCAGCCGGACCACATTATAAAGAAACATTAACAATTGAGAATTAAAGCAACTTGAAAATTTGCAAAATATTCAGATAAGTGCAAAATAAATGCCATTTAAAATGGATACGAATATTTAGTCTATTGACGTTCAAAACAGATGAACTGAATCGAATACAATAGAAGAAAACATGATGATCACTTCGGTCATATAATCCACTCCAAGAAATTTGAAGACGACAAGATTTCCGTACTGCCTCCTACTTCCTTATGGTCACAGTTGTTAAATAAAGAAAACACTAGCGAAAACGATGCATAACTTGTGGGACTATGGCTTTTTTTAGAGCAGTGTGGGGCTTAAATAAAATATTTTTCTTTAATTGCTTATGTAAACTGTCAAATGACGTGGAGAAAGTGCTAGGGTCAAGAAATTATGTCATGATAAGGCAATTTCGATAATTACAATTTTGCAGAATTTGTGTCAGTTAACAGGAAATTTAGGAATGATTTCACGTTGAAAACTGGTTAAATCTGGAGAATGCTGGTTAAGTGACAAATCCGAAAGAGTCCGCATACGTAAACTTTAAGAAATTTATATCGTAACATACGAAATGAAAGGAATGGATATCAAATTGGGCCGAGTCAGGACTGCATGTCTCTTCTCATTACGATCGAAAAGCCCTGTCTCTTCCAGCATAAAATTCTCTCACCTTAACAACTGCAGAACTCAAAAAGCAACCTGACACCACTTTGTTATGCTGTTTCTGTTCCTATAGTTCTTATATTCTGCAAAATATCCGGTCACAGTATGGTTCACTCCACTTATTCAGCTTGATCATCTGATATGATCTGATCGATGAAGTTTCGAGTCCTTTCAGTGATTTTTTTCCTTTCAGCTCGTTGAATGAAGCTCAATCACCCTCGGGTTTTTTTTTTCTTTTCACCCGCTGCAGGCTCGATGGGGAAAACAGTCTGCAACTGATTTAGATATATTCCAAACAGCTATTTACATCCTGTGGATCGTACCTTCCAAACAAGTCGGCTCGTTAACCCTCGTGACTTTCGCGTGACGCCATGACGTCATGCAATACATACTCAGAGTCAATCTTGGGCTCTATGTGGACTACTATATAACACTATAATACAGCAAATTCGCATTCATAAGCCTCATTCTCAGTTTCAAAAGTTACAACTAATATTCCTGATCATTGTCTTCTGATGTCATGCTAAAGACTGCATTAGAATCTACGAAAAAGGAGATGGTTCAAGTCAGCGGGGATTTTAAGTTAAGTGATAGTAAATAACTGGAAAAATGGGGTCTTATCCAAGGGAGATAGAATCTTGTTCAAGTAAGTGAGAGGTTCGAGTTAATCAGGTTCGAATTAGCTGGGTTCTTCTGTATTTCTGATTGCCATTGAGTTATTGTCGCTAAAGTGAATGTAATCCATTCTGAAAGACTTGCAAGAATTAGTTTCATCGTTCTCCATCAGGCATTTTAGTGCTTACAGCAAATTGCAAGACAGTTGAAGATGACTGAAAATAGCCAAAAAGGATGTGAACACAGGAAAGCCGATACTGAAGATCTGAAATTCAGGATATGTTTAAACTGAGATCACATCTTAAAACCAACTTAACTCACCCTTCCCTGCCCCTCTACCACCATTAATATCCTGAATTAAATTTACAAACTGCCTCCAACAATCTAAAATTACAAAAATGTCACCGTGCTTAAAATTACTTTCTACTTTGTTGATATACCTCTTCGTGGTAAGAAATTCAAATGTATGTTTCACCTGGATGTTAAGGAGATTGTAAAAAAGACCACATTATTTATTCTGTATTTTGGAACTCTTAGACAAACTGGGAAGTTAAGCATATATTTAAACAGTGTCAGAAGCTTTCAAACAGCTTATTCTTTTTAAGAATGTTTATACATCTTTTTTGTCCCTGGAAAAAAAATACATGAACTCTTTAACTCCCATGTGTGACCAAGACATAATTTCTCCTTACAATATCAATACAATATCAACCAGATTAGTGATGAGAATAAAGAAAAATATCAATTTGGGGATAGTTAGCTGATCTAATACTTAATTCTCTGAACTAACATTATAAGAATTGTATGGTTGATAGCAAGGAGAATTAAAAATTTGATCTGAGAGTTAAAGGGTTAACCCATATCTCTATCTCTTGTGCTTGTCCCAAGAAAATTACAGCATAACCAATATTACTAAATTCTGTACATTTAATATCCAATACCATAGCTAACCAAATTTACAATTTTACAAAAAAACTATTTCCTTGATGTATCAAAAGAGTATGGATCTACTGATACAGTTCTTTGAGGTATTATGTCCACCAACTGAAGTCTTGTCTGTTTTGTTTCAAGATCTTGGAGAACATTTGCCCCTGAAGCAACTTTTTCTTTTGTTCTTGTCAGCAGTTCCTCTTTTTGTGCTAACTCAGCTCTCATTTTGTCTACTTCCTAAAGAGCATAATGAAAAATAAAGACATTTCAAAAGAAATGACAAATATCAGACACCCTTGTCATACCACAGAGGGTGAAGAGTGATCCAAACAATGTAAACCTTCTTGTCTAACAGAGACTTGTGGCAAGAAGTTGATATTTAGAGATACAAGCTAATTAGGATGTGCTGCTGGATAGGATTGCATTTTCACAACTGGATTAATTAACTCTAATGGGGTTGCATTGTCAATAGAGTCACTAGAATAAGGTCACACATCTTTTTTATTTTGGGGTTAGAAAAACCTCCTCGTCTGACAGACTTGTGGCAAGAAGTTGATATTTAAAGATTTCATAAATTGCCCATCCGCCAGTCTACCCGTAGACAAAAAATACACTGAATCTTAAGCCCCCTCTCCTTCCTCTCTCCCCCCCCCCTCCAATATAAGCCTCCCTCTACCTTTTCTTGTTCTAAGAACTAGCAACTCTGTACTATTTCAAACAGAAAATGTGAATATTAATTATTTTGAAGCTCAATTAAAAACCAGGAAATGCGAAATGTATTTTGATCAGCTCTGGAATAGCCTGTTTCAAAGCCCTTTTTCGATGCTGATTACATGTACCTTGGAGTTTACAAGACTGGGTGCCAGTATGCATTTAGATCTTTATAAATTATTAGGTCAGTATGTTACATGTACTACATCACACACATACACAAAACCTCTCCATATTAAATACACACATATACACACAATTTATTATTGAGCAAAAGTTGTCATTATATATACAGATGCACACAGCTCAGTAGACTCAAAAACAAAATTTAAGATGAAAAAAAAAAAACAGTTTTAAACACAAAAAATAGTCCCATCATGCAAAGCCAAACACTGACAGGGATGAGTTACTAGACTGGGGTCCCAAATTTTCAGAATTTTGGGGGTAAGAAAATTCTGGTCTGTAGGGATTTTAAGTAAAATGTTATTACTGTATTTCCCGCTGTTGGAGATGCTTGAACAGACAGTAACTAAGTTGGAATTGCAAAAATTGTTCTAAGAGGCCAACAGCAGATAACCAACAAAAATTGACCCAAGTACCCCCCTCCCACTCAAGAAAATTCTAAATCAAGCAATGCACAGTGGATTAGGTCTCCTAACAAAAACATCTCAAGGCAAGGCTCATTCATGGAAAAGCAGCAAGTAAAAAGATAAATTCTCAGCCACTCTTACATCTTGTGTGACTTCTCTGGGATGATGTACACGGCTGTACATTTGCTTCCTAAGAAAATCAGCTTCCACAGCTTTTGCAGCATCAAGGAACTTTGTAATGCTAGCTTCAATGCCTAGAACAGGAACAAAGAAAAAAACCAAAACTAAGTTAAGTTTATGATAAAATCAAACAGGATGCAGAACCACAAAACAATGCTGTAAATACGAAAATTATTCACAAATATTGAAAACAATTGAAGCGCAGAGAAAAAGTCTGATTGGAAGGGTCTATATGTTTGGCAGCCGGACTGGTTTTTTACTCCATGCTCGGCAGTTGGAAACGTTTAAAGAAGTACTTCCATTGGTTTCTTATAATTAGTCAATAAATTTTCTGTATCATAGTTTGGTAAAATTTCCGCACAGCCACATCCTACATTATGCATTCAGTTCTTAAACAGAGAAAACAATAACAAAAACAATACATTTCCGTTGGGAAAACAGATTTGTTTTACAATAATATAAGGCTGTGCGGAAACTTTACCCATAGTTTTTCTTTAATCACTTGGTATTTTTTAACCAAGCATCAGATACTTTCATTACGCTTGCATGAGTTATTTCCGACTGCCGGGCACGGTCATCAGGCACGGAGTATTTTAAAAACCTGTCCGGCTGCCAGACACACAGACACAGCGAATTTGATGTGACAAGAACAAGTGTTTTCCGCATAACAACCTATTGATTTACCTGCAGATATAGTAGAATACTTAATTAAATTGGATACCTTAGCTACTTTGTCGTGCATCCGACACTATCAAATCGAAATTATGGGGGTTTAAATTTGAAATAAATCTCACCGCTTTTGTTGATATTAGTCTTCTCTCCTTCCTTCTCGACGTTGTCGGTGACAAGAAGAAGTGATACACAAGCCTGAAAGAAAACCTAATGGCTCAACAAACATTTCAAAAGGAACAATTTAGGAAAGGCAGAATTCCTTAAGGTTTCACCTGAAGTGAAGATTCAAGAGTGCTAACAAGATCTTCTTTGTGGGCAGCCATCTTGGACTTCACTAGTTCCTAGGCCTTCTCTGTTGAATAAGAGAGAAGCTATCGCATCTTCTCTCCTCCCGCAAGGTAATTTTGGTCATTTCTGTACCCTCCTCTCATAGGCAAAAGAATCAATTGATATTCGATTGATTAACAAATATTTATCTTTTGCCTCTGGGTTTTATCAGAAAGCCAATTATTAGCCCGCATTAGGTAAAACTTTCTTGTGCTCTGTAACATGTACATGTACATGTAACAATGCTTGTCAAGCTTCTTTTAAACACGATCATGTTCAAACAGAAGCCTCTGTTTCAAAAAAGTGCAACATCTGAGATGCTATCAAACGTTTTCTGTCATCTCCATTCATTGACATGTCAGGAGCTATAAAGTTTGACACCTTTATTGATTCCCAAAAGACATGAAAACAGACTATCAGCAATTTCTCAAAACCCTTTCTTTGCTTCAAAAAAAGAGAGCTTTGGGCACTTCAGATGTGGCCATCCAGACAATTCTCATACTTATGCAGAGGTACACTGTTCTGATGGGGTTAGCATTACGAGTTATGAGTAGAAAGCCTACATTTGCACCCCATCCAAGATCATTGCCTCTTTTTCCACCCAGGGATGTATGAGTACTGGTGAACCTCTTAACTCTCATGAGTGACCAAGAGAGGATTTCCCCTAACAATATCAATACAACTTCAAGAAGATACGTGATGAGAATAAAGGAAATTATCAATAAGGGGATTGATAGATGATCCAATACCAAATTCTCTGAACTTAAATCAGAAGAATTATATAGCAGACAATATGGAGAATTACTAGAGAGATCTGGGAGTGGAAGGGTTAACCATCAAAAAAACCTGACACAAAGCTGATAACAATGCATGATAACCCAAAACCTGCAGCAGATATTGAGCTGTCATTTCAACTTCAAACATCATTGTATATTGACTGTATGCTCTCAACTAATTAGAGTTTTCGTCACAAGTCTATTGTTTATAAAGACAATTTTTAAGACAAATTGCGAATGTATCTTTACAGGAGTTCATTTTCCATTATCTGTTATAGTGCCCAAGACATTAAATTTGGTGTCACTCCTTAAAAGTATAACTGACTAAAGTTTAGACTTAAAGTTAAGAAAACACTGACTATTTTATTAAAAATGTCAATCTGATTTATTAGCATATCAAATGCATTTGACAAACTTTACATCACTGGATCATTTGACCTGTCGTCCCTCCACAAAAATGAAAACCCAAACATGATAAATTACAGAAGTCAAAAGAGGAATTTTCCTATTGCAGTTATTTTTCAGGAGTCTTTTCAGGAGTCTCTTTCTTGTCCTTTTTCGTCAGCTTGCGAAGGCCATAGATTCCAAACAAAGTTCCATAGACTGCAAATACCAACTGCAAAAAAACAAAAAATTGAAAATACATCTAAGGTAATTCTTCTGATCTTGAAAAAACAAAGAAAATTTACATACATATGGATGCAATATATTTGGGTTGAAAATGGTGGATTACTATGCAGCTGTTTCCCTTTTAGGTCAGCATTGTATTCTTTAGATATTAATTTTTATGTTTTAAAAGTATTCTTAGTGAAAGGAAAACCTGTCCAACATGCCAGTTAACTGATAGACGCTCCAGTCTAATGCTTTTGTAACCTGCTAAAAGTTTGCTAGGCAGTAGTTTTGTTAAAATCTGGTACAAATGGGTGGTTTAGAATAGCAGGGGAGATTTTTGAAGACCTGAAGGGCCTCCTCTTCTTGGTGAGGGCTAAGCTCCCTTGGAAAATTTTGTAGGTTAAAACTCTTAAAGTTTCATTTTCCTGCACTTTGGGTCTATTCCAATTTGTGTCACTTTGTTTTTCCTGGATGTCAACCAAGAAAAACAAGTCGATTTGAAGAGAATTACACAATTTATCAGGTAGAAGTGCAATTTTTGTATAAAGACTATGGACAGAAAGATAGTGCGTTACAACTGAGTAGATCTAGCCATTACCCAACTGCTTTTGAAACTGCTGCATAGGCAACAGCTCCTCAACAAAGCAGAGCACTGCATTACTGCGAGTATTGCACTATCCAAAGTAGTATGATAAAGGTAATTGCAATTGTTGATATTTTTTTGGTAATTTCAGGTCAGCATTTTCTCAAAATACATGTAAATTTGATACTTGTCATACATACAAGATTATTAAGAAGAGAGTTTTAATGTAAGTGTTCAAAGCAGTTTTCCATTTGACTTTGTCCCCTACCACAGAACTAAGACTAGACATGTGTACATCCCACAATGACATTTCATAGAGCTTGGATGGTGCATAATAATCAGGATTGTCGTATAACATTATAAAAACTGTACTAAGCCAGCTTTTGACATAAATAAGAACAACAATCATGAGGGAAATTACTAAATATAAGGATCAGTGACAGATACAAAATTTCATGGGTTGTGATTGGAAACAATTTGGTACAGATGGACGGCAGTATTTGAGAAGCAGATCACATTTTTTTTCTAAATTTTACCAGCCGAACCAATACAAAGCATTAGGAGGGCACAAAGCAAGTGTGAATTCAAGAGCCTAGAATGAGTGATTCATAAACTTTAAGGGTTTATTCACCCTATGTCTAACCCAAATGCAGTCTTACACAAGAAATGGGCTTCAGGGATTCTCTATAGAGGGTTGATTTTATTAATTATTACACCCATTTTGAAATCACTGGTGGTCCCTGTAATCTGATTGGCTCTAATCGGTGTGTTTCATTCACAAATCGCACCACTTTTTGCTTTAAATCGCATCTTTTTCCCAGCCAATAAGGAGGCTACAATAAAAACAAAACCAGCCAGATTTCAAGGCTTGTTAAAAGTAACCAATCAAATTACAGGAAAATGAAAGACAAAGAGTATCATGTGCAACTTTTGTTTCCAAAACTCTTATTTTTTTCCCCCCAAAAACAGATGAATTCAATTTCAAACTAGCTTAGTACTGCATCAATATAATACTTGAACTGACCAAGTCCTGTATTTGAGCGATTTCCAAAATGGTGTAATAAAGTGGTAATTGAACCTTATGTCACTTAATTTTGGTCTGAAATCATACTTGTGATTTCAAATTGAACTTGTGCTGTGCACTTGTTCGATTTTGAAATCACGCATAAGATTTCAGCCCAAATTGCACTCCACTCAGTTCAATTACCATTATATATAATATTATGTTTATGTAAGTGTCCTTCTACTATTAGCTTTTGGCTCTCTTGACAATGTTCACACAAAATGATGTTCAGATAAAAGGTTCTGCTGAATAGACCTTTTTACAGTTCCCAGCGCCATATTGGAAATGCAACCGGCACACGTGAGAACGAGGCTGGGGTTGACTCGTGTTAAATCTCTGTGAGCGTGTGAAATTCATACTTAGGCAGCAAAATTATTCGATTTTTAAGGAAAATGGATGGTCCTAGCCGAAATCTCGATAAAGCTAATTTTTCTCCCAAAAAGAAAGGAGAGTAGTGTGCGCTTTTGGTTGTTCAAATACATTTTAAATGGTTTTCATACTTCTTCAAGTTTTAGGCAGCAAAAAATTATCAATCGATTTTTAAGGAAAATGGATGGTCCTGAATTGCTTTAAGTTCGAAAGTTTTTTTCTCGTAATCAAAAGCTAATTTTTCTCCCAAAAAAAAAGCAGAGAAAGTAGTGTAACCAAGACACTGTATCTTCAGAGTTTTCACTTTTTGGTTGTTCAAATACATTTTCATGGTTAACATTGGTTTTTTTAACACAAAGCAATAAGAACTAGTCACAAAAAAGCAAACCAATTTGTGTCAAAGTAAAAAAAAAAAGGCCAATATAAAGATCTGAGTGCTAAGAATGGGAATATCAATTCACTAAATGTTTATCAGATTTGGATAAAACTTTTAAATCTCAAAATTGTGTCATAAAGGACTAGCATTGCTGAGATCTGTAGCTGAGAGGAAGCATTTCTGCTCCCTTCCTTTAACCCTTAAATACCCAAGATCTGATTGTTAATTCTCCCTTCTATTTGCTACACATTTACCTGTAAATAAGTTATGAGAATTTGATGTAAGATCAAGATAACTTCTGCCTGATAAGCTTCAGTATTATCATTATCTGTTTGCTAGATAGTGTTTGGATATTATAGGGAGAAGTTACCTGAATCAGTCACTTTTGGGAGTTTTTAAATTGTCTAATATTTTGGTCTGATTCTTTCAATGCTGTCTTGCCACCTAATAAATTGCCATGAGTCGCAAACTCAAATGGTTTTCAATGTATCACGAGCATAAGTTGTCCTGGGCTAGGTGGGTTTCAAAATATTATGATATCTGTTAGTTACAGTTTCCCTCATGGGTTGATAGAAAGAAGGTTATAATCAAGTGGCTGTACAGGCTCTATTGTATAGTTTCCCATAAGATAAAATGTACAAATGGCAAATTAAAAGACATCTTGGTGAACAAAATGGGAACAACTTTAACTGAAGAATATGGTACAACAACAAGTACCACATCAACAACAGCAGCAATAACAAATCTCCTCTAACTAGAGGGCTACAGCCTTTGCCTCGGTTTTTAAGCCATACTGAACAACTTCTGTGGTACTTCCTGTGATGCGTTCCTCTTAACACGATTTGGCGATATTTTCGTGAAACAACAAGGTACTCATAAAGCTGAATGAAATTAATCTCGGGTAAATTACGGAGATCGCTCGACCATCCAAGGGCTGAAATCCTTACCATAGTTGCTTCGTATCTGAAGTCGCTCTGGTTTTGTTCTAGGTCCTAGATATCTGTAAGAAGTTCTCAGTTTTCTCCACTACTTGATGGAAGGACGTGTCACATCAGCAAAGCATGAACTTTCGACACTAAGTCAGCTCTAATTCCGCCCATCGATTTTGAATTAGATTTTAAAATCTCCCTGAGATCTTTTGCTTCGAGTTTCTGGATGTCATCTAATGACAAAATTTCCATATTGTTGTATTAAAGAACCATTTTGAAGGGAGAAATCGCATTGAAAAGTGCATTAGAACGTGAAATGTCAGCATATCAGCTGTTTGAAAGAACCGCCGGGTCAACCCCAGCCTCGTTATCGTGTGTGCGCAGTTACTAATCCAATATGGCACCAGGAACTGTAAAAATGGCTATTGAAGATGGCTCAGAACTTGGTTTATTAAACATTGACTAAACTTTAGACCTGACTAAAAAACCAGCATTAACACTTTAACTCCCAAGACTGACCAGGAGCAGATTTTCTCCTTACAGTATTAATACAATATCAACCAAATAAGTGATGAGAATAAAGAAAATATCAATTTGGGGATAATTAGTTGATCCAATACTAAATTCTTTGAACTAACATTATAGGAATTGTATGGCTGATTTGATCTGGGAGTTAAGCCGTAAATAGTTTTCTCCCAACCACCTGGGTCCAGTTGTTTGAATTGTAATGTAATGTTTCACAGATGATCAAAATATAACTCAAGCCATTATCTAGACAAAAAGCTCTGTGTAGTAGCTCAAGAATCTTCTAACAAACATTCAGCCTTAAAAGCCAGTAAATGAAGAGAAAGTCCAGTCCATTGCTTTTTAAAAATCGCCATGGGTTTACTAGGTTACAATAAGAGATCATAGTTTATTGTCTAATCACAATTATGTAATTGTAGGTCTGTTATTTTTCTTGTAATTTCAGATCAGGAGTTAACAATTTGTGTCTTTTTCTTCCAATCAATACTTCCAGGATCAAAAACTCTTTAGCGTCGCTAATTTGTGAGATTCCCGAGTTCCACACTTTCTTGATGAATAATCAATATATGCAATATCACAGGGCGAGAATATTCCGAAAGTTTTGAAAGCTTTGGGAAAAATTATTAATCTAGACACTTACATTGCGTCTTCCATCAATAGTGAAGCTATTAAAGTAGACTTGCCATCCCTTTAGGCCAAGTTCTTCTGCTGTAGGATGATCACTAGCTTGACGTGCCATGCGCCTGATCAACGGAACTCGCAAATTCCTCCACAAAATGCTACTCATTGTGGTCTTACCCAGCCAAGAACATGAAAAAAATATAATAATAAATTTAAACCTTTTTCCCGATATTTATACGAAATTATCGTTTTCTGTGATGTAATAAAGTACCTTTTGCTGCGACAATTCGTAGATCTATAACAATATGGCGGACTGAACAGTTACCGGTGATTGCAACCGCTGACCCTACTGGTGGATAACCGACGGCTACGTGGTTTTATCGTTGTTTATTTGTTTTTATTTTTTTTTTAATGTCTTTTCATTATCGTATTTCTTTATTTTTCTTTTGACAGGAAAGGTAACAAATACTGCAGTAAAATAAATTAATGGAATACAAAGAGAGGAAGCAGGATCGATCGCAGGCTGGAAAAATGTGACTGTATTGTCTTTTTCTTAATGCTTTCTTGAAATGATTGGTTATTGGAAGAGAGCGACTTTTTTCCTGGAGAAAATCAATATTTCCTACATTTCAATGAAACTACCGGGTGACTGGATAGCCATCAAGAAGGAAAAAAAACTCTTCCGCTGACATTTTCGCGTCCCCAGAGTACCGTTTGATCCCGATCAATCTTGGACCCACTCACGTGACGCCTACGCCATCTCCCTCAGCAAATTAGAAAGACGCTATTGTTAGACTGACAGTGACGACGTGAGGAACTTTACGTGACCCAGATTGTATGGGAGATGGATCCATATGGAGCTTTAAGGAGGATGAATAAACATAAATTTTGTTAGGAAATTTTGTTTTTCAAATCTTCCCGTAGTATCTGGGGTGACTTGAGAGGTAAAATCTTCAGTTTTCCTCCAAAGAGTCACTTTGAGAAAACAGAAAGATGATCCAGCCCGTTGATTATCAGACGCGCATGGCACGCGTTCCTTATAAGTTAACAGATTGACAAGCGAAGAAGTTAAGGACGATTTTTGAACGATAAAATTTCCTTTGCAGGCTGTTATTATTGCAACGTACGTTATTACCACTTTCATTTTTTCATGACTAGATTCAGTTTGATTTAGCTCTGTTCTGTCCACAAAATATGTATCTTGCTCTAAAGGGTTAGGAGATGGACTTAGCTTAATTTTCAAGCTTAAATGTTGTGAGCAGAGCATTCGTTGACAAGTACATCAAAATGTGATTAGATGACATTTCACTAACAACCCATTAACCTAAAAAAATAGATCGCTTTTTGAAGAACCGACAACACATAGATAATAAACATAGGCGCGTTTTAAATTCATTTCTATCTCCCTTCTCCAACGAAGGTGTGTCTGGCCTTTAACTCGTGAGAAAATTTAGGGCTGATTCACGGCAAAATCAAAATGTCTTCGAAAGCCAGATCGAAAAAGGGTGCATCTAAGAAAAAGGTGCAACGAGCGGCATCCAATGTTTTCGCGATGTTCGACCAAACGCAGATTCACGAGTTCAAAGAGGCATTCAACGTCATTGATCAGGACAGAGATGGAATTATCAGCGCCAAAGACCTGACGGAGATGTTTAATTCCCTGGGAAGGCCTCAGAAGGACGATTACATCGAAGACATGCTGGGCGAGGCTACTGGGACCGTCAACTTTACGATGTTCATGACGCTGTTCTCAGAGAACATGCATGGTACCGATCCCGAAGACATGATCAAGAGTGCGTTTACTACGTTTGATCCAGATGGCTCTGGAATCATCAATGAGGACAGGCTGCGACCACTGCTAATGAAACTCGGAGACAGGTTAGTTGTTCAACGATAGCGTTGTTATTATTTCTCTTTATTTCCTGATTCGCTACAAGCGGTTGGCTGCAGATTTTTCACATGCGAACCATCAGACGCAAGCAAAACTTTACAGGATTTGTATAGGGGGGAGGGGGGCAGAGATGTAAGTGGTGTCACTGAGACACAGCTCTAACATAAAAGTAGCTTTTAACGAGAAGTTTAAGGAGTGGAGTAAAGGTTATATGCCGCATGCACGGGGGTGAGGGGGGGGGGGAGGGGTGGAGACTAGAGATGTAGTGGGCGTCAGACACAGCTCTAACATAAGTACAGCTCTGATGAGAAGTTTAAGGTTGGGGTTAAGGTTGTATGCCAAGTGCAGGAATCGGTGAAAAAATCACAACTTCTCTGTTTATGGTTAAAATGGGCAATTGACTGAAATTTTTAATCTTTTCTCTGGTTGTAATTTAACGTTACTAGATTGTGCACGTGGCAGCGGTTATAAATTGGGAAGTTGTTACCAGATACTGGAATTCCTTACTTTCTCGAGTTGTCTAGATATAATTTGTTTAAAAAATAAAAAAAAAAGGGGGGAAAGGGAAGATTGGCTGAGGCAATATTGACAATCATGTGGGCTAAGAACTTTTTAAGAGTGGAATTATAAACAGATTCGACTAGCTCAGCGGAGCTAAACTCAAAATAATTTATTTGGTTGATTTCACGGCTTGTTTGGTTTAAATTAGTTACGTCGGAGTATTATAAGATCCATGGGGAGAGTGACTGTTCGAATCATATTTTTGCTTGGAACGGTGGAATCAAAGTATTTGATCACAGGTTTTGTTAGGCAATTTGTTTAGAAATCAAACATACCGGAATACTTAAGGAGATAGATATCATGAAATACATAATTAGTTAACGCTAAATGGTTTTCAAGATTGTTATATCTGTTAAAACAAAGTCTTGATTCATGAAAGTCAATTCCATTTCCAAGGAAGGACTTATACACTTATTGGAGAAGGTATTTCATGTTTCGAACCAATCCAAACCTAACAAAGACACTAAATCAATTACCAAGGGGTCAACTTAAACTTATGTTAATTTACTTTCCAGTCCATTTTAAAAGCAGATCATCTGCTTTTAAAATGGACTGGAAAGCAAACACAAGAGTCATGTGTTTATTGTAGTTACTGTTGAAAAGAAGTGCGAGTCTAGTGGAATATCTCACCCGACCAGATTTTTGTCATCATACTTTGATTGTGCTTAAAATTCCAATGTCGATGCCACAATGAGAAATGGTCAGATTTAACATTTTCAAGATCACAGATAATTTTTGCTTTTATCCAAACACCACAAATATGCTAGCTGTGCCCCGATCACCCGAACACACGGTCAAGGCTGGCAAGAGGAAGTCTGGGTCACATTACAATTATGATATTTATAATTCTATGGCCTGTTTCTTGTTACATTTTAGGTTTACAGAGGAAGAATGCGATGAAATGTTTACTCATGCAAATGTTGACGACGACGGGAATTTTAATTACAATGAATTCACAAAGATCATAAAACATGGTGAAAAAGACGATTAGGAGTGTAGGGATTGTATGATCGTGAAAAATTTAAGATATCATTGATCTTATTTCTGTGTTAGTTCTGGGGTAGCTCCCACGATATTTCAGGTTATTTTTTTATTTTTTTATTCGTCAAGAATGTCAGAAATCATTTAATGTTTAGCCAAAACTGATTAAAGCTCTAAAATGTGTTTTAATAGACCAGGAGCCCTCCTGATGAGACTGAGTTTTAAAGCCCAAGGAAATGCAAAAGTATTTGTTACGGAAGGTAGCTTGTCTGCGGTGCTTTGGCTAAAATTGTGAAAAAAGTGAATACGCCAGCTGATCTTTTGAGTCTATGGACTAGATAACTGAAAATAGATGTCTGCATGAGAGTCATTTTCACATCAGTCTCAAAATTTTATGCGGAATTTTAGAATATAGCGTCTTTAGGAAATAATCAGAGAAAAAAGAGTATTGGTGCGACGGAACTGCCGGTAATAATTCGTATAGGTCCTGTTTGTGAACAAGTGGCTTGAATCGTAAACATTTAGCAGTACATGATGCCTCCAAATGTCACGAAAAAAGGATTTGCTTGTTAGCCATGAGAATTTTATTATTAGGTCACCGACCGTAGAGGGTGTTGGCAATAACTCAACCGGAACTAAATGGCACGAGAGATTACAGAAACTGTCATAACTGAATGATTCAGTGTTTAAAAAGATGTTTTAGGTTCCCATCAAATTTTCCAAGATTTCGTCCTGAAAATTGACTTTTTCGAGAACATTGCCATCTCAATAAGGTTTCATACATGAAAATGTTCCGAAGTCGGAGAATTATCCTTGAACAATATGACAGATATTTCAAGAGGTTGATAACAAACAGAACAGGCGCTAAAGTGCTAAATAAGAAATCTGCGTTATTGTCAGCCTTAAGTTTTGGTTCCAAAGTAAAAATTACTAACTCCTCTCGCGATTTGTTGTCCCCTCTGATCGCTGTTCGCGGAAATGTGGAAATTTTGGCAAAATTTTACAATGTATCGTAACCGCGTTTTCGTGAGAAAAGTAACCAACATCGATTTCAATCTGTCCATCAGATACCTAATAAGGTCAAGAGTATTGTAATCGGTTCACAAAAGCGCGGTTTGAGACCGGCGTTTTAAAAATCTGTAAACACTTCCCAACGAGAGACCAATTACAGCGGAGTGGGTTAACAACGCTTTGCATACTGTCTGAAAGATTTCGTAGAAAAGGGTAGCATTATCAAAGCAAAATGTCCGGTAAAACAAAATCAAAAAAGGCTGGTTCTAAGAAGAAGGCCCAGAGAGCAACTTCCAACGTGTTTGCCATGTTCGATCAGCAGCAGATTCAGGAGTTCAAAGAAGCGTTCAGCATGATCGACCAAGATCGCGATGGATTCATCAAGGATACCGATCTGAAGGATATGTTTAACTCGCTGGGTAAGGAAGAGTCTAACAGTTACATCGATGACATGTTGAGCGAAGCGTCCGGGCCGTTGAATTTCACCATGTTCCTGACGCTGATGGGCGAGAAACTGAATGGTACAGACCCTGAGGATATGATCCGAAATGCATTCGCCTCGTTTGATATGGATGGCAAGGGAGTACTGAACGAGGATAAGCTCCGACCCTTATTGATGGGGATGGGAGAAAGGTAAGATTAGATATACGTGAAATATCAAATTATTTTTATAGCACTTAATCCTTATAGATTATGCAGACAAAGAGTCGGGAAGGAAGAGGCCTTCCTCGTACGGGTAAGAGGTACTTTGTTATTTTGGGTATATATAGCTTGTCTACGATCAGATCTCCCTTGATTTGGTGAATTTCGTTCCATAAACGCCTGAATCAGGAATCTCAATCAAGATGCGAAGTATATATACTTAGCAGTTTTTCTATGATTGTTTAGCTATTGTAGCACCCTATGGTGAAAGAGTGACGATTTCTCCTTTTCAATCAATCACAAGAGCCCAGAATTCCAAAAAATGATTCAGGAATAAGAGTTGGTACCAGTCCGTTTTACGAGTCCCCTGACCTGTTAGCTCATTGACACAGGGGACTCTTGTTCTTGGGCAGTTGAAAACCAGGGTAGTAATAATTCTTTATCTTAAAAGTTTTCACCGAGAAATCGGAGCCTACTTCGAGGAGCGAGCACGCACGATTCCCCTAACATGCACGATTCCACGAACACGCGCGTTGCAGTAACTCTGGCCAAGCCGCCGAAAGGGATTTGAAAATGCGAAGTTTTAGTTATTGAGGGGCTATCAGTTTATTGACGTAGACCCTACCACTAACAACATGTAGGAGAGCAAAGTATTTTAGGTATTTTAGCGAAAATAAAAGATGACTGCCGCGTAGAATGAAGTATTTGAATAAGTATTTTTTCACGCGGGCAGTGACCGTGAAATTGGTCTGAGTTAGGAATTTTCTTAATAGTTTCTTCTCTCTCGCTATCTAAAGCTAAAGCTGAAAGTCTTAAGACTGTAACAGGGTAAGATATGTCTCGCCTTAGATTGAAACAGAAAATTGCATAAGCCTTATACAAAAGCTGAAGCGATTTGATAGAGAGTTAAAATCTGTAATTGATAAAGTTGCAAGCTTCACAGGAGTTAAACACATTTGCGTGCGAACTGCTTAGTACAGCTGGAGGTGAGACCCGTTAACAAAAACATTCTGCACCGAATAAACCAAGCGCAAAAAATAGGAGTTGATCTCATAATCTGCGGTGGAAAACAAAAATTTCAAGCGTTTTAGGCAAGGTGAGCAACAATAGGTTACGCCTCAGGAAACTGCTTATGATAAATTAAGTGCCCACCGGTTTCTGGTGGTTGACTTGTTATGTTGCAAAGTTAAACGAAATCCACTTAGCTTATTGACTAAATTCTCTCTCTTTGCGTCGAGAATAGCCAGGGTATTGCATTTCGTGTCCCTACTTTTCGCTAACCTTCATCGTAATCGCAGATTTTTCGACAGACAATTCGCACTCAAAGATTACATTCTCAGCAAGATGTCCCAGTGCGACAGCGAATGTATTTAACCCTATAGGGATTTTATGTTTTGGCATAAAGATTTTTTTGTGAGATATAGGTGAATTTTTGGTTAAGGTGTGCAATTAATATTAACCAGAAAACGAATGCATATCGTTGACACCAAATTCGTCTACAAGCATGAACAGTTGTAAACAACAGCGTCGAAACACCTAGCGTCAATTTGATAAATATCTGTCATCATGTAGACAGTTAAATCGGGTTGCGGATCAATAAATGAAATTTATAAAAGAAGAAAACAATTGGTACCGTGTCTAGAATATACATTTACATAGACAACACTCTATTTGTTCCATGTCTGTTAAATTCAGTATCCCATGTTCTCAAGAAAAAGAGTTTCCCATAGTGTTTACTCAGTGACTCCTTTCCTTTCCTTTCAGAACGAGTAACGCAAATTATCTCTCACACACAAAAATAAAAACGGTCAAAGGTAGTCAAGCTGTATACACTGCTCTAGCAATGCAAGAAAATTTAATTCTAGGAACTTCGTCCTTGGGTATTTTTCTTTCAAAGGAGGATGATAAAAAATTTAAAAAGAAAACATCGTCCACGTTGCGTTACTGATCCGTGACTGTCACGCTTTCTTTAAGGTTCACAGACGAAGAATGTGAGGAGATGTTCCGTCTAGCGAACGCTGACGACGATGGAAACTTCAACTATCTGGACTTTGTTAAAACAATTAAACATGGCGCAAAGGACGACTAAACATGGATGATGAACGATGAAATATATTTTTCTTAGAAGAATACAATGTTTCTTTTCCATAGCAGTACTTAATACTCGGAAATATGGATATTCTACACTATAACTGTTGTTTTAAATTTTTTTTCAACTGCTATTTCTTAGCCTATAATTACAGTCAAAAATTGGGCCGGAAGATGGAGTCTTGTTAGAATGTTAAACTTGTGTTTAAGATAAGAGAAAATAAAAATGTCTTGACATTTTGTATACGTGATGCCTCATACCGGAAAACGAGAAGAAAAGTTGACACCTTCATATCGACTGTAGAGCATTATTCAGCCAACCGTGCTAGGCTGACAAATCCATACGAATTACACTGAGTCCTAATGTCAACGTGCGACATAGTGTGCTGTGCGCATATTCTCTGACGACCAACTACATTCCTTAAAAGTACTGCTAACGTAACCCACCAAAAAATATTCCCATCACTAAAACTACATCACGAACGACTGTAACATTGGAATTAACTGGTTTCACTAGTTTATCACTGCTATCTATAGTTTAGACTTCGATCCGTCCCTCATTTTCGACGGAGTCCGCCGCGGGAGTCTAAAACCCCTTAGCCTAATAATCGGTTCGCAACCGGTGTCACCGCGACCCCTTCTTCAGTCGAACCTGTATTAAGCGGCACAGTATTAAGCGGTCACCCAGTAGTAAGTGCTCGGTTGTCAAAGTTCCGAATTTTTATTTTCCTCAATCACTGTCATTTTCATCTCTTTTGGGCGGTCACCTTTATGAGGCGCTAGTGATCACCTATGGGTGAGTCCCAATGGCCTGTTTGTATTGTCTTCCACCTGTGCTGAACGGTCATTTAAAACGGAACTACACAAATAAAACTAAGAATAATCTTTGAAGTAAATTAAATCCATGTTTCTCCCCCAAAATCAATGTTAGTAGTATTTTTTAGCAAGCTTTTGTACACTATTGATCAATTATGGCACTTTTTTAGCGTTTTCTGCGTTACCTCTCTTCTGTCGGTATTAAACGGTCAGCTGCCATTCCTCGTGGGTGACTGCTCAATGTAGGTTTGTCTATAGTGTGTTTTTGCCCTCGAGGATTGTCAGGATAAAGGAAACTGAGAATATAGTGGAGTCCCTGTGGAGTCCGTCATATCATTTCTCCCCATGCTTCCCGCAAGTTTTTCTTCCCGGAGATACTTTTCGAACGCCCGCGAAAACATTGCAAGCTGCTCCCAGCTGAACAAATAAGTTTGTTATATTGACTTCTTTAATTATTTTAACTCACCTTAGTTGATCAGAAAATTGTAGTACTTCATCGACCCTCTAGCAATTTTCGTAAGACAAGAATCTCTTATCGAAATAAGGTAATCTGATAATTTATGTGATCCTTCGTTACCAAAAACAGTTGAACCGCTACAAAGGCTTGTTTCAAGAGCTATCGACATCTGCTGGAAGCTCTTGAAAGTCGAGTGATTCGAATGTTTAAAAAAAAGTCTAGAGAATAGATCTTAAAAAAGGAGATTTCACAAAAACAAAAAACCAAAAAAATAATAACAAAAGATCATACTCCAAGATAAATACTTTGTACAACTACTTTCAGAGCAGACCAAGAGAAAGAAACTGGCTTCAAACATTATTAATCTGCGTCAGTTTACTTAGGTAAAATTGTTAGAAATACTTCACAGATAAACTGAGTTTATTTCTGCAAACATTATGAAACAACAGAAACGATTAAAAGTTGTTTTGAAATTTTCTGTTTGATAATTACATCGGACTCCTTCTCATCACTTCGGTTGTTTGAAATATAAAAACACAATTTGAGAAGATAATGTTTTCGACGAAACTTATCCGGGCCTAATTAAAAATTTTAACCTAAAATCCCCGTGCTTTGTAAAAAGCACGACCACAAATTCGTTTGAAAGCTTCGCAACTGTAGGGAACGATTAAGTTCTTTGTGAGGTACTGGGCAAATATTTTTTGGTCACACTTAATTGTATAAAAAAATATATATAAAGCAGAATATGTAAGATCCTGCTTGGATTAATTGGAACTGTTATGTAAATTTTTAGCTCAGAAAGGTACACGTCAAGTTGTGGGCCGACAATTTTCGTTCATCAAAAACAAACTCTGCATCTGTTTGCCTCAAACGAGTTTCGCCCGAAAACTTCAAATAGTCGAGTGGAGATCACAGTTGGAAGCTTTTCGAAGGATATAAAAAAAGCCTTAAAAGTCCCACAGAAACAAAGAATCATTTCCCTCAAGCTGTTTCGTCTTCGGGTTAAACGCAGGTGTCGAAATTGTCATACAGTCTGCGAAAAGTCGGCGCTCAGAACAAGGACGAACTGCTTTGATCCCGTGCAAGCCATCAAAGTTTGGCCTAGTAAATTATTTCAATCAGTCGATTTACTGGCCCGTTAATTAACAACAAGGCACAACGCCGATTAAAAATCTTTCAGGTTAGTGGGGAGAATATGTTAGACTGTGGATTAACCCGCAGTATCGCAAGTTATGGTAAAAAATTATTACAGGAAAGCGATTGCGTTAGAAGTAGAAAAGAATTAACGATGTCTCATGAGTCCGCGCATAAACGATAGCCGACTGCATTAACTCTATTAATCGAACGAGATATCGAGAAACTCTTGAAACAGTCCAAGCATCATGCAATCTTGGATTTAAAGATTCGGGATATCATGGTGGTTTCATTTTTTTTCGGCAGTAATGAAACGGAAACAAAAGATTCCTTGCCGGCCAACGAGCTGGATATTTAGTAAAATCGAATATGAGTCGGCTCTTTAATGTGTCTGTTTACGAACTAACTTCAAAGACCCTTAAGTGTTAAGCTGAAACTGCAGTTGCGAAACAAGAGTCAGAAAGCAGTGAAAGACACAATTTTATAGCTAAAATTAATGATTAAATAAACTGCTAAGAAATATGTCACCCACTAGACCCACTACAGTTAAATTTCAAGAAGAAAGACAGGCATGCCAAATGAATTGAGTATTTATCAATCTAAATATATTTTCATTTTGAACCAGGGAACATTTCAAGCTAGAGCAAATCAGCGCAGCTGCATTACAGGTGCAAATAAAAAAATAACACGAAAATCGTAACATACAATACAACTAGAGGGTCTGGTCTGCAAAATTAATGGGCAACACTGAAAAGGAAGCCAAGAACGGAATAAATAAATATGATAGTCGACAAATCATATAAAAATGCAACTGTTGGAGGAATAAAGATTCGTGCCAAACGAGCTACAACTAATCTCGTTTCTTTGATTCCCAAAAATTTGAAACGGTGATTGGAAACTAAAGCGGCACAAAAACAAATAGTGATTTTTCGAAAATTAAAGAAGTTTCAAACGCTTGGAGATGTTATCGCTTTGAAAAATGAGCGACTTTTAATTTCCTTTGCCAAAAAATGAAAACAAGAATTCTAGTCTGCCACAACATACAGGGGTTGCATATAATCCTCTCAATTTTCACTTACAATTCTAAACAATAAATGACAAAAACTATGGATTCGAAACGAAATACTGTAAAATGGCATGGTTTTCACTGGTACTTTTGTTTTTCGTGAGCACGAAGAAAAAAGCTGCAAATCATGGAATTTACATCACAAAACGCCTTGTGTTAAGGAAACATTTGCTCAGACAGAAAGAAGTTTTGCTTTTCTAACTATTGCAAACAAACAACCCCAGTTAATTAGTGCCTCATTCGTAACTTCCTAATAATTCTCCCACGCCATGGGAAAATGATTGAAGAAAACTTCAACAAACAGATTCGAGGAACTGACTAGACAAAGCTGAGTTCCATTTCCTGATTCGTTCCAGAAAGCGCTAATTTGCTTTAGTCAATTTTACAGTCTTTAAAACAAAAGGTTATAGGTTAGAATTCATTAACTATTTAGTGACAAAATAGCGGCTATTAATGTTTGCGTTTGAATTTTGAATTGGGACCACTCGGTCATTTAATTCTGAAATTTTTCCACCGATTGTCATTCATAGTTCACAAGGTTAGCAAGCAATTTTTTCCCTAAGCACAGTGTTCAAAAAACATGTTAGCAAGTTCCTTTTTTACCAGTGTCTAGAGTGTAAATAAGTTTGTGTTACTGTTTGAATATGAGCACTTGAAAAATAAAATTAATGCCTAACAAGAGTCAACAAAAAGACTTACCCATAAGGAAGAGGCAAAACTGAAAAAAAAAAATGTCAGGTTATGGTAGGCTCACTTTTCTAACTGAAAATGTATTGTTTGAAAATTGTCCAAGAGATTTGCCAAGTATAACCTTTGTTGTCAGTTGAAATAGGTCGAAGTTTTCTCTTAAAGACACCAAGGACAAGACAGGCCAGGAAAACTTGCCAAATCATGGACATTTTTAATCACCGAAACATAAGCATTGTCAATAACACTTGTAAAAGAGGCTTTGGTAATGTTGAACAGGATCATGATAAACCTAGCAATTGCTTCTCGCTTGGTGTATTTTTTGACGTAACTAACATTACAGCTGTAGTATAGATTGAACTGCACACAAACTACACGAAACTGGCTCTTTTACCTAAGATATCGATTCTTGGCTTTAAGATAAATAAAACGATTTTCTTTTTAATCGCAAGTGATGTGACAGATATGCGTGTACAAATGATAAAGATGATTATTTCGAAGTGAACCAGATGACTGAAATGGATCCTTCGCCTTAGAACATGTACTATGTTAATTTGCAGTTAGAATTCACCACGTTTTGTCAGTTTCATATCAAAGCCAATAAAAAATCGTGTGAGGTTAGTAAGGTTTCTTTAATATTTGAAAGATTGACGTATGTTAATGAGAATCAATGATTTTTCGTGCTTTTGACGACCGGAAAACCCTGAGGAAATTTAGCTGCGGTTTATACGTGACATGCATGTGTGATTTTAAAAGTGTTTCTTGAAAAGATCGATTGGGAAAATCTGCAAGAGATTCAAATGAGCACCGCATTGGATTTAGTGAGGATCACTTAACCTTCAGATCAAAACTGCCACAGCACACATGGTCAATTGATTGTCCGGACAGATTTTACTAAAATCACGATTTAAAATTTAGAATCGATCCAAGATTTAGGTAAGTTTGCGAAACCATTTGTTTATTCCCTCTCCACGAAATCCATGTTGAAATTCACCCTCGTGAATAAAACAAACTAAACGGAAACTTTGTTATGATATGTAAGGAGCGCAGCTATAAAAATCTTGAAAAAAAATAGATCACCACAAAGCTTTTGCCTCACTCTAAAACACCTTAGAAAAAGTAAGATATTTTGATTAAGACTGCTACACCATTACTTGGCGGGTAAGGACTCAGACATAAGTATTTAGAAAACGCTGAGAGTTGCCTTGAAAAAAAATTAGAAAAAATGTATTTTTGATCATATTCTTTAGTGCATGCACAGTATCTGCTAAATCAAATTTTCGGCAAGCATCCAACAGCATACATTAGCACCAAGAAACTTAAAATAGTAAGTGGTCGCCAAAGACTGATTGAAAACGATTTTTGAGTGCAGATATGAACCCAACTCGATGCATGCCATATGATCGTTGCCGAATTTTTTTTTTTTTTTTTTTTTTTTTTCACGAAAGAAAACAGTTTCAAATTAAGATTGTGAACGAGGCCGCTGAACAAAAAAACGCCAGCACCAAACATGGTAAACTATTTACCTTTTCATGTGAATAGTGTCATCTGGTGTTTACAAATCATGATAAAATTTCTCTTCATTTCTAGCGCCCTAACTTAAAGCAAAAACACGAAAATTTAGATTTTTCAAAATAATTGTTTAACGAAGTAACTCACATTTCGTGCATTTATACACAACGACTGGCCGAAATCGATACTCTCTTCGTGTATGCTATATTTCAATAAACCATTACTTTTTCGTGACATAACTCATGATATTCAATCCAGGAGTTTGATGAATAAGTAACTCTAGTTTTTGGCAAATACAGGAGTGATAGCATATATCCGACATTTGACGGTTGAAATGTAAATTCACGACGGAAGCATTTTCTTTTCATAAAGTATCAAATTGCGGAGTTCATGGCTTTTCTGTGAATCACGCCCTGTCAATTAAATGCAATCAGTGTTCATTGTCGGTCTAAGAATGTTCGATGCCTAATACTTTTAAGTGCACTAAATTGCACTAGAAACTGCAAATGGCATCAATAATGGATTGATAGTCAGGAAACAGTGAAAGCGCTCGCTGCCTTAATTCAAGGACGTGACCCGCTGGGGGAAATTGGAAAGAGAGACATCTGCATCACAGTCAAATCAAATTCATATTCTTGTTATGTTTTGGCGATACGTATGTTTTTCCTTCTTTGTTGTTCTTGTATATTTTATTTCATTTCATTTTTCCGACTAGGTTTGAACGTCAAACGGAAACCAGTCATTATGAAAATTCATTTATTTTAAAATGCTTTACTTTTAGGCCTTGAAATGGAAGAAATAATTTTTTTTTTCTTATGGAAATGTTCACGTCTTGGGACAAAAATTATTCGATCGGGCTTTAATCCCAGTAAGGTAACTTAAAACTTGAGCGCCTGTACCAAAGTCGTTTTAGAGTAGAACGGTTACCACTTGTGGTTGCAAGTTGCACTGTTATTTGTTGATTCAGGAGTAGGATTTCTCATGTCAATGACATGAACTCAACAAACGAAGAGTCCGGTTTTTGATTCACTCCTAAGCTGTTTCGAGAATTGGCAGATGAAGAGACATTTATCTATACCAAGAACGTCATTATGCCCAGAACGACGTCTTCTTCCTTCGATGGCGACTGAAGAGTGTCCTTTTCTGTCTCACAAGGTTGTTAAAATTCAAGAAACCCGTCGTTTTGATTGATACCGTGTAAACGTGCGTGATTCATAACAGTTTTTATTTGTTCAAATTTCTTACTGGACATTAGCACCTAATACAAATTGAAATGCGAATGGTGAACCGAGAGCAAGAGAAAGAACACAATTTCCCATCACCGCGAGGGATTTTGAGAAGTCTTAATATTAATAGTAATACAGATCGAACATATTGGTAAGTCTCAATGGGGTAATGGCTTTTACGACCAAAGGTTAAAATATGTCAATTTTTACGCCTGACAGCGAAGTGTTTGCTGTCTAACGGTTTACAGCTGACCCCATTGAGACCATCTGGATCTGATAGAAAACTGTCCAGTTAAATTTTAAAAGGAACCTGGGATCGCCACGGTCTTGAATTACTTATTTTCGTGATTAATCTAAACTCGTGCCACACTTTCAATAAAAAACTTAAGATAATAATAACACAACTCAATCCAAAACATAACCTAGAAGCGACGTGGGCATTCGTTACAATTTAATTTTTCGCTTTCATTGACTCCGCGTGAAATTTTCTTTTTCTCTGAAAAGCCGTTGTGATTATCAGTGCTCTTGGTTTAATTTTATCCAATGTTTCATTTATATTATATTTCAAATTCAGACATATTGGAGCTTGTACATCCTTCGTTAGAGGATCACAGACATGGCAAACCTGACGGTAACCATAGCAACGAACTCCACAATAATCCCCATCGCTGAAACGCAACCATTTGACTCCACAGTGAGATCTATATCCACTTTCCTGCTGATTATCATCATTCTGCTTACCCTTCTCGGCAACTCGCTCGTCATCCGGGCGTTTATTTCTTTCCGGAAGTTACGCAACGTTACCAATTACCTGGTTGTGTCCTTAGCAGTAACAGATATCCTGGTCGCCATGTTTTCCATGCCGGTCTGGGCAGCATATCTGTTAACAGGGCCACCATGGATTTTCTCCTTGTGGCTAAAGAAGATCTGGCAGTCGATGGACATTTTATGCAGTGTGGCCTCCATCTCACATCTTCTACTTATCAGCATAGAGCGCTACATCTGCATCTCTTCTCCGCTGACGTACCACAGTATTGTGACCACGCCCAAGACACGTGTAGCAATTTGTGCAGCGTGGTCCTTCGCGCTGACTATGACCATCATCAAACTGGTCACCTGGGATATGTCATTCTCAGCAGCTTACCAGTTGACAGCGTTTTCACTCTGTTTTGCCGCGCCTGTTTTTATCATGAGTTACGCCTACATTATGATTTTCAGAGTTTCTCGTACACAGGCGAAGAAAATGCTGCTCAAGATTGGAGAAAAAACCAAAAGGTTCTGCCTCCCAAAAGAGCTGAAGGCTGCCAAAACGCTAGGAGTGGTAATGGGGGCTTTTGTGCTCTGTTGGTTCCCATTCTTCTTTCTAAATTTCTTTAACGCTCTTTGTCGGTAAGTTGTGTCATTTGTGTAACTCCAAAATCATGCATAATTGCTCCTTGCAAATTCTAAGACCCATGACACTACTTATTTTCAGTTAACCGGAGCCAGTTATATTTATCACCTGGCTGGAGGAGGATTTGTGGGGGGGGAGATCTCATGGCTTTTTTTTTGGGGGGCATTCGTTGTCAACAGAGTATTAGAGGGAGACTCTACAAATTTTGTTAATTTAACTGCCAATCGGGGGGGGGCGGGAGGGGTCTTCCGATCCTCTAGGCGAAGAATAATGATCGGACTTTAAGGTGGCTGACGATGAGTTGTGTGGTAACTCTGTCAAAAGGCATTAATTACGTTACAGTAAGTATCACTCCTTTTCGTTGTAGTACATGTCCTATTCAAGTAGGAGCTGTAATGGTAGCCAAAGCGCTTCACTACTTTAATTCAGTTCTCAACCCAATCATCTACGGTCTAATGAACAAACAGTTCAAGACTGCCTTTAGACATCTCTTCACCTCAACATACTCTAGCGTGACGGGAAAGGCACAGCCCGTGACAAGGTCAGATATCGAGAGGCAACTATCCAGCATCAAAAGTTGGGGGTTAACTTCTCTAAAAAGCAGATCATCAACTCAAGATAAAGGAAACACTGCAACAACGGAACTATGTAATTACCCGGACAAAAGTACAGGGACAAGTTTGTGAAACTTTTACCCGAAAGTACATGTATACTTGTATCTATTATAGTATTTTTGGGTTGAATCAGTGTAAAAGCCGAGGACATAAGTTATCATCCCGATAAGCTATGAGAACCCAAAATAAGAACAAGAAACTTCACAAAACTCGCTTGTCAGACCAATCTGGTCAAATACAGCGGATGAGAGGGAAAAAAGGTGCCGATTGACTTGCAATGACAGAAAAAACACGTCGTCCTCAAGCATTTTACAAAAAAGCTTTACTGTAGATTAATGATTTAGTCGCCTAATTTGTCGAGAAGTTATTGGGACCTTGATCAGTCAAGGCGACAAGGCCGAAGAAAACCTCGATTTAAAAAATTCTTTATATTTTTGGTAATATTTTCGCGAATGGGTGGATGCGTTAATCGTCTCTAACGGTGTCACACCTGAACTTCAGGAAAGTATATGATGGCAGCTTTGAGTTCTAAATAGAAACTTCAATAATTCACCGTCGTAGTTTCCTTTCTCGTGGTCATGCACTTTTGGAGTTTTGCAGAAGACGACTAAGAAATGTCCCATGTTTATAAAACACACGTGCTGAGCTATTGTTCTGTCCATTAGATCTTTCGTTTTGCCGCGACCTTATTGCCATCGCTGTCGTGGTTTACTTGAGGTCCTTATTCACTGTCATCGACGACAGTCCTTTTTAGAAAAAACCCTCAACTGGAAAATCAGACTACACGATCAACTGCTCGTCTGGGTTTCAAATCCTTTACTGCACTTCATTTTCACCTCCGTAGGGATGACCTGTTCGAAAGCGATTAGGGGAGAGGGTTTGGGGGTCGGGCAAAGGCAAAAACATAAAAATAGAATATCCAAAAAAATAATTCTTGCACCATCCAAAATTCCTATCCTCACCAATAATCTCCAATTGTTCGAAGGCCGATTAGCGCTAACCCAGGGTTAAATTTAACCCTTTACACCCTAACATCAGTTTTCATATTCTCCATACTGTTCTCTGTACATTTACTAAGGTGCTGATAAGAAGAATTTGTCTAACAATCAATAGTTCCTTAAGTTGATGATCGTTTCCTTTATTCTCTTGACATCAATGTGTGATTCAGTGGTGATATTGTAAGGAGAAATTAGATGCTAGTCACTCTCAAAGGTTAAAGAGTAAATCCAGGTCTCTTTATTTCTTTGTTCAAAAGCCTTTTAAGGGAAAATTTTCCATATTTTTGTTTAAGAACATCCAGTGATCAAATTGCAAGCAAAAGCATTTGAACTGAGCTTTCTTTTAAAGCTCTCAGACCTCAAATCAATTTCACACTTACCCTAGGTTGTCTTAACCCAGCTTTGAACAACTCGCGCCTGATGGACAATTCGCTCCTAGTAAACGTAACATAATGGTTGAGGCTCTCAGCAATGCACACAAGCAAACAATGCCATTCACAATGACAGTTGAAATTCATTCTTTAATTTAACCATGAAAATATCAACTAAAATTATTTCAACTATTCGCCGAGTTACAAAAGCATTAGATAGATATAAACGGCGTAATGGTAAACATTGAACATTGTTCCTAATATTGGCATTTATCTGCCAGCAAATGGTCGCGAGAATAGTTTCAAACGTGCAGGACAATTTCTACACCAACATCGGAAAACAGATAAACGGTCTGTATATTTACAGAGCAAATTGTTGCCGGGTTAAACGTATAACTTTTCAATGTAACTTATAATCTCAACCATTCATTACTGCACGGAAGCGATTAACCCTTGACACCCTAACATCAGTATCCATCTTCTCCATACTCTACCCTATCCTCTGGTACTCACGAGGAGAAATTTGTATAACTGGCGATCATTCTCTATATTCTCATGACCCTAATGTATGATTTGGCGATATTACTGTAAGGAGAGATTAGATGCTGGTCCCTCTTACGGTTGAAAGGGTTATAAGCACCCAAAAAAAAATATCTACACTGCGTGAAGTTATGATATGACGTGAATAAAGTTGGAAAGACAAGTATTTCAAAGATAATCGAACAGAGAATATGTCTATGAAGGAGAAAAACGGCAGAAAAAAAAACTCGTGAAAATCTCTTCGCTTTCAACCCAACTCCTCAAGAACGTAAAGATGGTCTCAATGAACTGAACCGTTGGCCGTCAAACGGCCAAAAGATTTATCCATAAGGCGTAAAAATTGACAAATTTTAACCGTCAGTCGCAAAAAAAGTCAACAGTTAAGTTTTTTCTTTTAGTCACAAAGGAATTTTATACGTTAGCCGAAAAAGCCATCACCCCATAACCCTTTAACTCTCATGAGTGACCAAGACAGAATTTCTCCTTACAATATCAATGCAATATCAAGCAGACAAGTGATGAGAATAAAGAAAAATATTAATTAGGAGATTATTAGTTGATCCTATACCAAATTCTCCAAACTAACATCACAAGAACTACGTGGCAGACAGTAAGGAGAATTACTAATGAGAACTTGGGAGTGAAAGGGTTGACCCTATAAGAGCAGTGTTGACCTCTTGAAATGAAATTACTGCCTCTGTATGCAAATTCAACGACAGCTATGAATGGCTATAACTTTTGAGAGATGAAACGAGTCTTAAAGGTCCAGTCTTACGTACATAAAAAAGTAGAATTCGCTTGATCCTTCTTTTAAAATTTTCCTGTATAAAAAATTCCATCCGACTTAGCTTTAATCAGCGAGCTCTTTTACCTGATCTATTCTTAACGGTTAATCACCCAGGTGGAGGTGAATATTGACCGAGCCGCGGAGAAGGATATTTGTATGAAAATCTCATTTTAACAATTACTGTAAATATACTTAAACTGGTTTAGGAAGGATAGGAGTTGTTTTCACACTCTGCGCCAAATTGCTTTCGGCGGGAACATTTGCCACAGCAACTGATTGATTGTCTTTCAATAAAACTGGAAACTTACGAACCTGAAAAACTATCTCTCCACCGGGTTGGTGTTCTTGTTGGATCTCGACCATTGTTCCTATGACTCTTTGATCAGCATCACGGCTAGGGGTTGTGTAGCAATGCTGTGGAGCTTGGCCGGCGGTAACAAAACTGCTCAGCAGCGAAGATTTGCGTTGCTCTACCTCAAAAGTTGATGATTCCGCAGTAGGTGCTAGGCTGTGCAAATTTCCGTGCGATAAAACAGCGACAGAGGTCGCTCTTAAGCAGTGGTTGGTGAGATGCGGCACAATCCCAGCTCGTTTGCTCATCTCCTTTAAGAAGCAGCTAAGAAATGTCTTTCCAATGGGTGAAGGCGAATACCAGACGGTGTCTTTAGGGTTAAACCTTGCGCTGTGGCTATCTTTGGGCCTTTGAAACAGCACGTCAGAGGTAGGATTCAGATGTGCTAGGTAGTTTTTCAACGTATTTACTGGACATCTTTCGGAGCCAGGTACCGCAAACATCTTTGTATCAGATTCCACTTCGTCATCAGCGTCGGCGGAAGTGGTAGATGGTAAAGAAGGAGTCATTTTTCTGTGAAGCTCGAAATATTCCACTCCTTCATCTCTCATTCTATGGACAAGCATATCTCGCTTCAGAAAACGTTGCCTTTCCCGTCCCCGCCGACCGAAATACAGCCCCACATAAAACCATGCTGTACGCTGAAGCTGCGACGGATTTTTGCTATCAGCTGGCCCGAGTTGACCGCTATCAAATAATTTTTGAACGTGTTCCCTTGTCATGGCCTTCTTGTGAATAGTAGCTTCTATTTTGCCAGATAATTTCAGATCTTTGACGAAGGCGCCAAGGACTTTGTTTGCCTCTGTAAACGCCGCATCGGCAATGACTGAGAAAGGCTTGTTGTGAGGCGGAGCTCGAAGATGGCGGTCAATTGCAGATCGAATGGATTTTAGCGAAGTCGCTTTGTAATAACTGCCGTCCTGTTTTCTTGCTGAGGTATAAAAGGACCTCAAGCAGACATTTAACTCTTCTTTCGACATTTCCTCGATTGGTTTCGAGAATTTAGCGCCACCAGGGCTCGCCTGCCATTCTGAAACAAAACATTTTGTTTGTGTCATTCGAGACGTTTTCATAAACCTTTGTAGTAAAGCGTAACAAAACTCACCGTAAAATATTTTCATTCCAAACTTCGTGGCTTTCATTGTTGACTTCGCTGTAGCATTGTCTAATAATCTCTGTATTTCCTCGGGCGGTAATTCTGCAAATCGATTGCTTGCAACCGCCATGATTTTCGCAGCAATAAACACTGGCGTGAAAGAAACGAAATTGTAAACACGAGGTTATTTTCCATATAAGGTGACGACGAAGCATATGTGCCAATAACCTGTTCAAATGTCACCCAATAAAAAAGCACGACTGCCTCTGAGTTAAATCTGTAATTCACTAAATATCTAATGTAGTTTTGAATTTGATTTGGTTTGAATATTTATCAACTCGGATCAAAAAAAAATTATACTCGGAACTAGCAAACCATTTAAACTTTAAAATTGAAATTGGCGACTTAAAATACGAAAGCAACGTTTGGTGCATTTAACACCAGAAGGTTTTGCTGTAGTTCCATATTTTCCTATTCATTGTAAACAACAGTATATTTGCATATGGTGGAGCATATGGCAAGGTAACACAGTTATATTAGCCAGTAAGAAAGCTTTCGTAATAATAGCGGCGTTACTATTGTGGTTTACTCATTACCGACAAGAGATCACCGACCGATCCTCCTTGAGAGAGAATTTTCTATTGTGAAGAATAATAGGCCTGTTTACTAACTATCTTTACAGAAAATTATTCAATATTTAACTCTTATAACAAGCTTTTCAAGCCAAACCAATACAGAATTTTGAGACATAATATCGCTTGCATGTGTCACGCAAACCACTGTCACACTGCTTAGACCGTTGTGTGATAGACCGATGTGATACAATACTAAGCCTAGGAGGATTTTAATCAGATCGAATGATATTTAAACTACTGTGACCATTTCTTATGCTTGAAAGATTTCTCAGTGTGCAGAACAAAATGTTAGTTTACATTTTTATATTGGCCAAACTAACAATCAAACGCAAAAAATCTTAGATCAGTTTTTATACGTAGACTTCCATTATATTAGAGTAAGATTTTAAATTTAGGGAAGGTCACCTAAGTAATATTGTGAAATAATCCTGGCCAAGTTTTAGATATATTTTATTATATATATTTTTAGCATATTTGGTCAGGTCACGCTCTAATGCAAATCGTGCGTGAGCAAAGATACGTAATGGATTTTACAGAAAATACGGTAAAAAGCCAGTTTTCTCGAAGAAACGGTCTAATCTATCAAATATTTCAATGGTTACAGAAAACTTTTTTCAACATTGAGTGACTTCAGTACATTTAATTTTCTACTGCACATAAAAATATGCTCTAAACAAACTTTTCAGCCTTGAGCATATTCTTACATGCATTCCTTGTACAAAAGAACGCGATCAGCTTACTGGACAAAGTATCAGAGCGCGTGTAAATCGAACCTTTTCATCGCGGATTAAACGTAAGAACAAAGGCAATTCGACGTGGCTAAAAATAGATTACAGGCGAAATCCGTCGCGCGAGTAAGAAAAATTCAGGAAAAAAAAATCAATGTTTGCGCGCCTTGCTTACTGATCTCTGGGAGTTAGGCGTGGTAACTTCGATTTGCCTATTTGCTGAACTTTTGTTGACTCGCACGACGGATTTCGTCAAAAAGGAGGGACTGCTTGCAGTTTAGGCTCAAAACGGCTGCGTTATCTTGTCAACATTGATTCTTCGATAGGCCAATGTTTCCACTTTTTTCGAAAATCCTGTTACTTTCCTTGGCTTTGCTTGTTCTTTGTTGTGATCATGTTTTGGTATAGAAGGTTGACAGAGTAACACCACAATCTATAGATAAGCCTAATTTTACTTTCATGCAACGGTGAAACGAGTCCAACCGCTACGTTTTCGAATGTTAATGGCTGAGTGGAGTACAATTCAGGGAGTAATCGACAGAGTGATTTCAAATTGGCCGAGCGCGGAGAATAACGCTGACTTGAAAACCCCTGAGGTGCACAGTTCAGTCCGATAACTGATTTAACTTTTACAAGAGATGACAATCTCTCGACCTTTGCGATGGCAAAATGCACGAAACTCAGGGGTGAAAAATTTAATTTGATGGTAAGAGCCCCTCTGGCGAATGCATACTGGTAGTTGGCTAAAATTCAGGTGCTCATGATCCCTTAAGGAGTTTTCTTTGAAAACTTTGATTGCAAATGGGAAAAGGCCCGAACTTTTTCCAGAAATGCAAGAGTCACATGAGACGAGGGGAGACTGCACTGAACACCTCACAGAGGTACGTATTTTAATCTGAATCGATTAAAACGTCACGGTACAGATACTTACAGCAAAGAAGAGAGCTAAAGCCTGATTTCTTTGTTTATTGAGAGAAAAATTCGAATCAATATGAAATCTAGTCTCCTTAGCTGCTGTTTTTTGGGATGTCATGCAATGCTCCCCTTAAGAAGCGTTGTGGCGCGGAGCGTTGCGTGACATCCCAAAATTTTTCTTGAAAATATCAACACGTAAGATAGATGATGAATCAATCGCTTCAAATCAAGACGCTTTTACGCTGCTGTTTTAACTTATCAACCCGTACATGCATTCCTTTCAGATCGAACATTAACCAGAATAGCAGAAAAAGATGTTTGCGCACAAATTAGCCTACTTTCTCGGGCGGGGCTCATACACTTTTTGCACTTAGGTTATCACACGCGGGCCCTTGGTTGTTGTGCCATCATTCGTACATTGTCAGCGTTTTCAAATTGAAAATGTCAGTCTGACGTGCGCGAATTAAATTTCCAATAAAGGGGGACTGGTGGACGTTTTGAAACTGTTGTGAATTTTTCACACCCAGCGTAGCCATACGAAGTTCGTTTTCTATTTTTTTAACACAATTTTGGGCAAGTTTTTAGATTGGGCAGAGCTTTAAAAGATAATTTCTTCCTGTTGGCCACTGTTTTTTTTCCTCGTCTCAGTTTGTTCGATTTTTATGAGTAACTACGGTATTTCATCCTCCAGGGTAGCATCTGATGCAAAAATTAAAGTCTTGAAAGCTTTCCGAAAGTCATTGTTCATGGCAGTGTATATAATGGGATTTATCATTGAATTACCATAATGCATCCACTTGGTCACCAATATGACTTGTGGATTAACCAGAAGACAGTGTTGTGTCTCGCATAAACTGTAAATGATGTTTATCACAACAAATGGCAGCCAACATACCACAAACGCGCCAACAACAACTCCCAAAGTCTTGGCTGCTTTGAGCTCCCTTAAAAAGTTGCAATGACTCCTTGGGTACTGCGCAGGCGTTGTTGCGTGTATTTGTTTCACGTGATATAGCGCCACTTTCAGTATAATTGAGTATGCAGTGATTATCACCAGCAGTGGAACGCAGAAGCACATGATCGTGGCAACGAGGTTGAAAATGCGCTTGGCGAACAGAAAAAAGCTCGCAGTGGCCATGCACGAAGAATAGATCCAAACGCAGCAAATGATAAAAATCGCTCTCCGTGAAGTCATGATGACAGAATAACGCATTGTAGTCATGATGGAAAGAACCCGATCAAAACTGATCGCCATTAAATTCATGATGGACGCGGTACCTATCAAGATGTCCACCATGGTCCAAACACGTGACAAATCTGCGCCAAATACCCACACGGGTCCTGTCAGGAGATATGCCACCCATACAGGAATAGAGAATAATGCCACACAGAGATCAGAGCACGCTAATGACACAACGAAGTAGTTTGTCACTGAACGGATGCGTGCAAAGCGTGAAAAGGCGACAACAACGAGACCGTTTCCAAATACTGTAGCCAAGATGAGAACAATGGTGAATGTGGCCGTTCCAATGCGGAAATCGTCAGAAAATTCTCTAAGGGAGTTTGAAGATGAATTTGAACGGTTACCATTTGCCATATCCGGCTGTTCCCTTTCCCTTTTCTTTCTTTCCTCCTCTTTTTCTTCTCCTTTCCTCTTTCAACTGTCCCTTTAGTATATTTGAACTCAGCCTTGCAGGATACGGCCGTTCAGTTCAAGATGCCACGCTGTAAGCAAAATGTGAGGTCGTCAGTCTTTCTGCTTCAATTCTGTTTTTACGTAATGTAAAACCTTAAAACAACCGCAATATTTAAATCTGAGACCATGATGGACAAATTAATCATGCCGATGTCAAAACTTAACTTACAGATGCACATTAGTGAGTAAGTGAAATCCTTTAGGCACCTGTAATATCTCTAAGTGACCGTTTAATAATTGACCATGCCGGGAAAAGCACTTACTGAAGAACACTCAAGGGTAAATTAAAAACCTAAATCTCTCACGACATCACAATCTGCCACCTATTAATTAAGTTTCTTCCGCGAATCCTGGGACTTGTGAATGCAGATAATGAAACCCTCAATTAATATTTCACTGGTTTGTCGGCGGTTATTTACAGTCGGAAGATCCATTACGAAGCCATTAACTCGCTTTCTTGGCTTTCGCACGCTATCATCCATGTACGCATGTATGTTTTGTTTGAACAATCTGGATTCTTTGTTCTAAAAATATTTCAATTTCATTCCATTGGTTTTTTTTTAAATTGTGGTTACATTACATGATCATAGAGATAAAATTACTGACTATCTTACAGTTTCAGTGCAGAGGATTATACTAATTCGACGCAACGAAGAGGGTTTCATCACTTTCGATTCCTTAAAATCTTGGTAAAGCTTTCAGCCACGATAACTATTGCTTTTGTTATTAAGAATTTGTGGTACCCAAAATTCCCGTCTCTCCATTGCGGTAGAATAAAGTTGTAATTGGTGGGCAAATGCGAGAAGATAAAGTTCTTCACGAGATGAGATGCAGATAACTAAACCTATTTGCCTTATACATAGTGACCAGAAAAGCCCCCCCTCCCCCCCCCCTTATGATTCTGCTGGAATCGATGCAAAAAAGATCTCGAGTTGATTTTAATTGAGTGTCGAAAGTAGTCCGGAATTGCAATGGTTTTGCTTTACATTGGCTTGTGATTGGTCCAAAAATTTTCGCCACTATCTCGACCAATCACGACTCGGTCGCCCGCGCTTTCCCGCGCATTGGGCAGTTTACTTGCTTTTACTTTAAGGTCTCACACGTTCTATAAATTATTTTCCTTTCTCCTGATTTGCCGTTGGAATTATTTTTGGTTTTGGTTTTGGTTTTGCGTCACTCAATCGAAATCGCTCAATCACAAAACATCGAAATAAATTGGCAAGTTCAAGTTTCTCGTGAGTTGCGGCAGATAAAAAAAACTATTAAAACCTTTTTGTCGTATTCGACTGAGCTAAAATGTGTTGATATCAATAGATGTGTTTTTTTTCTTGCTTTTCCTGTCACTTTTGAATTTATCGAAGTGATTCTTGCATTGGGTGACTGACGATCACTTGAAGGGGGATATCATGCACTGAGTTAACGAGAATTTTAATCCATTCTAAAGCCGCAGAATCTCATAATCTTTAACGGCTTTTTTGAAAAGGAAACTCAAAGTAGTAAAACTGTCGATGTAAGTTCAATTTTCATACGTAAATGCTTTCCGGTAATTGTCTTGTACACGTCGTTTGTGGGATAACGGCCGACGTGAAACTGTTCTATAACAACTCTTACCGCCATGTTCCTAACTTGGATCATCCATCATTGTTAGAATTGAAAAAAATAATGAATGAAGAAGCAGATTTCAAGACAGAGATTAAGACTGGATAAAGGAAGAAAATGGGAGATCAACAAAAGAGATGAAAAAACTTTAAAAGGGAAGGATTGTCTTGTTCGGGAAATACAGAAAGCGAATTAACTGAGAGCTGTCAAAGAGCAACAAAAGGAAACCGAGTTTGTGGCAACTTGATAGCACGCAAACAGGAACTTATAACTCAAACGGTCGACCGCAGCAGGCAAATTTGTAATTTTTCAACGTTTACCTTCCTGTTAATTGTTGAAAACAGAAAGATTCATTTTTGGGACACCAAAGCATCATTTTGTAGAATTACTTCAGCAAACGAGAAGAAAAAAAAGGCCTTATTTTCAAACAATATCTTAATCGAGGCCTTTACACTTTCTTAGATAAATGGCCCTTTTACGCTCAAACTGTTCAAGTCAAACAGTTGGACACTAGATTTTTTGGGAAAACTCGTTAACACTGAAGAACCACATTCGACTTTATTTTAAACTGTTCTCATATCAGACAAAACAGGAAGAAATTCACTTCTGAATTGCACCCGAAAGAAAAACCGCTTCCGTACACAGCCACCTGCTTGAACTGTAATTCAAAATTGGAATTTCACCGTAGATATGGCTTGATAAGAAATATTACAAGAGTGACTTATCACAAATGTGACTTAAGATTTTGCCATGATTTGTGAGTTATTTTTCAGTTCTTCTTGAGTCAGTCCTGGTCTATTTTACATATTTTCCTCAAAACATCTCAGTCATATCACCTTTCTGATCTTCTACTTCTATCTGTGCTTGAAATTCCTGAATAGAGCTGTTCTATTTGTCATCGATACTGGAACAATGTTAACTGAAATAAAGTTATAAAGAAAAACATTTTGTAGTTGAACGAATTTAAGTTTTTGGTTCGCAATTAATTGACATTCAGGGTACGTGGGATTCTTCGCCGTATTTTTATTTAGCTACAAGACACTTAACTTGTATCATGCTCAGTCCGACATGTGTGATATTTTTTTATAGTACTTTCTATACTTGTTTCAAATGTTACTTTAAAGAAAGTGGTGCAAGCAGATTGGGCAAACTGGACTTGTCATGCAAAGAAGATCAAAACGAGAAAACGTTGGAACGATTTCAAAGAAAGTGTTTACTCGCCAACTTGATTTTTTCATGTGATTTTAACACAGAGCCGGAACTATTCCACCGATTATCCTCGTGCTGCCTCTATAACTTTTAGAACGAGTGGAAAACAAATCTGACGGGTTATTTTGACTTACCGGTCTGATAACCTGATAACTACAAGGTTGCGAAGCATGAACTGGTCAATGTCTCATACCATATGTCGACAAGCTGTTCAGTGCTGACCCATGAGCTCATAAGCGGAATTCATTTCGTTTAACACATTTTCAATAACTTATGAGGATGTAATTAAGGAACAAAATATTAATTCAGCATGTGTGACAGGAAATTTGTCACTTTAATAGCCAGTCTGCAAGTTTTCAAAGGAGAAAATTCAAATATTTTATATGTATTTTCTTTAAATACATATAATGAACTACAAAAGCCATGGCAACGCAACATCTGAACGAAAATTATTTATTTGAACAAAGGCATTGCACAAGTTTAGCTAATCTAGCTCTGATCTTTTATATTCCATTGAAATTGGAAAATAAATGGCCTAATCGACAAAAGCCGTAAAGAAATTAGAAATTTTTCATCAAGGTTTTAAAAGGAAAATGTTTCATCTTTTTTTAATTGTTCATTCAACTGTCAGAAATATCTTAACAACCTGATTGCATTTCGAAAATCGAATTTTTAATAACAAGGTGAAATTCTAATGAGCATTGAAAGTTTGGAAGGTTACAAAATCCAATAAATACCAGAAATAAAGATTCAAATTCCTCGGAGATCAATGGAAGATATGGTTTAAAATTTCGTTTACTTTATTTCTAGCCAATTTTTTTACATTTGAAACGACTACAATAATACAAATTGTCTCGTAACGTATTGTTCATGTTTGGTCAACTTTTCATGTTACGATCAAAAAACGAATCTCACATTGTTAAGTCTTCATATCTCTCAATCTTCGTACAATAAAAAGGCTCTGGTCAACTTTTCATGTTACGACCAAAAAAGCGAATCTCATATTGTTAAATCTTCATATCTCCCAGTCTTTGTATAATAAAAAGTCATTTTTAATGCACAACAAGAAGCCAAAATGACAACCCGGAGGTTAAATGATTTGCAGCTTTCGAGGAAATAAAAGACCATTAGGACGGTTATTAAAGGGAAAGTACAAAGGAACAAATAAATATAATAATAAGTTACCAAAGATATCTCAAGGCCTCACAAGACTTTCTTTTCAGTCAAAAAATGTGCGAGCTGTTAAATAGGATCAGGAAGCATTTGAGGCCTCTTTTTTATCTCTTCTTCTTGATTCCTGTGCTACTAGGGATTAACTGACAAAACTTATTGATGATGACGTCATTGAAAGGCTGGATGGAGTGTTAAGTCGATGAGTTATGGGGAAATTTTAAAACAAATAAACATTCTTGCTTCAGTCCTGAAACAAATAAATTCTGATTCAGTGAGAATCAGAGGCTATTGTTGCAGTATTGATGGCGCTCTCGTTATGAAACTCGGAATGAAGAAGAGATGAATCATAGAGGACATGCAAGTCTACTTCGCTCTTTCATGGCCGACGATATTTTGCGGGTGGGCAGAACAAACGGAGATAAAAATCAGCCGTTATCATATATTTGTACTCCAGTTCGACACCATATATATTCGTGGATCTGAATAAGATTAATTAACAAATTACTTTAAGAAGACTAGGATTAAAAAAACTAAACTTGTGGCCTCTAAAGACAATAACTGAATGTAATGTTATTGCATGACATTAAAACCTCGGTTCGATTCAAAATTTTTGCCATCTGATACATGCATGTCTCCAAACACAGTGGCTCGCATACTAACCTGGTATGAGCACCGAAGCCGTTTCCTGCTCGAGAAAAAAAATGCAGCGTATACGTGCAAGACTTAAATTTTCTACTCTTGTCGACAGCGCCAATTCTTAGGTGCAATGACGTGTAATGTATTAAAATCTACAGCTTTGCTGTCATTTTGGATTACTTACCGGTGATTTACCACTTGAGGATGTGTACGCTTAATTTAATTAGGCTCCCCTTTCGTCTGTCCGGCTTAACGTCATGTTAAACTTTCCAGGCAATCTACTTTTCCTCCTTGCATGGTGTCCTAGATAAGCCAGCTCAGGTAACACTAAAAAACTTCTGAACTGATTTTGATTTTCGTCTTTGACGTTTCATGGTGGTAATTGATATTTCGCTCAAGCTGTTTTGTCCAAACAATTTAACATTGTTATATTTTCATTAAAATACATGACTTGTTTCTAAGTGGCCCATGAGTGTCCATGAGGAACGAAGGATTATTAAACCTAAATATTCATGCAAACTCCTTTGGTGAAAAATGAAAAGCAATTGGCTAGACACACTTAAAATGGACGAGAACCTTACTGTCGTAGTGATATGTATTGTCCCTTTTTATGAACCTAGAAGACAATGGGACAAAGGTCAATTCGTGCATGCACTGAAATTAACCACAAAGCAACGAACCCCTTAAGCGCACACAGTCGTTATTGAAAATTTTTCATTCTTGTGCTCTTTTCATGTAGCAGATAAATTCAACAAAAACGTTCCAATCGCTTGACTTCCAGATACACTTACAAATTACAAATTCATCACAAAGCAAAAAGTTAATTATTCACTTTTCCGAGATAAATCTAAATTTAGTTCTGTGAGGTAAGTGTACCTGTTAAATTCAATTATATTTCTAGTAAGCTTGGTAACGAAGCTATAATAAAAATTACCTCAACGTTTGCCTTTCAAGTTTAGATAGACATAAGTAATAAAAGGACCGCTAAGGATATTAATACTGCAAACATTTTGATTGGTTCTTATAAAATACTTAAAAGAACAGAATAGATGACGTCATCAATATCAATGTTTTATCAGTTTAAAAACTTGTAAAAAACTTCAGTCCGGTCAGTGATTTGATTTAGGAGAGCTAAAAAAAGAGGGGAGCATGAAACTAACCCACCGCTGATATGGCTCAAAGTTTTATTTCATTACCTAAATATGACTACATTGATGGTTTTACACCCATAAAGCCAAACAAAACGGAAGGCAAAATGTTCTGGTTCTAATGAAATTTCCGTGGAGCTCTCTCAATCGTCGGGTTCCCTGACTGATATCAACGACTTTTCCTGCTATTAAGTGACTACAAAGATCTATGGGCTATTAGACGCCTAGGATTACATCAAGTAAACTCAACTTGCCATCGATTAAGCACTGAGAACACATTATGATATCTCTGCCCCATTATTTGATAATTATACTGAAATGCAACTGCTCTAAAATAAGATTGGTTAACATGTTGTAGGAGGGAAAATATTTACAAAGTATATTGAAAGGTATGACGTCGGTTTATAATGCAAGTTGCATCCTTAACCGTTGCTATGGCTACCAGGTCTTGTTCTTTCCTCGAGTTTCATAAAAAGCTTCTTTGGCATACTCTACTGTTTTTTCAAGGGCCTAATCATATTTTCCATTAGGAGACTTCAAAAGTACACTTATAGGATTGTAATGAAATTCCCCTCAACGGTTCCAAGCGTGTTCTAAACCCAGAAGGCAACATTAGTGAAAAATATCGTACATCTTTTGTAGAAGATGGTCAGAATCACAGTTGTACTCGATAAAAAACAATAACGACGTAAATAAAGCTATAGTCCTGTGTCACTTTGCAAATTAATCTTGTCTTCTTCTTCATTACTTCCATGGCTGTTTTGATCTGCAGTTGTCCCCATGCTGCGGCCTTTGAACCCAGAAGATTTCTTAAAATGGTCTGTAAACAGCCTCTTGAAAGCAAATCTGAAATCCTTATTCATAACTCCATAGATAAGCGGATTGAGCATGGAATTTCCAAAATGCATCCACTTGGTAACTGAAACAACTAAAGGGGGAGGGGGACAATGACATATGTAGTAGTTTAAGTTAAGCGCGAAAAAAGGAGACCAGCAAACAATGAACGCGCCAATCACCACTCCTAGCGTCTTCGCTGCTTTCACCTCAGCGCTCATCGAAAAACGCCTTGCCTTTCCATTGATGGTCAACTCGATTTGCTTTCCCTGATAGCGAGCAGTTTTGAAGATATTCACGTACGCAATGAGAATTATGATGACAGGGATTGCATAATTCAGTACAACCATCATCAACGTGTAGAGATCCGACTCCCAGAAAGTGGGCGATAAAGAAGCCACTATGATCGAGTAGCACCATATGGCCCCAAGCGTTAATATAGCTCGCTGGCTGGTCATACGTGTATGGTAATACAGCGGTCCCGTAATACATAAGTAGCGGTCGATACTAACAAACGTTAAGTGCCATATCGAAGCCACGCTGACCATGATGTCTGTCGAGGTCCAAAATATTTGTATCAACTGCCTTTGTATAAACAGCGATGGACCAGATATTATGTAAGCTGCCCAGACTGGCATAGATATCACAGCGACCAGAATATCTGTCAGGGCCAGTGAAACAACAAAGTAGTTTGTGACACGGCGGAGTCGACGGAACCTTTTAAACGCCAGGATGACACATGTGTTGCCCACGATAGCTAGAAGAATTATCAATACCACAAATGTACACGAAAGGGCGATATGGGCGGTGTCGAACTTCTCGGGTGGATCCAAACTAGAATTTCTGTTGGCGCTCATATCGTAAGTTTCTTTGATCTAGAGACACAATGAGGAAATTTTTACGTCGACTTAAACCAACCTTTCGCGTCAAAGGCTTTTCGAAGTTCAGCTTGGTAATCCTTTTGACAAACAAAGGGCAAAATCAACACCTTGGTAAGGTAAGGCTTGTAACTAAATTTGCACAGCTTCTTGTCGGTTTAAATTGCTTCGACGGAGACTAATCGTAAGTCTGTTGATGCTTCATTGTTCACTTCAACACGTCAGACATAAAGTCTACAAGAAAATCAAAGACGGCATCGTTAATTGTAATACAAAATTAAACCAAAAAATGAGATAGCTCTAACACACCGGGTTTTAACTGAATCATCTGAGTAGAGATTACTTTCCAAAGAACAATCATAAGAATTAAGTTTATCATCTGCTCGCTACGGCTTTTAAAGGAAGGAAGAAATGCGTATAAAAGTAAAAATCATACTTTGTTATGAAACCAGACCAAGTGAAAATTTACGATTAAAATTAAAATTTCCAGCATGTGCAGCTGAACTTTTTTCAAGCTATTTTAGAAACTAATATAAATTAAACTTGACAATTTCAATTTGTTGGTTTGATTAAACTTCAGTTTGTTTTGATTGTTCAGGTATTAATTTTTCATGCTTTCTGAAAATGATGCAGGCAGGTTTTAATAACAACAAACAGAGGGGCGAATTTTACCCTGAACGTTAAATTTGTATTCATAAAGAACTCATTTGATCGTTAGTTTCAACTCTAATTTTGAAATTTAATCCGAGGTTTGCGTAGTTATTGAATTCGCTTCCATAAATGCCCAATATTACAGCAATGGTGTTAATTAGAGACAGTGAAACGAGTCAAAACAGTCAGAGTCTTTCCAATCAATTTGGCAATAGTTCCAATTACTCTTCCAAGAAAGGGTCGTAGCTCAATCAAAGCAATAAAAATTGGGCTGCATTTTTGAGAATCAATAAATGAAATAACAGAAACGTTTCAATTGCTTTAGAACTGAAAATTTGGAATTTTGAAGATGATCAAAATTTCACATCAAGAGTGATTGTTCAATTACGTTTCTAACAAGAGAAAAGAGATGGTCATATAAATATGTATTTGAAAGAATTAAATCTATTTTGGGAACTTCAAAAGTTGCATGAATCGGAGGATAAAACTCTTTCTTCTATCTTTCTAGATGAAATGGTTTAATTCAGGCATAATTTTAAATTTTCAAGGTTTTCGATAAATTACGTGGTGACAGATTAAACGAAGCCAATAATCTTCGCGAAGGCTTCGCGTCTCTTCCGGTCGGAGATAAAAATCAAGCAATTTCATGCTACGAGATAATGTTATAGTTATGTGCAGCTTGATTTAATCGCAATTGTATCATTTTATGTCCTTCTTTTCCGACACAAACACTTCACCTTCAAAACGTCAACTATCGCTTGTTTTATAGAATTGCAATTGGAGGTAAATTTTTCCTCAACCTTTCTTTGTATAGTTCATTTAGTCATTCACTGGGTAAAACCAAAACCTGCACAAAACCTGCCTGAACTGATCATGTCTATACCACAGGCTAAGTTACCTACATTCAACTGAAATTGAAAATATAGGAAAATTTACAAATCCCAACTTTTACAAACTTACTCTTTCAACTCAAAAAATTTGGATTGATGGCTCAAATATAAAAAAATTCACTTTAATGAATTAGCTTTACGTTTATTTGAAACAATGCAAATCATCAGTTATGATTGGCAAAGTAGAGTGGAAAAATATCTCATGGAGTAAAACTCGCCGTGCAGAAACTAATGAAATGACTTACTATGAACATCAATCATGCGTATACACTTTGTGTCGCAATCATTTTACAAGCAATACAGTAATGCACAAGAAATGAAGAAAAGGGGTCGCACTGGCAAACTGCTATTGCAAGCATTGCAGAAAAAAAAGTATGAAAAATCGTCAGGGTCCGAATCCGTGCCTCCCAGAGTCCAATTGGGCGCTATAAACAAATAAGTAATGAGCAACACGTTGGAAACGAAGCAACTCTTCGTTGGTTCCTTATTTCCCTTGAAGGAATCTGATCACAAAGCTCATTGAATAAATCGTATTTTAACCTGCGGATGATAACAAGTAAAAAATATTTCTTTTATAGGTGAATTACAATGATTTGCAAAAAAAGTCCTGTGAGGATCATCTCGCTATATGTTGTCAACATCGACTAAAAACAATAAATTCTATTGATTTGTTATTCAGTACATAACAAGGCTAGTTTTCAGCTAAAGAAACATTGTGCCAAATACAAACAACCGCTTATCAAAATCATCCACTGAACCTATTGTAACACATAATTCCACATGAATATATCGGCTCTTTGTTTTTACTTAAAGATAATCTTCTCTCTGAAATTTGTACATGCGTGCATTGAAAACACACATGATTATTAACTAACTATTTTCAGTTCTCTTTTTAGTTATTATTATAATCTACAACCTAACTCGCGCTTCTTTCTTCTTTGGGAATATTTTAGCCTCGATATGTGTTTAGAGATCATGGTTGATTATTCGAACGAGCCATAAACCATTTTGAAGAGACAAAGACTTTCATTGATAATAACACCAATTGCCATAACGAGCGTGTAACAATAATTATGCAATTTATGCTAGGTAAATTCTATAGGACGGTAGAAAAAAGATCATGGTGAAGTTGGAGTATGGCCGATAGCGATTATCACGCGAAAAATTCGCACAAATGACTCTTTTAAAATCCATTTTTACCTTAGAATATTAGTGTTTCCACAATCTTTGACGCTTAATATACCTGCTTGTTTTTATGGCACATTCAAACTTAGACTACGCCGTAATATCCGTTTACGGCAGCAAATGCATAAAAGACTTTCCGCTCTCTTTCCGCGATTAGGAAAAAAAATTGTCGTAGTTTTTATCATAAAATGAGATTCTTGCAGACTTTGTCCAATACATTTGCAAACAACTTTTTCCGGTTTGAAATTGATCCGGCTAGCGAAATCGGGACTTTATGTGTTGCTGTTTATCCTCGCGAAAGTCAATGGCAGAGATTGCTAACTATTCAAAAACTCATCATCTCTGAGAATGTTACGAAAACGTTCGCGTAAACAGCTTTTTCCGTTTTTAAATTATCCGGCATAACGTTAACGGGGCTTTAATTATGCGTTCCTGTTTGTCCTAGCGAAAATCATTGGCAGAAATTGTCAACTATTGATAAATTCAACATCTCTGAAGATTTTACAAAAATATTCGACGCTTACGATAACTACTTTAATGAGAGAGACACTGGTCTCCGCGCAATTGATTATACTTTACAAGCGTTAACAGAGACGCGAAGAGTTTTCTAAACTGCCCAACTGAATAAATTGTATTCATATATTCAGTAGGAGCAAGTTTTATCACCTATCTATGCTTCATATTCGAGGACTTTAATGGACAATAAATTAGGAAATGATAACGAAATGTCACTAAATTCCTGAATGAAAACACATATAGGTTTGCTTTTTCGCTATTTTGTCTTAATCATTATTTTGGATGGAGATGATGCTAGCAAAAATCCTGATTCCCCCTGCGGCTTTTCACACAATAACAATTCAAATTAGATTATATTCACTGTCTCTATCACACTTCCGATTTCCTACTCGATCAAACAGGCGGCTGAGCCGTCGTGCTGCCATTGAGATTTTTCTAATTTTCAACACACGTAGGAGGGTAATTTCAAGGACATATTCCTGCGCTCTGTTGGAAAATAATATATCCTGAGAAAAATACTTAAAAACATTCAATAGGAAACTATGGGCACACGAATTCAGTCACAACATTTCTGGAAACGAAATTTCATAATTCCACGATTCCTTCGATAGGAACTCTTCCAAAAACAATTTGTGCACATATAGATGAAAATGTGAATCCCAGCAAGTAACATTGGGTGAAGATAAAATATCCACTGACGTACAAAATACCACGATTTTTGGGCACGAATTAAATTATCACTGTTTTTAATTTGGACGACTGACAACCTTGCGAGATGCGACACATACCTGATTGGTGATAAATCTGTCGCTGCCTAGTTGAAAGAAAAAGATTTAAAACAATGCTATCCTCGGCGCAAACTACGAACCGAATATTTCCAGTTTGAATCTTTACTAGTCGGAGAAATACCTTCTCTGAAAAGCGTGAAATCTTACTGACGTGCACTAAAGTATGCGCAATCACCATATATTTAATGACAACAAGATTTGGGGTAACACGTCCGCTGATTGGCTCAAAGATCTCGATCCATCGGTGTAAACAACTTGATCAGTTGAGCACTAGCGCAGAAAATTTCTTAATTTCCTTATGTACGATATTTTGACGAATTTTACCTAGACGTCCTTTCTGTCTGAGACAAATGAAACAAAAATACTCATTGCACGAAAAGACCATTGAGGAAGAAGGGAGAAGTATTCGATCTCAACTATAATTCTCTTCAGCTCTTAGAGTCGCCTCCATCATATTTCTGAGGAGAAATATGATTCTTCTTCTATGGCAAAATCTTTAAAAAAGGTTGGAATCTCCGTTTTATAACTCTTACATTCTGGTAATAATTCTACTCCCTGTCTCGCTCCATAAATTAGAAAAATAAACATCTTTCATTTTATTCATCAGATGTCGATTTGAAGCTCATGACCACAAAGCTATGAACAAATGGTTTACTTACCGACGAATAGAAACAGAGCCTACAACTTACCTTAGTTTGACAGCAGTTTATACGTTATCCGAACAACAGACCAGATATATGAAGTCTGATGAATGAAAAATTAGTGTCCATGCGACGTACAGACTAACACGCTTTGAGAAAATCCCCTCGTACAAGACTCGAACCCAGTTTCGAGATATTGAGTTATGCGTTATGACTTACTCCAAGCGATATGCTGATTAGGAATAACACGAAAACAGCAAGTTTCCAGTGTTTTCGCCTCGCTGCGCGAGTTTTTCTTCTGCCGAAAA